CGCGTCTAGGACTGCTCGGCACGCCGGATAATAAAGACAAAATTAGGGGCACATTTGTTGGTATGTTCATCTTGCGTCGCCCTTAACAATATTTCTATCACTTTGAACAATATACTGGCGCTTCTATATGTTCAACTGCACCTCAGATAGCGACAATTGTGGCCTATTCTTCAAGTATCCCGAATTTTCAAGGTACAACAAGCGTCCTCGTTCGACCAATGCAATGATGTTGCAAAGAACCCGCCGTTTGGGTTTTCTTAACCCTCAAAAGGGAGAAGACACGGCAAGACTTGAAGGACTGGCCTGGAACGGCATGCCGAGATTAGATGATTGCGTACTAAGATTCTCACAACGGAAGAAGATTCTTCTTCAGCGTCAGTCTGAAACTCACGGGCAACCTCCCACCTTTGAATCTCCACATCCGCAGCTAAGCAGATCAATCATGCAATCTGGTTGGCCTTCCATGCTGCCTGGAGGACGAACTTCGTTACTCGAGTTACTTAGCTACCCCTAGATGAGGATGAACCGTCGTATAGCGGCGATGGCTGTTCTTCGTATACCTCGACAGTCAGATATAACAGCAGCGGCGTGCAAGAAGTTTGCTTAACGCAAAGGCTCTGCGTACCTTAAGGCCAGGCGCATTGGCCTTCACACAACGATGCACATCAGTTTTCAGCGACTAATCGTATCCCCATCCCCTTAAGCCTGACGTTTCGATGAGATAAAGGATCGTTGACCGACCGGACGACTGTTTTATCGTCGACTCCCGCTATCATGTTCCCCCATCAGGACGGTTGCGGTGGCAACGCAAAGTATGGTGGGCCTATGTTCCGAATGTAACTTCTGCGGAAAATCCCCGACATATTAGTCTATTGCTGTAAGTCAACTCTCACAGCTTTCATCGGTCTCAGTTTTGGCTTTTCACGTTTGGAACTGGCTGTTTGATTACGGTTGTTAATGATTGTTCCTTCATAGTTCAAGAAATTGTGCCTTTGCCTTTTCAATGAGAACAGCTTTAGGTGGCAGAATGGTTCTGTTTGCAATCATTTCTAAAGTGAGGCTTTGGAAATAAGAGTGGGACTTGGGGATGAAACTGAACTTAGATACGCTTCTATTGACCGCTGGAATTTTCAACCCTCCAACTTAGCGCGGGTCGTGGAACTTTCCCTCTTTATCTTTTTATCCAAGCTGTGGTGGTAGATGCAGTACAACGATAATAGAACAAAATGCAACTTCTCTGTTCTTTTTTGAAACTTGCACAATGATTTGTTATCGCGTGGTCGTGAATTGTATCGCACGAAACGAAATATTTACGGACGGCAATGACAAAGCTGGCGACGATTGACTCCAGAAACGATAGGAACTCCGAACTTAGTCCAACTCTCTTGTTACTAACGGCCAAGCTCGTCAAAAAGGCATGTTGTCTAGACGATACCTTTGGTAGCAAGTACTTATTACAGTCATGCTTTAATAACAGAGTATTTAACTCCTGTGTTATCTTAAGGTAATGATACCTAAAGGGAAGATCGACGACGAAGGCACTAATTCAAAGTTGCGAACATAACCGTCGCTTACCAGGTAGTTACTTTAAGTTTTCTACAGGCTCCTACAGTAGAGTGCTCGAAATTGTCTTCAACTATCTTGTAACGGCATCTAAGCCTAGCAGTAACTGTTCTTGGCCGTAGCTAACCCCCCAACATGCAAACGATGAATCATGAGCTTCATAATCCAGGGTCATATCAGGTAAGATAGTTGCGGAAAGCCATGCAACTAACAAACCCCCTCGCCTACTTGTTGATCCATATTCTTATGTCAGGCTAGCCTACCACAATTTGAAATCCACTGGGCTTGCGCTTTCAATACCGCGGCCGGCATCTATCACTTTGCCATACCAGCATATGCAAACAAGACAGTAAACACTGACCCGAAGCCCTCTGTTGGATAGCATGCTGCTTCTGTAAGCCAAAGAAGTGAATGAAACTTGGGATACGAGAAAAGTGTGGTTAAACTCGTAGGTAAATCTGTAATTCTGTGGTCTAGAATGTAGTGGACTTGGGCAGCTCATATTTACCACTCCGTAGGACCATGATTTGTTTTGCCACTTTTACGACTCTCGGCGTTGGACTTACGCATGCCATGCCAAATGCTCAAAGGTTTGCATGAGACGCTAGGGGTACGACTGGGACTCCATCCAGAGAAGGAAAATCGAACATGATCGAAGTGCCCAGACATCGGCGCCCAGTCCTCGTAACGATCGGTAGTCATCACTTGGGCGCGCGATCTCGCCGAACACCTTGGCGTCGTGGCACTTCACGTCCTAAGGCTTCGCCTGCATCATCCGTACGTGCGAGATCGGCACCACTGCATCATGGTTTTGACGGGAAGAATGGCGAGATCCGGGGACATGGATAGAATGTCGGTACTTCACGCAGAGGAGACTATCATAGGCTTGACCGACTTGTCATCTCATCACCGCTTCTATCCTTGAGTATGACCATCGGTGGAGTGCGAATTGGCCACCGGAAGTCATCCGGGTACGAGTCGCTCACGGTCTCCTGTTGCACAAGAGGAGGGGGACTTTTTGCAAATGCAATTACGAGTTTCGTTGAGGTTGTTGATTGCCTCCGTTGTGGGCCCATTTAGCTGTTCCATGGGTGTCACCGCTTGCAAAAAAAATTCTCGACCCGACCTGCAATTTCGTTGATTTCATGTGGAGTCCGAGGTGAAAGCAATATCCCTAGCAAACAACCACCCTCACGATGGAGCTGTTCTGTTATTCGCAAAGAATGCCAAAACCCCAGATTCCAAAAGCCACCCCCGCACGTGAGTCCCGTATGACAAGAGTTTCTTTCCGATCATATTCTGTTCTGCATGGCCAGCTGCAGATTGACAAGACTGTCAAGAAGTGGCGAGAAGCAGGCATCTTGGAATACCAAGAAACAAGTCTCATCTTCAAGAATCCCCATACAACGGGGTGACAAGCTCGACAACTCGAACGTCAATGGTCAGACATTCTACCCACCCACCCCAGCCGAATCCCCAAGTCGCCAAACTCACTAGACTCCGTACCTAGCTTCTGGTCCGCCGATAACACTCGACGGTCGGCTACCCACATGGATTCCCTGTACGCCGTTACAATGTACGTAATGAGCGAGTGTGTTCCGACCGGGGGTAAGGCGTTTTCCTACCGGAACCGGCGAACGAACGGTCGCCATCAGCGGCGCCCTTCGGCCAGTACTAGGGCGTATTCCACATGTGCTTGCATACAAAATGTGACGCTTTTCCACGGCTACCGCTGGTTGGAGGCGGGAAGTATGGAGGGAGCTGGCTAGTCGGGCGGAAGTGGGTGGAAAGCCAGGAGCACACCAGAGCTCCGGCAACACGCCAAGACATTTTCCTTGCTGAGTTTTTCTCTCCCCACCCCCCAAGTCCAAATTTCGGAGCCATCCCCCGACCTTCGTACCCCCAGTTCCCGCCGAGCCTCTCGGCAATGCTCGGCGCGGCACGGCATCCGCCATGGCTGGCCAATAAACGTTTTGTCCACCATGTGCCAACGTCGTCCTAGAGTCATGTCTTATGCTGGTGTACGGGCAATTTCTCTTGGTCTTCTTGGTCTTCTTGGTGCTCCTGGTAACGAGCCTTGGGACGTTCTTGGATGTCAATCCTTCTCCTAGATGAGTTTGGTCAGCATCTGATGGGACCTTCTGGCTGGCTGGCTGTCATCTAGTAATTGTCAGCTGTCAATATGGGGAGACATTGATTAGATGCATGGTCTGTGGGGTACTTCTGGCGGAATCAAAACCCTCCCCCTCGTAGGGAATTGAAGCTTTTTTTCTCAAGAGGGTTTTTTCTGGAACTTCCATCGGCTAAGAGTTGTCTCCGAGCAATTGGTGAGTTGGTAGTCTGGCGATTTGTCGAGGCTGCAACATTGCGATCTGGGTTTGAGGCTCTTCGCGCATGTCTTTTGACGACGACAAGCTGGCAAGGTTCATTTTGAATCCTACTATCAGCCCCGTCGTCACCGCCAAGCAGACATTCGAGCCAAGACCAATACCCAGACGAATACCCCAACGGAGCGGGCTGACTCGACCAGTTAGTCTCCATTACATTATCTCTTGGTGTCTTCTCTGGCCACTCCCTTCCAAACAGATAGGGTTCAGGGGAGTCGTTCCCACTCTTCCTCAATTTCGCCTTGTGTTGATGTCGACTCGAGGCTTCCACCCCACCAAAGCACGTTGACCCCGAGGACCCCAGTAATACACGCTCGCGCACACACCTCCTCCTCTCCCTGTGTTTGCTTCGCAACCTTTCGTGCTTCCCACGTATCTTTGCCGAGACTCACCTAACATCCCAGGCTCCCCAATCCAAGCCCGTGGATCGACCAAACCACTCCAAGCCGCCCAGTCTTCCATAGAACGCGACTGGTGGGTAACGCGGGGATGGAATGGATCCTCTTACACCTTCCTTTCGCGTGAAAAATGCCAATTGCTGTGCCCTCTCCCAGCTCTGATTCCCTCCCTTGGCGGAAGAGATATGCCACCCTATCTCGGTGAAATTCCTTTCTAGTTGGCCCTCTTCTGCCCTCCCGTTCGCCAGTCAGCCTAGCTATCGGTCACGCACGCGAGCTCCCTTCTTGGGAGACCACCCTATTCCCGAGGATGTGATCCAAACCTGGTCTTTCTGCCGCATGCAGCCGGTCCGGTCCCAGCTCGCCACACTGATAGACAAGACCACTACTTGCCTCCTCTTCTTCTTCGCCCATGGGATCAACTTGACCCACGGACCGGGCTTCGTATGTGTATATATCCCACCTTCAACCGCTAATCAGGGTCTCTAGCCCTCCCTCTTCTCTTCTTCGTCCTTCCCCCTTCCCAGCGTGGCAGTGACCTTGTTACGGCTCTCATCTCAGGAATCTTGCTTTTTCTTCGTCCGCCAACAATAGTTGTACTGTTTCGTTGACAGAGAATTTTCTCATCTTCGGCTCGGTAAAGTAAATCAAGATGGAGAAGACAGAGATGGGCACCGCCAACAAGCCCGTCCAGGAGAACTCCTCCATGGAACAGGTGCAGCCTCAGGCCTCCGTCACGTCGGGAGAGTCGGTGCACGAGAAGAAGCCTTGGTGGCATCCGGTCATCGAGCCTGGTTCCGCGGTCCAGATTATCATCGCCGCTGCCATCGCCGTCGGTATCGGTCTGGGTGTCAAGTCGGCCCACCCTGATATCCCTTCGGCCGCGACCACTATCCTAATCATCCCTGGTAACCTGTGGCTGCGGGCCCTCAAGGCTGTTGGTAAGTTGTGAAAACTTGTTGACACAAGAGCTCATGTTTTGGCATGGGCTTTCCTCCCTTCTCAGAGCCGGCAACTAACACGACTCTAGTCCTGCCCCTCATCGTCACAGCCATGATCCTCGCCGTCCAGAAACTGAAGGAAATCACAAACGGCGGCGCCAAACTTGCCAAATGGACCATCGGCTACTATGTCATTACCACCATCGTCGCCATTGTCCACTCCATCATCATGACCTCCCAGGTCTGGGCGCGCCTCATGAACGTCGCCTCGGCCGAGTCGATCGCTGTTGATGGCATGTCCGACAAAGACCAGGAAACTTACAAAGACCGCCAGGATCAAGACATCCCTGCAACAGTGACTGAACTCTTTAACTCACTCATTCCCGCCAACGTTGTCGACGCGCTCGCTTCCGACCACTTGCTCGCTGTCCTTGTCAGTGCCGTCGTGGTGGGCTACCTCCTTGATGATCGCGACGGTCGCTCTTCCATCGTCAAGGCTGTCCGTGAAATCGAGACCCTCATCATGGTTATAATCACCTTCCTCATCAAACTCGCGCCCATCGGAGTCTTCTTCTTGATCCTGCCCAACATGTTCAAGCTCGACATCAACGACATCGGTGTCAACCTGGGTATTCTCATGGGTGGTGCCATCAGCTCGATGTTCCTCCACCTCTTCGTTGTCTTGCCAATCATCTTCGTCGCCTTCACTCGCCAGAACCCATACACTCTGTGGCTCTCGTGCTCGCCCGCTTGGCTGACCGCCTGGGGTACCGCCTCCTCGGCCGCCACCCTGTCCGTCACGATGCGCTGCACCCGCGAGAAACTGAAGGTTCCTGTCACAGTGACCAAGTTCGCCGTGCCTTTGGGCTGCCTCATTAACATGGACGGAACGGCCATCTACTTCCCCATTGTCGTCGTGTTCCTTGCCCAGACGCAGGGCCACGTCCTGAACGCGGCCGACTACATCATCATCCTCCTGCTGTCGACTTTGGCATCCATCGGAACAACCCCTATCCCTAGCTCTTCTCTCGTCCTGACCGTCATGATCGCTTCCAGTGTCGGCATCCCGCCCAGCGGAATGTACGGTGTCGTCGTTGCCATTGATTGGTTCATCGACCGATTCCGTACTGCGACCAACGTCAGTGGTGATCTTTTCGCCGCAGTCATCGTTACCAAGATGACTGGCATCACCGACCCTGAAGATGGTTCAGAGGAGGAGATCACTGAGGTTAGACAGAACGATGAGCGCGTTTAAGAAACTCTCGGGGGCTGTGTGAAGTCTCTGTGTGCGATAGATAGTGTGTGGTGTATAATGGAGCGAATACCAATTTGATTCAATCTTTTGATCAATATCAGTTTCTGCAGATTCTTGCATGTGATATGTCGTTTGATTTTTGGCTCCCTCGGACGGGAGCCTTTCGTCTTATAATACGCGTCGGGTCTAGTTTATGACACACTAGGACTCCGGTGACTCCGACGACTCCGGTCTCGCGCGGTCAAACGGTATGGAATGCCGTATAAAAATCAGATTAGGACGAAGACGTCTAGGCAGTCCCACTGTTTCCTTGTTGGAGGCTTGATTTGGGCCAGGATGTTGGGGGGCCTCGTGGGACTGGTTGGCAATCGGCCAATTGATCTTTTGCCGCGAGCAGGGAACGATGACTGGTCAGACCACGAGCTTTTCCTTGGCTTAAACATATGATATTTTCAGCCTGAGCAAGTGAAAGAGAAGTGTGCGTTAAGTAGCCTTTGTTCTTCAAGCTGAATGCTCAATGCCCTGTTTCCCTAATCAAGGGCCATTACATTAAAATGGCAAGAAATAGCACACTTTTGGGACAAGTTTGGTGTAGTTTTGTAGCTTACAACCAAGTCGGCATCTGACTGTATGTGCCGGCGACTTGTAAATAGCCGATTAAGGCTCGGCCATTTTCTGGATCCGCCGCACCTCGACGACCACACCTCGAGCGCCGAGACCGTGCCCGGTCTTGGTCACGGCGACCGTCATCAGACCCTGGTTCGGTCTCACACCATGGACAGCAGAACTGGCTCTGTGTATAAGTGGGTGAAGTGGGCGTGGTGGAAACTCGATGTCATGATCTAAAACACATGGATAAGGCCAACAATGTCTTATAAAATTCATGAGTAAGATACCCCGGATCACCAACGCCTTCGTTAGAATTTTACAGTCGTCCGTAGTCTCTATACCCGATAAACTTCACCCATAGTATATAGCAAATAATGTTCGTAAGGATAAAAAACCATTGAGAAAACGAACATCTGGCCCAAGGCAGGCCTGAAAACTCATCATAGCCCAATGCTGCAGATATTGGCTCACCTGCGCCTCCTCTTATGCCAAGGCGGAATGCGATCTTCAGCTTCGGTACCTTGGATGCTCAGGAATCCGTCCATCTCGCTGAAGCCTAGCTGGGTTTTGCTGAGGTAGAGCTCAGCCACCCGTTTCGAACCTTCAAAATGCCCTTTCGATTTGAACCGGCCGTCGTTCTCCCCATAGCAAGCAGGCCAATCCGTCAAGGCCAACCGGTCGTCCAGTACCGGGGGGTTGGGCGTATGCCAGGTAAGCCTCTCTTGTGCCGACTGCAGCTGCACTCCCCTCGTATCCATATCTGTATCGCCTTCATAATATTCCGTGTCCGGTACAGGCATATTAAAAGACCAGTAGGGCCCTAGTGCCTGGATGTTGTTGTTCCATGGTAGCGTCATGCCCGTAGTGATATCCCTTGGAACCATGCGATCTAAGTGTGCCGGGGCGGTGCGTAGCCATGGCCGAGACCCTTGAATCTCCCATTGGCCTGCCCATCCGGTGTTGTAAACATTACGGTGGTACCCCATCCACCACGGCATCGGCACGTGGCGGTCCCATGGATCAAACGTAGTCGTATCAATCCACTCTCCGCCCTCGACTTCGAGAGCGTCCACGTGTTTGGGTAGATCCGGTTCTACCCGGATCACCGGTTGGAAATGTCTCAAACTCGGATCTGTCACGAGCAGTATCTGTCTTCGGCCACTGAACTTGAGTTTGTAGTCGTCTTGGGTCGGCGGCTCCCCGTATACTTTCATGCGGTAGGGGTTTTTATCCAGGTACGCTCTCAGCGTCAAGTTTCTCCAAAGCGCTGGCGGACCCCTTCGCCTGATGAAAGTGATGACCTCGCAGCCAAAGAAGTCAGCCACGAGATGCAGCATCTCGTGGAAACCTGCCTCCATTGGCATACCTGAATCGTGGTCGTTCGCGTTTAGGCAGCGCAATAGGTCCATAGGCCCCCAGTCATTCACATCACCGGGGTCTACAGATTCCCTGGAATTGGCGAGAAGCTGGCAATACATGCGGAAGCGTTCTCTGCGGTAACGGCTCCCGGGGTATTCGAACCCGCGTGGGCCGAGTAGTACGTCGTTGAACCAGTATGCAAGACTGCTCTTGAGTCTTCTTGACTTGATAAAGTGACCCTCGACAAGCATTCTACAATACAGCAATATTGGTTAGCTTTTTAGTAAATTTGCCGGGGAATCATCAGCAGGGAAAGGGCAGTGCGGTGGAGAACTTACGCGAGTGATAACCACAAACTATTCCCGCTCCTTGGGATCGGAGCAGCATAAAATGTATGTTCCAAAACTGCCTTTTCTTCATCCGACTTGTCCTCTGGGTACTTGAAGTCGGGGTATGCCTTGAAGCCGTAGCATGCAACGTCGTCCCGCAAGTCCACATCTTGTCGTCTGCGAGCGTCATCGCGCATGTGCAGCGTTGGCTCCCAGACTCGCCTTGTCCTCTTCTCATCGCGGGCCATCTGGGCCACGTCGAAAGCATTGTAGTGCGCTTGAAACATATCGTAGGGCGCCGGAACATAGACATTCAGGTGCCAAGTGGCAGAAGTAACGTTCATCGGGAAATCGTCGCATTGCAACACTGGCCTGCCAGCATTATCAAGGTCCCGTCCATTCCAACGCATCGGGCAAATAATAATTCGCTTATGCGGCTGCCACAGATGATGTCCCGGCCGGCGAATACCTGCAAGTGTGTGTATGGCCGACATAAGTCGCCTCGTGGCCTCGATGAGGCGTTTGTGGTCAACAGAACCCTTTCTCGATTGTCCTGCCTCGTTCCATATCTCCCGCATTGCCTGGTTGCAATATGCTCTAAACTGCCGGGCGCTCGGCCGTGTTGCCGGCCGATCTGGGCTCCTTGAATGTAGTCCCAGCATCCTCCACGCTATTTGGTGGTCTCCATGGTCAGGTTTACATCCTAGAATTTCCCGTATTGTTGGAAAGTTGTCAGGGGGCTGAAATGGCCCTTGGCCAGGTTGATGAAGTAAGTCATTCATTGTAAGTTTTCGGCAGAACGGTTTTGAGGAGAGTGAATTGGTATGACAACCTTGTGATTGGGAAGCATTCCCGTGGATAGACTATGTTTATATTGATTTCATGCTCATTACAGTTCGCTGATCTTTGCGGTTGGGTTTTGATGGCAAGAATAACGAACAAGGACACTGTTTCTGCCCCATTATCACCTCTTGTTTTTACCACTGTCATGCTAGAATGGTGGGGCAAAAATGCGGTTTGTTGTGATGAAAGAACAAGTTACGGGTTATTGTAATATTTGCCAATGTCTATACTTTTGTTGACGACAAGTTGAAAGGCGGCTGATGAGAGCATTCATCTAACAAAAGAGTATTCAAATATTTTATTGTTAATCATCTCCAATGAATTGAGAGGTCGGAGTAAATGAGGGGTCTACAATAATGGAAATTCGGTGGCTATGCCCATATACGGATAAAGGCTCAACGACGGACATCAAGGGAAATCCAAGCAAGGACCTTTCAGGCATCTTATCTTTATTCCTCTGATTTCCGTATAATTCATTTTCAAAGAGGATATAATAGGATTGTGTTTAACAAAGCCTGTCTGATGTAGTTGGCTAATTTTAAACGACCATTGAAGTGCACCGACTTAAGGTGCCGTCTACTTGACATACAACCTCAACGTGTTGAAGAAATGTATCATCGCTTATAGGGACGTCATCAAAATTAAGAACTACAGTCGTTTGAGAACAAAAATTCCCTTTGTCGCTTTGTGTTCCTGCCAAATACTCTCAATGTCTTTTTTAGGCCTTACCTTCACCCTCTAAACACTTGACCAACCTGACCTTAACCACGGCCTCACATGCTCGAACATCGCTGCAGTCATTTTGTCAATTTTTCACTGGTCTTGGTTGTGCTAGCGCTTTGGACTGTTTTCGAAAAAAACACAGAGTTGCAGCAAATGCCATGTCAATATCAATGAGCCAACCAATGCATCATCACCCGTATCAAAATGAGTACCAACTGGCAACAGCTACATGGCATACAAGGTATTCTTGGTGAATTCGTTTTAGGATGAGAAATGTAACATTCAGCATTTAGATAAACATGGACCTTGAATAAGTTGCTTTCTACTGTAACCAGTGATACTCAACCGGAATGATCGGACTATTAGTGTAGGTTTCACAGGGGGTGAAACGGAATTCCGTTCGTCAATAACAAATAACAGTAAATTGGTTCTAATCGATGGTTCATGATAGTTGAAAGTGGTGTTGTTGACTAGAAGGTGGGGATATTCCCCCTTGGCCTGTCACGTGGGTCTGGGAGGCTTGGGCCTCTCAGCCTGGCGGGCGTGTGGCTGGAAGTGCTATACGACTCCGTATTCCAACTATCGCAATACTAGAAACTCTCTTTTTATGGTATTAAAGCGGTTGGAATACGTTGTCCCTATATAGTTCCGTCTCCTTGTTAATTCAGCCTCCTATCTGTTACGACCCGTTGGACATGGTCGCCAACACGACCCCGCCTGGATCCCGGCGGCTAACGCAGGGCATATGTAACCCAGCCGGACAGGTGTAACCAGGGATCCTCGGAACGGAAGAACTATGGACAAGTCACGTGGCCTCGGGGATAACGCGGGGTAAGGACAACCCGGGCTGGATATGTTGGATATGTCAGATATCCAACCGATCCCCGGATATGTTGGATATGTCAAATATCCAACATAGCCAAGATAAGGAGGACCGTTCAGGACTTGTATATAGGATGGACTCGAGCCGGGCTCGAGGACAGACTTCCATAGCTCTTCAGCAATCAACTTTGTGATTACCCTAACCGGTACTTTCAGCTATACCTAAGTGACGACTACTCTACGACTCTTGTTGAGGCCTTGACTGATCACCAAGACCTTTGAAGATCTACGATCTATTCGACCAGGACCACGGAACGACTGTTACTACTCTCAATCCCTGGCTTACTGTTAACACAAACCCACTGTCAGTTAGCTGGCCGTAACACTATCCTTACTTTCTCCCGTAGTTACGGTCTTATTACTTATCCCTCTATACGTATCGTTATCGTATTGCTATTAACGAATCTCTCGAAGGCTCGATTTGGTTTGCTCTTCGTAAGGGTATTAGCAAGGTTGTCTTCGCTATTAATCTAACGAATTTCTTATAGTTCTCGTCTTTCGTACGATTATCTTAACGCTATGATATCGATTATAAGTTGCTTTTCTTTGGTAGTGCCTAGCTTTACGAGATACTTGTATAGCGAATAAAAATTAGTATAGATAACTATTTAAATCGTTAGTAGGTTAAGGTAGTTAGTAATTATCGCTAGGGTTATAGCGAGGGCGTAGGCTATATCGACGCTAGCGACCATCCCGTAGATCTCTAACGCTAATACGCTACGGGTAACTTATTTACTCTTCGTAGAGCTATAATAAACGAGGTTATTATAAATCGTAAATTCTCCGTTATTACTATTAGAAGAAGTATCGTTAGCTAGGATGATTAGAAACCCTAATTAGGAGGAGAGGTCGTAGTTATTAGCAAACGACCTGTTAACGAAAACGAATAGCTTAGCTATTATAAGGTCGAGTAAGATAAACGTTATTCCTCGGTTAGGCGATTCTATTTGCGATCAAATCTATTAATTTAATACTTTTATTACTTCTAGCAAGGGGTCTTGGTGTTAGGTAGTAGTAGATAAATCGAAACAAGCCTCGGGTTAGCAAATTAACGCGATGTACGCCCCTCTAGCGCGTTGTTCGACATATTACTATTTTAGGTTAGGTTTAGTAGTCTTAATATATCGTAACTTCTTAGCTTATCCCTTTTGCTTTAAATTAATCGAATTATCGGTTAATAGCGCGATTATCCCTCTATTAAATTAGAAGGGTTTGTTAATTATAAGGATATTCTTCGCTTTTGCTATAAAAGCCGCTTTTTCTAACTATTCGTCTTCTAATTATAAGAACGCCTTGTCTAATAAACCGAGGGTATCGTCGGTTTGCATACCGATATAGCTAAAGTATAGATTTTCGGTAGATAAGATTAATAAGTATAGATCGTACGAAGAAGTAACTATCTAGAGATTCTCTTTATAATGCTTATAATACGTTGCCTACTAGTAGGTTCTAGCTTCTGCGATTCCGTATAAAGGCTTTATAACCTCTATAATAGTCCCTTTTAGGTACTAGTCTTAAATTTGCTTCGGTAGGTAGGCGAGAATAGTACGATTAAGCCTTATAAAGGATTAAACGTAGGCTTATATAATATCTCGAAGCTATAGTTATTTCCCTTCTCGTAGGAGTAATAAGGTAATTAATAGAATTAGCTATTAACTTGCTTGCTAAATCGTTAGCGATTAGGTTAATATAGCCTTCTTGCTATCGTCGGCGTAACCTTGTATTATAAGTCTCGATTTCTCGTAAGGTTTAGTTATTTTACTTTTGACTTTGTTAACGATACGAGATCGGAAGATTTATACGTTCTAATGCCTTCTCTTATTAAACTAGGTGAATTTAAATACTCCTCTAGCGATAAGGCTATGTTAGAAGTATAAGTATATTATACTTCTATTTTACTTATTTATCCTATTTAGTCTTATCTAAGACTTAGTAGGACTTACAAAAGTAACTAGCTAAGAATGGCTGCTTGCTAGTTTAAACATATGATATTCAGATCCCTATGGAATACTCTCTTTAACCTTATCTAAAAGTCTATTTAGTTAAAGAAGATTCTAGTCTGATTTATAAGCTGCTTTATAAGCTAGTTGACGTATATACTTACGTATACTAAACCTAGCTTATAGCTTCCTATATTAGCTATTATAGGCGACGTTATACTACTATATAACTAGCCTAATTCTCTCCCTTAGCTAGCTATTAGTTCCTCAACCAACTCAGCTTCAATATAAGCCTATACATTCTTTACTATTAAAGCCCTACTTCATAAGTACAAGTTCCCTTACTCTAATACCCTGTTATAAGGATATCGTACTATCTACGAGATTCCTACCTACCGTTCCAACAGGCTATTAATCTCTTATTTAGTTAACTATTCGAACGGTTTGCTTAGTATAGTAATAATACCTTCTCGTCGTAGTTTGATTACTAATTCTTCGTCTACTTACTCCTTAATCGATAGGAATATTTGTTAATAATCCGGGTTATCGTTGAATTCTTTTGTAAAGTAGGCGATTGGTAGTAGTCTCTTCCGGGGTCTGCCTAGGCGTCTTCTCGGTAGCTCCGGTGCTTCTTGCGGTTCGTCCGGTTTACTACCTCTGCTAGCGACGATAATTTCGTCGCGTACTATTTCCTGCTATGGTATCTTAGCTTCGGGTTCTTCTTCTTCTAGCGTAGCGATGGAATTAGGTAGTTAATCGGGATCTTCGTAGTATAGTTTAACTATAGTAGACCGGAAGGTCTTTAGACTATATAGCATATTGATAGTATAGGTTTTGCTATTTATAGCTACTAAAGTAAACGGTCTAGTCTAGCCTTTCTTTTCGCGCTATACTTATACTTACGACCGTAGTAGTAAATTAATAATTAGCCTTATATTAAGGCTATTACAGGTAGCGATAGCTTCTACTACTTGTCGCCTTATGTAAAGTTTACGTACTTCGCTTATCGCCTTCTTAATCGCTTTCGCCTACCTTATGACTTCGGGAGATAGCAGCGAATTGTTAGTAATTCGTAAGTATAAGCCGAATACTAAGAGTATTAGCACTATTCCGTTTAGGCTAGTAGTATTATTAACTGCTTTGACTGCTATTTAAAGTGCTAATTCTAGCGTAATTATTAGGTCTTCTGCTTTAATGATTTCGTATGCCTTCCTTAGAGGTATATAGTATCGTTTAACTTTCCTAATACTATTATAAGCTTCTATAAGAATTTCCTTGATTTTAATTACTATTCCTCTTACTACGTTTCGGAATTTTATTAAGCAGAAGTTTATTTTAGCGTTAGTAACTAGCTAGTCTAGGGGTCCCTGATATATATCTATCTAGCAGAGGCGTAAGGCTTCCTAAATAGCTTTTGTAGAAATGTCTTTAAAGAACCGGGCGGCGTTAAACGCCGTAGCGGTATCGACGACGTAGAAGACCGGTCTATTACCCTTAAGGTATATTACGTCGGCGATAACCTTATAGTTAAATTCGTAATCGTCTTATAACGTAAATTTAAACCGTAATAGTATTAGTACGTATATTTAGTATCGATAGTAGACTTTCGATAGTTACTTAATTACCGTAATTTTAACTAGGTAGCCGGCCTTCTAGAGCACCTTATATAATCGTTAAATAGATAGGTATCCGAAGCGACGGTAAACCCGTCGTAATTTAGCGTCTATAAGGTAGTTCTAGGCAAGTAGTTTCTCCTTATCAAGTAATAACTATAGGTAGCCCTATTTGCGAATAATAGGTACGACCTTATTTCCTTAGATAAGGGTATTTATAACGTTATTAAAGTAGACTTTTAATCGGTCTATATCTCCTAGGCATATAAGGAAGGGAGTATTAGTCTTAATAACGTAAAATTTAACGCTTCTAAACAGCGTTAGTACTTTAGTAGTCCTTATAGACTTTAGTAGTATCTTATCGCCGAATTTTATTATAACGCTGCTAGCCGCCGTAGTATTTAACATAATTCCTTCGTAAATTTATTATAGGGCTACGAATTATAGGTAGCTAGCGGTTGAGAATCCTGCTACGCTTGAGTCGGGTATAATCCCTTAGAAGTTTTAAGTAGAGTAGCATCCCTTGAGTATGAATTGCAAAGGTAGCTTTTTCGGTTCTAGTTAGTTGCGGAAGAGGTCTTCTTTCGTAATAGCATAGCAAGTTAACTAGTCTGCTAGGATCGTAGCGATCCTATTGCTGTTAATTACTATTATAGTGAAATAGGCGGTGACTTGGAATTGACTATTGCTGCCGGTCTCTTCCTTTTCGTTACCTTTACTAGTTTGTTTAGTTACGTAGTAGTATTGCTAGGGGTTTTCGGCGGTAGGTTATAAGTCTAACCCGTCGAAACCCTTGTATTAGACGAGAAATTAGCTATATGCTAGAAGTAACGTATCCTAGGTATATTAGGTAGTTTTAAACTTCTTATACGCTTTTCGTCTCTCTTCTATAGTATATTTAGTTAACTAGTAGTTAGGTTTTCTATATACGTAGCACTTCTTAAGCGTTAGCAGTAATAGGGGTTTGTTACGGCTTCTTCCTCGTAATGATCGACTTCGTAATAAACGACTATATCGTAAATAACGCCCTCGACCGTTAAAAGTTCTATCGGTCTAGTACTGCTTTAGTAGGTTAGCTACTATATTGAATTGTTATTAGTTAAGACGGGTAGCTATCTCGATCGACAAGATTAATTAGCTACGAAGTCTTTCGTACGTCTTAGCCGGTATAAATAACGCTATTATATACTCTAGAATATCTCTATAAGCGTATAGAAGTTAGGTATAGAGGGATCGGTCGTTATAATCCTATTATAGCAAACCAGGCTGAATCTTGCTTAATTTGTTATATAGTATATTAAAATACTCCGATTTAGTCTTTCTAAGGTTATTGCGAATGATTTAGGGAAGAGTAGTTATATTCTACTACGTAACGTATGCTTATTACCTTTCCCTAGTCTCGAAGTATGATTTTAATTAGTTAATTATAGTCTCGAAGTTAGGCTATAGGTTGATTACTTTAATCGAGGCGTAGAAGTAGGTTTTAGCTATTCCTTTTAGTATTAGGGGAAGTACCTTGTTATATTAGGAGGTATAAATTCCTAGCATTCTATAGTAATCTACGAATACTAGCATCTTCTTTTCGAGTATATCGTATATATCGCTACTATATTTTATATCGTCGGGGTATAGTTTTGTAAATTCTATTAATTACTTTCCGATACGGTCTATTAACTTATATAGTTAGAAGTCTATTAACGGAGAGACCGTAAGATATAGCGGTCGGTATAGTAGTTACTACTATTATTATTCTTATAGAGGAGGTAGCTATAGGGTTAGTTCGACTCTTCCTCCTATGCTATTAGCTACTATTGCTAGTCTCGTGATCTCTTCGTAGAATTCGGGGTCTTTTATTAAAGCCTTTAGGTTGCGATATCTCTTAACGCCTTATTCGAGTTCTTAGGGTAACTAGTAGTAGAATTCTTCCTTTTTAAAGGCTAATGCTATGTTTTTCGAGATTTTCTTACTATCTATTTCGACGTAGACGCCGTTACCGATTAAATAGTCTTTAAAGAATCGTAGGATTAGGGGAGGTATGTTCTAAAAGTCTTCTTCTAACTAGTCGGCGAAATCGGGAGAAACTTCGTTCTATAGCTTAAGGCTTATAAGATTCCTCTTCTTATAGGTCTTAAGTAGGAAACCTATATAGGAACCTAGTTGCTATAAGCTAGCGTTTATAAGGTCGATTGCCTAGTTGCCTTATACTGCTAGATCGATTATACTTTCGATTCTCTATAGGATAAGGATTGTTAATTAGCTTTTAGTAGTAACGCTACTTGCAAGCGATCCTTCTCGTAAATTTCGCTTTATTCTAATAGTATAAAAGGATTACTTCTATTTAGAATCTTGAATTCTAATCCTTAATAGCGTTAGCTACGATTAGTATAAGATATAAGCCTAGAAGTAGGAGTTAAAAGACGATTTAGGATATTACGATTCTAAAAGGAAAGAATCGTAAAATCGGGGATTTTCGTCGGTTCGTCGTTTATTTCTATTAACGCTATTCTTACTAATATTCTCGAAGGGTATAAAGGTATATATAGGTCTCGAATTAGTAGGGAGAGAGTTCTACTATAGATTCTTTCGTAAATCTCTTTTTTTCGCTTTAGGCTTCGCTCCTTACTATTAGGAAGTTTAGAATCTAGTAGATAGTTAGCCTTATAATGCCTATAACTATATACGTTTCTCTTAAGCCGTAGCCTCGGAGGCGTATACGTATAGCTATATAAGCGGATTACTACTAGTAGTCTCCGCTTGCCTTTCAGCGTATTCTTCTTCTAGTAGGGAGGTCTTTTATAGCAAGCGCCTCGCGGTTAGCACCTCGTCTAGGGATTTATTAAGAAACTAGTAGGCGCTTCGTAATTAGCACCGTACGTAGGGATAGTTATAGTTAGGGAAGTTATTATCCTTTATAAGATTTGTAAATCTTCGCCTTTATAGCGTGAAGAGGTTAGAAGACCGTCGATTCGGTAGGTTTCTTCTTCTAGTAATTGAAAACGCGTAATAGAACGCTCTTGCTAGCGATAATTAGCTACGATTAACCTTATCCCGCCTAGGGTAAGCATAGCAGTCCCTAGGTTACTCGAATAATCGGATTGCTAGTAGATTCGAGGAAAAGAAGCTTTCTTCTACTAGTTTCCGTAGATCCTAGTTATTCTCGCTTCTTCTCTCGTTAGTACGAAATCCTTACTTTTACCTAGGCTTAGGTATCTAGTTTAAGAAGTCGTCTCTTCTAGTATTAACCTTGCTAATCTACGGTTTATCTATAGCAGAGTAGTAATTATAAAGTTAACTAAATTAATAGCAACTATAAGGTTTACTACTAATTAGTATAGGTTTTATAAGGGGTAAAACGGAATTCCGTTTGTTAATAACAAATAATAGTAAATTGGTTCTAATCGATAGTTTATGATAGTTGAAAGTGGTGTTGTTGACTAGAAGGTGGGGATATTCCCCCTTGGCCTGTCACGTGGGTCTGGGAGGCTTGGGCCTCTCAGCCTGGCGGGCGTGTGGCTGGAAGTGCCACACGACTCCGTATTCCAACTATCGCAACAATTAGGGTACCAAGTATTCACCATCACATCCCCAGATACTTCACTTGCAAGTCAGACAACAAGGCACGAATTAAATCAAATATATTCAAATCAACGTATTCGAGTGCAAATAAAGATGTAAATCTAAACGGTACCTTTATCAAATACGCCATGCAAATCATCATCCTCCAAAACAAAATTTCATTCTCGAACTTCCCCTCATCTAGTTCAATTCTTGTAAGTCCCCGTACTCCATAGTCAAGTTCCTTCCAGTGCCAAAACGCAAAGACGCCTTTGATGGCCGAGGGTATGAAGTAGTGCTCAAACCTATAAACAGTCCCCCCTTTCCCCTCCGCAATCGTCCTGTTGTAATAATAGCTAGCAAATACAGACAAGATGAAAAACCGCAAAACTCCAGTCCTCTGAAAACAAGAGGAGGTCTCTTTCCAAGAAATCCAGAAAACTCAACCTCATGATGAATCATACAACAGAGAGCACCTTGTTACTTCCGCTTGCTGGGGCTTCCACCGCTCTCAAAACTCAGGTCGACGCTCCACAGAGAATCCCAAATGACGCTCTTCTTCGTCGGACTCTCGACGCTCGCCCCGCTCCATTGACGCTGCAACCTCAAAGGGGATCTGGCCTTCTGTAAAGCAACCAAACGCAAACCACCGAGATCAGCGGGGCTGTCATGGTCCGATGAGGGAATCGATCGTGTTTCGTACCTCGGGTGACCTAGGCCTCTCGTCATTTCCCACTTGGCCTTCGGTCTGCTGTGGGCTAGTAGAAGCTTGCCCGGCTTGCTCCTGTCCGTTTGACGATCCCAGCAGTCCTCCCTGCGGGGGACTTGTGCCTGTGGGTGTATCCGGTGCAACGGCACGAAGAGAGTTTGTCTCACTGCCTAGCGCGTTACCCTTTAGCAAAGCAGCTCCGCCGGCGCCAATGGCAAAGGGGATAGCCTTCTTCGAGTTGGAACTGCTTCGGCGGCTTTCGAGACTCTTGCTAAGGGCCTTGCTGACGCCCTCAATGCTATTAGTGTTGGCCCGCTGCTTATCCTTTCCGTTCGCCTGCGCATGAGTGTGCATGTCCGCCATTGCCTCGACATTATTCGCCGCAATCGTAGACTTGCCGAGCCCTGGGGTTGCTGGGGCGCCAGGCTTGTCCTCATAAGCGTCGATCAGGTACCACCTCAGGCCATCTGACAGCTGAAAGGGGTTATCATCCTCTTCGCCGTTAACGGAGTCGGTGTCTGGTAGCTGCTTGTGCAGGCTCTTTGAAAGGTCCACGACGCGTTCTTGGATGCGAGTAATACGAGCGACGAGCCATTCACGAGAACGCAGGCGGTGGGCGTCCGTCTCACGGAGGAAGTAATGAGGGAAGCCGACGTTGAATGCAGCCCAGGCGCCGGCAGTTTGATTCCTGGTAGGAAGGAACAGCGCGAGGTCGCCTTCTTTGAAATGCTTGAAAGCAATTTTCTCGTGAGAATCCCTCTGCAATGTATGTGCCTTCTCTCTATAAGCACGTGCGTCTCTCTGAAGTTTACGAGCGAGGTGCTCAATGTCCTTGACACGCCTGTAAACCGTGTCGGCAAACAGGTCCATGTCAAAGCTACCCAGCTTGGTCATGAAGGCTTCGTACTTATCGGACTCGGCATCGGCATCGGCGTCGGTGTCACTGCCCTTCATCCAGTACAACAGGTCTAGATCGGTGCTTTCGGCTAAGCTGCGACTGGTAAGCATGCCAGAGCGCCGGATGGTAGACTGACTGGGATCGGACGAGTCATTGGCATTGTGGATCTGACTCATTGTTCCTCTCTCAGATTTTGGCACTTTCTGGATGGTCATCGTTGATTCCTGCCGGGTAACCGAAAAGCCTAGGCGCTCCAAGAGTCGGCAGAGTCGGTCGTTCTGAGTATACAGACGCTGCGTAAGATCCTTGGTCTTTTCAGATCTAGCCTCGAAGTGGGCTGTAACTGCCGAGAGCTTCGTCTGAGACTTCTGCAATTTCTCCTTGTAGAGACGCAACTCCTCTTCAAGACTACCCACTTGAGACTGCCTGAAAGCGAGCTCCTCGGTGACTGAGCTGATCCGCTCTTCGCCTTCGTCAAGCTTTTTCCTGAGACTTTCTGAACCCGTCTCGCCGTCGGCGATTTTGGCACGGAGCTGATCAAGCTGTTCTCTGGTCTCCGCAGCCTCCTGCTCAAGCGCAACCACTCTGGCCTTCTCTTCATCCAAATTCTCCTTCAGATACCTCGACTGGTCTTCTTCGGCAGTGAGCTTGTCCTTGGTCTCACCCATCTCAGCTTTCAGATTCTTCACGTGCTCTTCACACTGCTCAAGATCAGTCTTGAGAATCGATTTGTCGTTCTCCAGAGTCTTCAATTTGGCAGAAACATCGCTTGCCTTGTAGACGACTGCCTCAATGAGGTCATTTAGATCCTCAGTAGTATCGTCGTCCGGAGACAGTTGATCATGGATATCGCGAAGGGCTTTCAACTGCATGTCAGCGGTTTCCTGAGTGGCGCCCAGATTCTTCGCCAGCTTCTTCGCCTCCTCAGTCGCGATTTGAAGCTGCCTCTCAACGGACTCATTCTGCTCTCTTTGCAAGCGTGCCTCATTCCGGAGAAACTCAACCTGTCCCTGTGTCTTCAGCGCGTCGTCGTTCTGGTCCTTTTGTAGCCTTTCGATCTCTGCCTCCATCTCGTGCATACGTTCAATGTATGTGGCCTTTTCGTTCTCCCTGGATTCGCCAAAATTCTCAATATCGTCTTCGGTTTCCTCGATGCGTGCCTTAAGCCCCTTGATTTCATTCTCCAGTGACTTTCGTTCTTCGACGAACTCCTTCTGCAATGCCTCCATGTTCTCGAGAAGCTCTTTCTTGGTAGAGTTGGCGTCGTGCATCTGAGTTTTGACTTCATCGTGCTGCGTTGTCCTAGTACTGAGGTCCTTTTCAAGCGCGGCCGACTTCTCCTTTTCCGCATTAAGTTCACTTTCAAGCTGCTGTATCTTCTGTAGTAGCGCCTCTGAGCCGGTAGACGAGCGTCGATTGTCTTCAATCGGTGTCGCGGATTTGATCGAGTTGGTAGAATCATTCCTATCATGGCCAAAGAGACCACCAATGCCTGGACGGGACGCTTGGCTCTGCCTGTGAAGCAAGTCCTCTAACCTCCGGACGCGACTCTCCGCAGTCTTGAGCTTGTTTTCTAGCTTTGATTTGTCGTCCTGGAGACTTCGCAGCAGGTCATCGTCCCCTCGGATCATCAAGCCGCTTCGCCCAAGGGCTGCCTCATGAATGCTCCCGTTCTTGAACGCCTTTAGCCGCTTCGACTGTTGCTTTGTGGGGCTGCTTAACTCGTTCACCAGTTTTGTCACGTCTTCAACAATCGCAACCTCGGCCTGTTGTCGCTGGAGATGCTCGAGGAACTCCTCCAAATCCCGCTTCACCATGCTAGGCCATACCTCCTCCTCCCCTAGCAAGTTGACTTCCAGGCCAAGGATGTTGGCGTCCAAGTTGTCACGGCCGTACGTGCTGCCAACCATCTTGTGCCACTTTCTCCGTCTCTTCGACTCCTCGTCCTGAAACAGCGCCATCTCATTGGCTAGGGTTGAGGAGTCCGTCTTGATCTTGTCGGACCACTCTCGACGACGGATGGCCTCGGAGGCAAAAGAAGCGTACATGTACGGCAACTGAGAGATGAGTCGCAGGTAATCAAATGTTGTCATAATGTCCTCAGCCTGATTTAGAGCTGTAATCTGGTTTTTAACGCTGCTGTGTACTGTAGTGATCTCGGTGATATTCCGCATAAAGTCGATCGAGTCGGCAGCGATGGCGTTGCGCGCCTGCGTGGCATAGTGCAACATATCGTCCATTTCCGCGGCGCGTTTCTTTAAGCTTGGGATTAGACGCGACGTATGGTTTTCTGCCGTCCGTGATGCTTGGAGGACATTCGCTGGCGTGTCGGCATACTCTAGCATGGTGTTGTAATCCGTGTCAATCTTCTTGGCCACTGCCTCAATATCCTGGAGCAGTTGCGCTGCCTCTTCACTTCGTGCGAGGGCGGATCGGCCAACAAGGTTATCGAACTCGCCAAAGAGCTTCTCAACCCCGCTATACATCCTGTCAGCTGTCTTGTCCAAGTCAGCCGTCTTGGTGCTGAACTTCTTCAGTGATGCCTGCGCTAGTTTGCCTGACTTCTTGGCCGTGTCAAGCTCGATCAGGTCCTCGAGTGTTGCCTGCTTCTTCTTGAGATCGCGGGAAGTCATGAAGCGCACCATGGCAGTCGATACGGGCACGCTGCGCGCGATTGCCAGGCTACGCTCCCAGCCTTCAGCGAGTTGTTCGAACTCGCCCAGCGCAGGGTCCACCCATTTCTTGAGCTCGGCGTATTTGGGCTCGATCTGCTTCACACTAATCTCTAGATTGGCCACTGCCGCATCGAGACACTTGATCATGACGTCCATTTCGCCGTATCGCTCTTGTACCTCGGCGGCGAGGCGCGCTGAGTCGTCAACGATACCGAGAGCCCAGCCCTGGCGCTCCTTGTAGAGGGCCTGCCATTCCGAAAGTACTCGGATGTTGCCGATGTAGTTCGGGGCTGTTGGAACAGAGTAACGCTTTGGGATGGGCACTTCGGACTTTGGGGACGAGGCCCCGCTGGGGGAGGTCGGTGAAGATATCCGGATGTCGTAAACATATATCTCTGTCTGTGAGAGGGTTTTTGTTAGTTTTCTCTGCTGAGTATTGTCGGACAACGCAGTTTCCTACCTCTTGATGAAGAGTCTGCAGCTTGACGGCCCGCCCTTGCGAAGTCAAGGCGACGGCTTGGTGCGCCGGAATGGACGTATGTCTCGCGATCCAGGCCTTAAGATCATCGATCCTGTACAAGTACGTCAGTCTTCAAATCACAACCGTAGGTAAAAATAACAGCAGCGGGAGTAGCCTACGCGGAGAACTGTGTCGTATCCACCTGCAGGCGCTGGCCCGTGTGGGCAATCAACACCTGCGTCGCCATCCCGGAACATCTCCTGGCGACAGCTGCGATAGCTGGCCCACCGTTCGGACTCGGATCGGTTCTCGGAGGCCCTGTGGCTATTGAGGTGTTTGCGAACGCCGTCTCGGCCACTTGTAGGGTGTTTGAAGCACGCAACAACTCGTCGTCGTCGTCGTCGTTGGGTCACTGGAGGGAAAGGTTGCGGGACGACCGTTGTTGCAAGGCGCGAGCGTTTGTTACGCCGGTTTCCAAAAAGATGGCCGCTGAGGCGCCCGGAGCTCGTGCAGGCTGCAAACCCGCTAAAAACCTTGGTGGGAATAGCGTGATGTCGCCTCGTGATCCCTGTTGTCATTTGATTGGGTGTTCGCGGGGAAGCCATCAGCCATTGATAAGGTAAGCGGGGCTGATTAACAAAACATCACTATGAGTAAGCATCAGCCACATAACCTTTCCGGCTCCGAACGGCCACCCCAGCCATCCCCGCCGGACCCTGTGGAATTCGGGCGGAATGGCGATCTGAGGCGCGTACCACGCTCCGCAAACGCGGTTGGACAAGACTCGGCTCAATGAAAGGATTGAGCCAACGAACGGCACCTTCCCCAGCCTGATGCCAGCCACGAATCTCGACTATGGATGAGCCGCAACATCAAGCCGCTTCGGCGTCGAAACAAGACGAAGATGTTCCCTTTCTCCTATCAAAAGATGAGCAGCGCGTTCTGGCTCTCTATGATGAACTCCGCGACCTCGAGGTGAAAGTTGCCCTCATGAAGGCGCAACAAAGTTACTCCCCAGGTATTCCTCCATTCTCGGATGAGACCCCCACGTCTCATTTTCTGACACCATCGGGCAGACTCATCAACACTAAATAACGAAAACAATGTGCGAAAAGCACAGGAGGACGCTGCCAAGGCACGCGCCAGATGGCTACTGAGAAACGACATCACAGATAGTGTCATGACCGCGAATCCTATCCTTAAAGCCGTGCACGGCAGTACCCAAGCTACGCCCGTAGAAGTGTGAGTTTATTCGTCACTCGACTCATTTTGTTGCATTTCACATCAAACGACTTCCTCATTGGTTTACGATGTGTTGGTCCTGTGACTAATAACTATAGGGATCTTATACCTTACGTCAATTCTCGCGATACCACGTCTGTCGCCCTCGCGCAAGTGTCGGCCGACATCCGCACTACTCTCGACGAACTCACCCACGTCGAGGCTGAGAGTCTTCGCGTTGGCAGGCGAAACGTCGAGCTCACAGCTGAAATTCTTCGCCTGGCCAAGGAAGCCGAGAAGAGGAAGACTGGCGAGACTGACAACCCTGCCACCCAAGCTGAAATGACGAAGCTAAAAGCCGAGGTAAAGGCCAGTAGACAACGTTGGAAGGTCATGAAAGGCACGGCGAGCGCCATGGTTGCCGGCAGCGGTGTTGATTGGGCAAGGGACGAAGTACTGAGGGATATTGTGCTAGACCCCGAGGAGGACTGATGAACAAACTGAGTTTGAGGATCAACTCGATGCCCATGCCAGTAATACATGCCGCAGGAAACGGGCGAGGACTATGGGAGTGGATTGAAGAGGCGGTCTCGTCCCGATGTGCCAAAGGCAATACATTCATCAATCGCAATCACAGATCAAAACTGCACCGATGAGAGACGAGGCAAGTCAGGGCTTGAAGAAGAGGTGGGCCTACTAGCCAAATCCCCGGCATCGTAGACATAGAAACGGCTTGCACCCGTCATCCCCGATATCCCGATGCATGGTCTGCAGGAACGGACCGTACTGGACCCTTGCGAGATCCCGTCGTTACGGTTCAGGGCTCCTTTCTTAGGGCAACCGGACAGATTGGGAATCCCAGATCACGGTGCTCGCTCTGCCCTGCGCACGATCGATCTGTTCCGCATCGACTCCAAGAGTGTGGCATCGGCGCACTTCAGGATTTTGGTTTCTAAGCTGATGTTGGTCCCCTGCTACCTCCACACAATCTCACCACTCATGAGCTCTTCAGAAGCTTTGCAGGGCTTAGCGCGACCCAGGCGCTATGACCACCGCGATTTCGAGTCACGTGTGGCATCTTGGCTATGGCAGATCGAGCTGGTAACCAATGTTTGAGCCGGATATAAGTTATAATTCATTGTCAGAAATCGGGCATTTCTATCTCTGCTGGCACTTAGGTAACGCTAAGTATGGGGATATTCGTTGGGCTGATGTCAACTATATCCCAGTGCTGGTTGTTTGTTCATCTTCTCCCTTTGTCGACGCGTATGCCAATTACTAAATAGCCCTGGCGTCAGTGTGAGATAAGACACGCTTATCTCTACACTAAGGGAGCGAATCCGACCTCTTCCAGGTGCACAAAAGAGTAGAGTAGTCGAGGAAAGCAGAGAGAGCAAAGGTTCGGGGGAGGGCAGAGCTCCCCGTCTCTCAAGCGCTGTCTGTACGGCACCAGATCAGCCAGGAGGCCCAGGATGAAGTGGAGCTGACTGGCGTTAGACTACAGCTACATGTACCTTACCTTTTGTCGCGTGCAGGTCAGGTTGTCCAGTGCGAGCGACTGGCGGTATCTGGTTTGGGAGGGGGTGTGTGGGAGAGAGTGTCTTCAGGTAGGGAGGGCGAAAATTGCCGGGGGCACATCAGGTACAGCACAGTATCAGCGACGCGAAGGGGACTAGCACAGCGAAATTGCCTGGCCCTGTGTATCCGCTTCAAGTCGCGGGTACTTTGCGCACTTTGTTCGTCAGCGCGACGCCCATCCCATTTCCATGGCCTTCATTGCCAGCCAAACAGGGAACAAGCGAGCAAAAGCAAAATGGCTGGGCCCGGCAGACTGTCTGGAATGGTGCGGAACTGTTCTCCTCCCTCCTGGTACATAGTAGACACTGGTCGTCTGGCCCATGGCAAGTTGCTGTGCCGGCTTGTGAATTTGCAGGAGACGCTTGCATTGGGTGCATCGGAGAGGGGCCCTGGGGCCTCTCTAACCATCGTTGCAGGCATTACCTGGCATGGCGACTTGGAGTACACCAGGCGCCCGCGCATTTTGTGCGCATGACAAAGTATTCCCACTCTTTCTCTCACTGCCGAGAGTGTTGCACTGCCTGGCCACGACGTAGTGCGAGATGGATATGAGTATGTGTAGGCGCGTCCTTTCGGCTGTCATTGCATGTATATTGTCCTGACTATTCCGAAGTCCAGCCCAAAATGGTTGTGGGCAATTTGGGAAGAAGCTTTGGCTCAGTTTCTCAATCAAGAGACCGCATTACCACGAGCGAGAAGTGTTGATCTAGATGCAGCGATATCCCGCAACAGAATTGTCATTCAGCACCAAATCAAACAGCAAATCTAGTCTCTCATTAATAGAGTATTGCCATCGTCGAGAAAGCGGTCAGGCCAAGTTGATGATTATGAATGGCGCCTTTATAATTCTAGCACGTGCTGTAGACTGGCCTCTTGAGTTGAGAGAGTTATGGTGAGAGGTCGCGGTTGAACCAAAAAAAAGAGGCTGGGGAGTCCACAGAGTACCATCAGCCGGCTAGGTGGGGGTGAGGTGAGAGTGACTCGGTGCGTTTTCCCAAGCTGATTCCGGGCGTGGTGGACCAAACTTGAGGGTACCTGAGACCATGTACCGGTACATGGCAATCTCGTATGACGGTACATGGGGCGTATGCATGAATAAAGTACCCGAGTTTCGTTTCGGCCATTTCTGCCAACCCCATCAGTCAGTCATGATGACCTTCCGGTCGTTCCAATGTCGCATCTCCCTGAGCAACTGACCGCAGTCCGTTTGGTACAGTACTTCGCTACACTTGCAGCTGACGAGCCAGATAATTGAGCGTATTAGGTGAAGTATTATGTATCTGGATAGAAGCCGCAAGCCCTTGTGAAGCGTGGAAGCTATAAAAAGTATGACTCTCAATGGTTACTATTAGCTGCGAATCGCCTGTGTTGCCCGAGCTTTGTTGCTGCTTTGAGGTGATCTCCAAGTTTCGTCGAACTGTGGTGTGGATGGGGCCGGTGTTGGTACCTCTCCGGAAGCCAGCTAATGGTGTTGCAATCTGGGCCGCACAGGAAAAAGCCACTATTGGCATGGCCATATGTGTTTATGCTGTCTAACCGCGTCGACTGGCAACCCATGGACAAGCCTGGCATGGAGCGTTTGTCGAGGACTCTGGGCAAAGTATTTGTGGATTTAGTGTGCTCTGGAAGACGATCCCATTTGGTGTGATGATGATGGAACAAGCCACTCAAAGGAGGGGGAATGCCGTAAAGTGTGTCGAGTGGTGTTTTAGTGTGGGCGAAATTGCACAGCGGCATCCAGGCCAGGCACAGTGTGCATGTGTGTGGTGTGGCAAGTTGCACTTGTTGCCCATGTCTCCAACAAGGACTCCTCAACTGGCTACAGGTGCTCCATCTCTTTACTCGCCATAGCCTGGTAGCTCTTGATGAGATATCCGATAGTTGCGAAGCTTGCTGACAAGACGCTAGTCGAGATGCCTCTAAACCATGATATCATCAACATCCACCGCCCCAGCAAAGAGCGGAAAGACTGACGCACATCTCAGAGGCATGTACGGGGTGCTTTCTACCACAGTCGAAGTTTGCTGGACGGATTACTCGTGCGAAGTAATGTCGTCCTAAGAAACTAAATCAGGAGGTGCAGGACACCGCGCAGTCTCCCCGAGCGTCAGGGAGACATAGCTCAGATCACCCAATCCACCTTACCCTAGTAAGGGTCGAGAGCTGAGTGTGGGGAGGATGGTACTACGGACGGTAGAGAGGCGAAGCTGGCCACCTACTCAGTGTCGCGTCGCCTCCCCTGCGCGACGCAGACTATGTTGATGTTCCTCATCGTGGACCAAGGTGCCTGCGGAAGGTGACTGGCGGGCATTGCCTAGCACCTAACAAGCCAGCGGGCGGTAGGGGATCCCTTAGCGCTGGTGAGCATGATGAAGGAAATGCTTGGTTCTAGCCTGGTCCAGTCGGTAGTGGCATATGTAGCACTGCGCATCCTTTTTGTCTGGATGTGCCCGTATCCGTCCGTTGCCATGGGCCATGGCTTACTTGAGGGAGTTTGATTGCAACGAGGCAGGTGATGTGAGGTATCCGTAGAGGAGGGTGCGGGTAACATGGAATGGCGCAGAAAATTCTGGGCGTTGAGCCGGGTTGCAAGAAAGCCGACTGGTTTTTGTGACGTGAAGCAGCAAAAAGAAGGCTGAAGAAGTTGTGAAGCATTCATAGCATAAGACGAATAGTAGTTTGTTAGCAAAGTTGCTGCTGATCGGTGTAAGTGGAGTGGGTGAGGTGAGCAGACAGGTAAGGGTTACTACAGTCGACGCTATTAGCACCAGTATCACCAGTGGCATCTCCTCAAGCCGGGTCAGTGGACTATGATGGAGACCTTGAATGGAAGCGACTGCAAGAGAGTTATTGGTGGCCCTCAGCTGAAGGCTGGCTGGGACGGTGGCCCGTGTGGGCTGCGAAGTGCCAGGTGAAGTGGCAGAAAGGAAAAGGTGGGGTCCAAGGCAAAAGGTAGAATCCGAATCAGCGAACGACGTAAAAAGAAATGCAGGTCGAGAATGATGGTACTGCTTCGGAGGTAGCAGAAAGACAGGGAAAAGGTACATTGAGCCGAAGCAAAGGGAAGGTGCGGAAATGTACCCAGTGCGAGAATCTGTCTCAAGGCGGAGGTACAATGCGCAAGTACAGTACTTTGGTGCGGAGATTTGCGCGCGCTTTGTATCTATACAGTACCACACAATAATAGCAGCGACAAACATCATTAGAGGGGACAAAGCTGGAAAAGGGCAAGGAGCGAGGGAGAAGTGATGAAAAGACGGGACGGACGGTAGACAGTGTGGAAGGAGTAAGGGACAGGGGAGAGAAGGTTAGGCACGGTAAAGCAAGGAGGGTAAAGAGCGACCACAAGGCACAGGATGGCAAGGAAAGAAGGCATAATGGTGGTAGAAGGTGGGCAGTGGCAGTAGGGGAGAAGGAAAGAATTGCCTCTGCCTGCTCCTCTTGCTGCTCTTGCAGCTTTGGTGCTTGGTTCCTACCTTCACACTCTGGCCTTCGCGCATGCCCACACCACGTCTGATCTGGTGTGGCTAACAAAATGTACTGGTTGCGTGCGGGCACGCGCGCCTGCAGACTAAGAAGGTACCTTGCCTTACTAGCCAAGGTCTCCTGGTACTTCCTATAAAAGTAGCGAGGCAAAAGTGGCAGGCCGAGTGACTGTTCCTTCCCTTTCCCTGGGTGAGGACCAGGCAAGAGGGGGTAGGGAAAGCAAAGGAAGGGAAGGCGGAGGTACTTTCCCTGGTCGTATCCGTAGTAGGGTACTTGCTACCACACTCTTGTCTGTACCGTGCCTTCCTCACGGATACTCGTAGACTTGGAGGGGGTGATGGGTGATGGGGGAAGGAAGGGAAGGGGACTCTGGACTCCTCTGGCCTCGTTCAGGGAGGGAAGCCGCGCCCACCCTTCACTCCCATGGTCCTTTCCCCTCTCTCTCATACCTTCACTCCTCTTTTTTGCGTGTGCCCAGTCACCACCCAGTATTTTTTTTTTTTGCCCAGTGGCCAGTGCCAGTGTGCCAGTGCGCAGCCCATTTTTTGTACGCTGCACCCATTCAGCAGCCAGAACTAGGAGAGCCAAAAAGTGACCAGACCAAGCAAGTCCAAGGCGACCCCCTTCCCCCCTCGCCTTTACCCCCCAGTCGGCCACAGAGTCCCAGACTTCCCAGCAAAAACAAGTGCAAGAGGCGCGTTGCTCCCGCACAATCACTCCCCCATAGTAAAAAGGCTGCTTGGCCCTCCCCCCATACATTTTCCCTCCCTCTTCTTCTCCCATACAAATCTCCCACCCAAATCCTTCTCCCATACAAATTGCACTCTCGCAATACACACATACCAGCCTCAGCGCACCTGAACCTGTGAGTACCCATCACCTACGCTCTACCTTCAACACCGCGAACACTTGCACACTTCCGTCGCAATCTATTTTCCAGGGTGCTTCCGCTCTGGAAAATAAATTCTCGACCTGCACGATCCAGAAAACCCTTTTTTCTAGTCGTTCCCGTGGGTGCAACTGGTCTTGAGAGGTTTACAACTTGGCGTGCATCTCTTGAGCTCTTCATACTATCGAGCACCTCGCATCTTTAAACATCGCCCAAAAGGAGCTTGACAGCTAACAGAGCTTGACGCGTCCAGACCACCACTTCCACAACTCTTTCTATACCTTTTCAAAACCCGCTCAGGTATGCTTCACGATCTCTTTTCGACGACTTTAAGCTTCAAATCTCAATTTCCTCGCGTTATGGACCGCAATTGCACTTGCGACCGGTCATCCCCCACGCCTCGGGATCCGCCCATTGCGGCCCGTTCGTGTATCACTGCCCTGCTCTTACGCCGTCCAGCTGTCGCGTAGCTCTTATTTCCCCTCAATCTCGCCCAGTTTACCCTGCGTTACCCAAATCTGCGCCTGCCTCTGCTTCAGCTAGCAAACTAACACTTTCCATAGACACCCAAAATGCCCAAGGCAGCAACCAAGCGTGGCGCGGCCGGCAAGGTCGAGAAGAAGCGCGGCAAGAAGGGTAAGTCGATTTTGCCCATCTTGTCGCCTGCGAACCGCATGGTGTGAAGCTCGAAAGATGCGTGCTGGCAGTAGCTCGCGGCATACCCAAGTCTTCCTAAGCGTGGTAGCTTGGTGCTGTCTCAGTATCTGTCTCCGCTCTTCAGCAACACGCCGATGCCCCGTCTTGCACGACTCAACTGATAATCAACTCGACTTGATACTAACACGTCATTCCCAGACCCCAACGCCCCCAAGCGTGGCCTCTCTGCCTACATGTTCTTCGCCAACGAGCAGCGCGAGAACGTCCGTGAGGAGAACCCCGGCATTTCGTTCGGCCAGGTCGGCAAGATCCTCGGTGAGCGCTGGAAGGCCCTCAACGACAAGCAGCGTGGTCCCTACGAGGCGAAGGCTGCCGCCGACAAGAAGCGTTACGAGGATGAGAAGCAGGCCTACAACGTAAGACAATACTCCATCCCCTGCTAGTTGTGTCGTGCTGAAGCTAATTAGTCCTACTAAAGGCCGACCAAGAGGAGGATGAGTCCTCTTGAGTGCTGTTTTTCCGTTGCTTCTCGGTCCGAATGGGTGGCGTTTAGTGCTTTTAACCCGCACATCTCATCTTTCGGACTTTTCTTGTAACTTTGGGCTCGGTGGTGTATGATGGGATTGATATGGGTTGCTTTTCACGTTATTCAGGGTCCGGCAGGAAAGGCTGTATGAGGCAGGCGATGCTATCCATACCGTCCTGTATTCCATAGGAGGGCCGGTCATGCCGCCGGTTGCGGAACGGAATTTCCAAGCGATTGGGACAAATGATATTTGACGGCTCACGTTGACAAACTTGTATGACTATTCCCTATGCTTACTCTGGTGCATCTTAGCCAAGTACGTACGACGTGTTCCGATGTGGTAAATGGACCTGGTGGCTAGCCTTTGTAAGTGGCGACTTCCCCGGACCCAAGGATCTGGTTTTCACTGGGCCTTATTTCAATGAACCACTCATGAGACTCGTTATGTTTTTATAAACCATGCCGTGCCATCACATCGTGGGGGAAGGACAGGAGGGCATACAGTAGCTGGGATCAGCCTGTCCACTAATGCAGAGCCCACGAGGCCAGGGTGATTCAGCGACTGCCGCCCGGGGGCTTAAAGTCGGGCTGGGTGGCCCGTGCCTAGCGAGGCAATCGGCGCATCTGGCCGTTGCCGTGAATGGACGGAAGGTGTAGGCAAGGTAGGCGGTGAACCGGTGAAGGCGGTGGGGGGATGCCCTGTGGCTTCATGCTGGGAGAAGTGCCCTCCAACCGACTGAGGGAAAGAGCCAGTAAGGACGCCAACGGTCAGGGTGACTTTCCGTTCTTTCCTCTCCAGTGCATCTGCTCCGAGAGCAGCATCGGGCGGGTGACTCACCCTCTACTTGCTCATGCGACAAGAACTTGGATGTTCTGGACAGGACACTGGTCGAGGCCGCCTCTTACCCTCCTTGGGAGCAGGCTGGTGTTTGGTCTGAGAAGGAACAAGGTATAGAGAGGAAGATGGGTGCCTAATTCATATCAGGTTACCTCCTGCACCTGCCTTGCCTTTCACATTCATAAACCAGCAGCCTTCGCAATAAAGTCTCTTCTCCACTGCTTCCTCACAACTGGACTTTTCTTCCTTCCAGTTACTTATGCCCATGCATCCATCACCAACCAGCCGGGACTATTCACGGCCTGCTTGTCAATCAGCCGTTTGCGCAACCTCCACCGCAGATGAAGATGACAGCCATCTGCAAAACATTGATTTAACCAACCGATGTGTTAGCGATATTGACTCATCTCACTTGGGCCTAGTGGCCGGAAGCTTCTTGAGATGAACCGATCTATCTTCTGCCGAAACTCGTCCAAAGAAAGCTTTGCCCACTGGGTCAATCTTCATGCTGGATTACCTCATCTCACGCCGGGAGGCCCTGCGCATCGCGCTCTGCGCGAACGGTGCAAGTGAAGACATAGGCGGCAAGTGGTGTGCGTTTGCGGAGACGAGAGGAATACTGGTGCATCACCACCCCAGGCTAAGGTGGGAGGGAGTGGCATCGCGCCGCATCTCACCATGCATCTGTCATAATTCGCTTGTAACCACGATACCTCTCTGCCGTACGCGACACTTGTCGTTTCGCTAATCTTCAACTCATAGACGGCGCCATTCTCTTCAACCGGAAGCCTCACTCCTCCGTGGAATCCGTTGGCTTGGATGGTCCTAAAGACCCCTTCGAACTTGACACCTAATTTGCGATGCGACACTGCACTCCATCACCGATGTTTGTGTATATGTGTGTGTGTGTGTGTGTGTGTGTGTGTGTGTGTGTGTGTGTGTGTGTGTCTAATTTTTTCCCTTCTTTTTCTCTTTTTCTAATTTATTTTCTAAAGAGATTTCATAGCTGGAATGGCAGCTAGTCGCTGGATTTTGCCACAACATGGCGCTCATGGACAATGTTCCTTTCCTTGTCCACGAAGTCTCATCTAGAGGCAGATATTTATCTGCATTACTTATGCAAGTGCTAGTCACCCAGGCCTTGCCCCCGCCGACTCCGGTCCGGCCTCATTCGTCCGCCGTACCATCTTGGTCGTTCCTAATGCATGCAGAGGGGGAAACGTACAGGTCCATGGGGTCACCCTCAGCAGTCGTGGCATGCTCTGGCTAGTCGGTCGTCGGGTCAGTATGTGTTGAGCCCACACATTTTGCTTTGGCAGCAATCTGACCTACATACGCTGCCCTCTTCATTGCCTCCCTTCCAGTTCTTTCCTTCGACTTTCTTCGTAAGCCCTCAATACAAGCCGTTGGGGCGAATGTTGATTTTGGTATGTTTCCTTGGCCAAAGCTAAATACCATCACCGCGTGCACAAGTCGGTTGACTAGCTGATGCCCGACAATTGACATCTGGTGACATTGGTAGCGCTCACGTGCTTTTGGAAATCACCTAGCATTGCCAAATTCAAATTGGACCCTTTTTTCTTTTATGTGTACCTGTGTTCAGTTTCAGGCGTAGACGACAACAAAGCTCATCAAGGACACCCTACGAGTCTGATTCGACCTGGATATTTCGCCTGATATAAACAACAGACAGTGCAGACCGACCACGGAACACCAAACACGTCAGGAGCGAGGAAACTGTGTTGGTGTTTGGGTTCGTACTGCCAGCACAGAAAAGAAAACAGAGTAACTGGATTTGAGCACTGGCGGGGGTGTGGTGGCGTGTGTTTTTGGGTTGGCCGTCAAAAATCGAGACCTGCAGCTCCGAATTGTAATTGCAGCCGCTTTCCGCCCATTGAGTGAGCGCCTACGGCCGTGGCCACCACAACAGAGATTGTCATGCTGAACAAGCAAAGCGGCCCATCTCCTCTTTTTCCTCCTCACTTATCAGCATTCATGTCTGTCGCTATATCTGAATGATATACAATCTCCGCAATTTGTGCCTCGCAGCAACTGTTCTCGTGTGTACTTTGGACACAATCAGTCAGATTCGAAAGCATTTCCGAAGGTATCGAACGGGTTAATGATTTTTGGTCCCCACGGAAGACGAGGAGTTCTTATCAATCGACAAATCCCCCCGGCTTCGTGGTGTCCCGCTGCACCATGCGACGCTGGAGTTTACCGTAATCGCCTATCCGGCCGAAAGCACTTATTAAATTTGCCAGTATGGAGCAGAGTCTGCAAAGGATTGATTTCCGCCTTCTTCAAGGCTGCTGTCTTGAGGCAGAGCGCGCTGATCTTGTATCGGTGAACCTGGAAGGTCTCCGCCTCTCCCTGCCAGAGAACTACGGCGGTCACCTCGCTGCACTCGTCGAAGAGATGCGGAGTTGTGCAAGGATACTTCGAAGCTTGGCCGATCTGTCCCAGATGCATTTCAATCGCGTACCAATCCTTCTCAACTACCTCAACATAGTTCTACCATGTCTATCCAGAACGCTACGCGACATCACCACATTTTACGAGACCCGCACTTTGAGCAAGGAGATGCGATGGCGGAAAATGTACCACACCCTCACACAGGAGGTTGGCGGCTTACCTCTTCCCCAACGCTTTGTGCTCTATAATCACTTCTTGACATGCCTGAAGCATCTGCTCACAAGGTACACCGCAGCCCCGCAAGAGACGCCGCGTAGGAGTTTACTAAAAGAATACAAGATCTCCAAACTTCGACCTCAACGGTCTAGAGAACCTGCGAAAGAGAATTATTAGTTTGCGAGAAGCGAGAGGCATTGGTATGTTAATCCCGTTGGCTCAGTGGCACTCTGTGAATTTAGTAACAACATGTACAGCGACGCCAACAGCACAAGTTGGGCCCGTTCTCCGACCTGAAAATATGCTCTTGCCGGCGCTTCAAGACCCCGTACGTCTGCCAAGTCTGATGTGTTGATATAGTACTGACTAGGGCCAGAATGCGCATTGGGCTGAGCAGATATTCTCGCTCCCTCTGCCATCTCGGACTGCCCTGAAGCATAATAGACCCTCAGAGGCACGCGGCAACCTCATGGCGTGGGGCCAGCTGAACATTCCAAAAGAGATCAAGATGCTATTCAGACGGTGTGACACATCTTTCTTATCCTTAGGATCACACTAATAGAGGGTGTCTAGACCTTTTGATGAAGACCGTCTCTCGTTGATGGTGTATCTCAACCTGGTGAACCAGACACCTTACATGCTTATCCGGCAGTTTCACCAGGGCGCCCCATGGTTCACTCTCCGCGGCACTCATGAACTTGTCATACACCGTGAGGGTAGCGCGCTGCAGCTTAACCGATGGAGTCAGGTGGATAATGTACCCAAGCTTTGGGCCGCTCTCTGCTTCAAGACTTGGGAAGGCAAGCACAACTTGGCTGTCAACGCATGTCCTAGTCTATGCTAATCCGCGTATAGAATTAGTTTTGTTCCATTGCACCTTTGTCTCTTTGAAGGCCCGAAATCTCCTAACCGTCAGCATGAACGCCCGAGAATTCAAGGTGTCTGGCGAATCAAGACTCTTCCAAGCGTACGGTTCTCCCGCCTGTGATTGCAAATTAGGAATAACAAAACAAACCCTAGGCAAATCATTGATGATGGCTTCAAACACTCTCTCATAGTGTACCAAGATGTGGCAACCAAAGGCCTCCGTCTGCACGCCGCGGTGTGGGAAGGCGAACTCCGTCAGTGTCCAGTTTGGACGGCATTTGGTAGGCTCCCAACGTGACCACTCTATCAATAAAAAATTTGCCGACTTTTCAGGCTAACCGGCAATGCCATTGTAGTAACCCACCAGTCTGCGTCCCGAACGTGGCTACACCGTAAATCTCGCCATCGCATATGGCTCAAAGATATTCAACTCTACGTCTTCTGCCATCGTTACCGCCAGCAAAACCAACGAAAGGGTCAGGCCGGCGCCTTTGAGATCAACTTCGTCTCCGACGTAGGGGCCACGCGGTTCCGGCAGGTGTTCTTCCCGGAACCGGAACCCCCGCAAGCCATCGAAGACGGGAAGGAGAAATAGGACCTTGGCGAGACTTCGCTACGGCGCATACCGCTGCCGGTGACGAGGAACCCGGTCTGTCTCCACTTGTGACCTCCGATATTTTAATACCGTGCTCGCCCCGGTCCCTCCGACTCCGTCGCCGTCCCGATAGTGGACTATCCCCACCCTTTGCTATCTCTGATATATCTTTTTTTTTTTTGATCCCAGAGAGGATACCCGCGTTACGTCAGTCCCACTCTCGCCGGAGATGGTCTTCCCGAAAATAAACGAAAAAAAAAAAAAAAAAAAAAAAAAAAACCGTGCCATATTACATCCACACAATACGAGAGTTTTTCCGTGGGGTTCTACGGTCGTCTCTTGGTAGACCGCCATTACGCTCGTACCGGGGATTCCCGCACGACAGACAGCTCCTCCCATCGAATACGTTTTTTTGTTACTCTCTGCAGAGTCGAGAGTACATGAATGACACTTGCAAAAGAGTTTGGTCTCGGAGGAAATACCCCGAGAGAGAAAGAGATTGATGATTTTGCTTCATTTTGGTTCTATTTTTCTCTTCTTCTTCTTTTCCGTCTTTTTTTCGTTCAGTTATAAGCGTAGCGTGTTTTGCAGTGTGTTGACTTTTTTTTTTCGATTTCCCTTTTTGTCTCTTGATTTTGATCTAAATCTGCACAAGCGCTTAGTCGTCACGATCTATGATGCTATGATGTTAATGATAACCTTAAAAGTTAGTCGAGAATCGATATGGAAGAGTTGTTTTTGTCACAAAAACGAGCCGTTGCCGTAGTACATACATTGAGTGACACGAGTCCATGCTATTAGGGTCGATTGATTCAATTTATGCTATCGTGTACCATCATAACATCGTCCGCAGCAAGCCTGATGCTGAGCTTCTCTATACTGAAGCGTATCTTTTTACCCCCCTTTCCCTTGCTTTCCCTACTACCCAACAATCAATCATACAACTGCGCGCTTAGGTCTTGACGTCAGGCTCGTCACGGCCAATGAACTCCTTGAACTTGAGCAGGTCAGTGGCCATCTTGATCTCGGGCTTGAGGAAGTCCTGAGCGTCCTGGTCGTAGGTGCTGGGGTCGCTGCTGTGCTGCTCAAGGTACAGACGGATAGTAGCGCCGGAGGAGCCAGTGCCAGAAAGGCGGACGATGATACGGCTGCCTGAGGAGAAGGTGGCGTACAGGCCCTGGTTAGAGGAGACGGAGCCGTCAAGGTCAGTGTAGGAGAAGTTGCCGGCGCCGGTGACAGTGCGGTCTGCGAACATCAGTTAGTTGTTTACTAAACTAGGGGAAACAGAGGGAAACATACCTCCAACCTTGCTGCCGATGAAGTTGGGGTCGGCAACGAGGTCCTTGAGGACACCGACGACCTTGTTGGCGCCCTCGCTGTCAACGTCCTCGTAGTCGTAGCGGGTGAAGAAGGTGCGGCCGTACTCGCTCCAGAAGTCCTTCTGGATCTTCTTGATAGAGGGGGTGACGTCAGGGTTCTGGACACCGATGCCGGCAATGATGTTAAGCCAGGCGACGATAGCCCAGAGACCGTCCTTCTCACGGATGTGGTTGCTACCAGTGCCGAAGCTCTCCTCACCGCAGATGGACAGCTTGTCAGCATCGAAGAGGGCGCAGAAGAACTTCCAGCCAGTAGGCACCTCATAGCAGTTGAGACCCTGCTTCTTGGCAACAAGGTCGACAGCGCCAGAGGTGGGCATAGAACGGGCAAGGCCGTAGACGCCGTTCTTCTTGAAGTAAGGGATCAGGTTGGCGTGGTGGGCAATAATGGCGAGCGAGTCACCGGGGGAGACGAAGGCGTTAGCGCCGTAGATCATGTTACGGTCACCATCACCGTCGGAAGCGGCGCCGAAGGGGATGTTGTTCTTGTCAACGACCTCGACGAGGGAGTGAGCATAGGTCAGGTTGGGGTCGGGGTGGCCGCCGTTGAAGTCAGGGCTGGGCACACAGTTCTGGGTGGCGCCCTTGAGGCCGAGCTCCTTCTCGAAGATGGCAGTACCATAAGGACCGGTGACACCGTGCAGGCCATCGAAGAGGACCTTGAAGTCAGGGTGAGTCTGGAAGAACTTGCGGATAAGGTCGAAGTCGAAAATATCCTTGAGCATGTCGACGTAGTCGGCGGTGCTATCGACGACCTCGACCTCGAGGGAGCCGTAGGTCTTGGTGCCGATGTTGGTGATATCGACATCAGGGATGGAGGCGATCTTGTACGAGGTCAGGGTCTTGGAGGCCTCGTAGATCTTGTTGGTGACGGACTCGGGGGCCGGGCCGCCGTTGGCGAGGTTGTACTTGATGCCGAAGTCGTTCTTGGGGCCTGGCACAGGATTTGTTAGCTTGATTGATAGCCATGGTAGGAATTGGCAATGAAGGCTTACCGCCGGGGTTGTGGCTGGCAGTCAGGAGGATACCGCCAGTAGCCTTGCGCTTGCGGATGACATGACTGGCAGCGGGGGTGGACAGAATGCCGTTCTGGCCGATGAGCAGCTTCTTGACACCGTAGGCGGCACCGATCTTGGCAATCAATTGGATGACCTCGGGGTTCCAGAAGCGGCCGTCACCACCGATGACGAGGAAAGAGCCTGCAGTGGCGGTCTGTCAGTCTGGAGGTTGATCACGTCGTGTGGAGTAGTTGTTTACCCTCAGCTCCCTCGGGAATGGACAGCAGAATGCTCGTAACGAAGGACTCGCTGTAGTGGGGTTGCTGGAAAACGGTAACCTTCTTGCGAAGACCAGAACTGTTTCCAATGTCAGTGATGCGTTAAAGAGATGCGTCGTGGGAGCTATGGCGGGGTAGCAAAAAAAGAGTCGGGGGATTGACGCTGGGAATAGCGTCAGAGAGGGGTTTTTTGAGAGGGTGTGACGTACGTTCCGGGCTTCTGGTCTTGGAAGGGCTTGAACTCGACAGTCTGCACGTCCATGTTGCTGTAGAATTTCTAGACAATGCCAATGAACGATGGTAGTAAGGGAAGACAGGATGAAGAAGGAAAAGGAGAATGTTGAGAAGGGGGAGCTGTGCTGGGGACGCAATTATTAGTGTACCTTTGCCTTATGCGTACCTCCGTACGCGTGGTAGGTATGGCAACTGGCAATGGGCGAGACCGGGGCCAACCTCAAGCCAGGAGGGGCACAGGCCCGTCAAACTTGCTACGGTGAGTGGCAGCGGTGGCAGTCAGTGAAGCGATGATGCGATACGATAGGTCAGAATGCACCTCGCTGAATAGTGTTTGCTGGGGAGCTGTGGCTTGGTGGGGGTTGCTTGGCCAGTGATATCATTCTGAGGCTAGACGTGGGCGGGGGCATCTCCCAGTGAAGGAGGGGCAGCTCGGGTGGGAGCCCCTCACCTCCAAGGGTGATGGCGCATACCGCCTAGTGTACGGAAGGACAACGAATTATCGTAAGAGAACCCCGATAGTGCCCTTTGAAGCTCCATACGCACTGTCTCTTCACTCTTAATCATTAGTTGCGATACAGTGTTTTGGTTGTGGACACACTGGTATTCCAAAGAAGGACGTTGCAGAGATTGATGGCACCTTTGCATCATTAAGGGGGGAATAAAAATATACAACCAATGGTGACATGTCCCTAGCCTTGCTTGCCCAATGACTTCATTTCATTCGCGCCTATAGCAAGTTATCTGCCCAAGCTTCTTCTTCATCTCTCTCAGTCAACGGCGTTTCCTGAGCACTGCTGCCGCCTTGTTTCCATGTCAACCCAAATATCGCCTCCCTGTAGTATTTGGCCTCAGCAATGCTCTCTAGAATATCCTCTTTTGCCTGATGCAGCCCTTGCTTGATAGGGGCGTTGTCGAGAATCTGTGGCGGACCCCATCGTCTTGCTGCTTCTTTAATAGTGCTGACATCCAGGATACGGTGATGAAGATGGTCGACGACCTTCCGGTAAGGCGGCTTGTTCAGAAATGACCGATCCGCGTGTACGCTGTTACCAGCTAGCAGTGCAATCTTCCGTTCGGGGATGAATCGCTTGATGTATGCCAGCAGCTCATCCGCCGCCTGCTCCGGGGTCGTCGTCGACTTGATAACAGCCGCGGTCAGGCCGCTGTCTCTGTGCGTCCTAGTGCACCACTCATCCATCTGCGCCATTCGCTCCTCTGACTGGTGAACCACGCATCCCCAGCCTTGGGGATCAACGACTTCAAGGTTGCCGCTGGTGATGATGCAGAAGATTTCAATAATTTCCTCTTTGTCTGGATCCAGACCGGTCATCTGCTAATGTGTTGGTGATGATTCCGCTTCATCTAAGCAGGCTTGTTGTACTCACTTCACAATCGATCCAGACGAGGGGTCCATCTGATGCAGACTGCAGCTTAGAGGTGGATGATTTCGGTTTGAGAATTTCCATAATAACTAGCGTTAACTTCTTGAGTGATTCGGACGTTTGATGGTGATCGTGTGACCAAGTGAAGGCATTGGCAAAGTGCAAATATCAACTGCTTTAGCTGTGTTCGGCCGAACCATCAAAAGCCATCTCACAAGGTGGGGTTACCTCTGGACAGCTCCAAGCTTGTGGCTGCTGAATCGTTACATCACTTGGTGGCGGCGCATGAGGCTAATAGCGATTCAGTAGCAGCTTCCCGCTGGACATCGGCTCTGTTACATTGGTGCTTCACCGCTACGTAGTAGAGGGGGCCCACCATTTCAAACCCAATGCTCTGATAAGATAACCCCAGATAAGATACGTAACGTAGTAAGCATGGATTCTACTCCGTGCAGCACTTCAAATAGAAAGCTCTTGATTGGCTGTTGCATGCTGACTCCCCGCTTTGCACCCGACATGGTTGCTATAAACTACGAGAGCTTCCTATCAACTACACGACTGTTTCTTCTGTTCATTATTGTGGTCTTGGTGTAACGTTTCGATTGCTTCACCGTTAATATCAAGCCATCGTTATTGTATTTTGAAAAATTCAATCTTTGCATACTGAATTTGAATTGTTGCAGTTAGAAAATCAAAGCTCCGTTAAGAGCATTACCGAGTCTAAAAGCCCTTCTGTGCTGGTGCACCAAGATACAGCTCCTCAATGGCATCCGTCAAGAAATCGGGTTCGCCCGTCGCAGTGACCCAAGAACCTACCATTGTGCCACCGGAGAAGCCCGAAATGTCTGCTTCGCCACCTCGCATTCTCATCATCGGTGCTGGATCACGCGGTCAGGCATATGCCCATGCAACTCAGACATCCAGCAATGGTGTTGTAGCGGCCGTTGCTGAACCCATCAGCTACAAGCGCCAAACCTTTGGCAGGACATATATATGGGGCTCAAGTCCCCCGCAAGATGGTCAACAGTTTTCTGACTGGAGAGATTTTGTCACCTACGAGACACGCCGCCGCGAGAGGGAAAGTGCTGGGGAGAGTGTGCCGCCCGGTGTTGACGCTGTCTTCATCTGCGTCCTGGACGAGATGCACCGCGATGTTGTTATCGGATTAGCGCCTCTCGGATTGCACGTAATGTGCGAAAAGCCATTCGCGACGACTTTGGGAGACTGCCTTGACATGTACAAGGCCCTCAAACCGCCTGCTGGCCAGGAACCCAAAAACGTCTTCTCCATTGGTCATGTACTTCGGTACAGCCCACATAACATGCTCCTTCGCAAATTGCTTCTCGAAGAACGTGTCGTTGGTGAAATCATTAACATTGTTCACACCGAGCCAGTTGGTTGGTGGCATTTTACCCATTCCTATGTCCGCGGTAATTGGCGAAACGAGAAAACGACTGCACCAAGTCTTCTTACCAAGAGCTGCCACGACATTGATCTGATTCTATGGCTTCTCAGTGCGCCTACTAAAGCAGGCAAAGGCAGCCCGCACCTACCTTCCACCGTATCTTCGACCGGCTCCCTTCAGCTCTTCCGCAAGAGCCGCAAACCAGCCGCGGCAGGGGACGCGACGAATTGTCTATCTTGCCCCTTGGGGGATGAAGGCTGCAAGTACTCGGCTAAGAATATCTATCTTGGCCCAAATCTCCAAGGTCTCGGGTCCGGAAATACCAACTGGCCTGTCAGCATTGTGCTTCCCGAAATCGAGGACTTCGGTACGACGTCTCGAAACAAGGTGTTGGCCTCTAAGCTTGCCGAGGACTATGATGAAACGACTCCCCAGGAGATCATCTCGTCGCGAAACTGGTTTGGCCGCTGTGTATTCGACGCAGACAACAATGTGTGCGACCAACAGACTGTGACCATTAACTGGGACGATGACTTGACAGATCCGGAAACCCCTAAGCCGTCCAAATCGGCCACGCTCCACATGATTGCTCACACCAAGAAGATATGTGAAAGATATACGCACATCTATGGCGTCGACGGAGAGATATATGCTGATTCACGCTCGATTAACATTGAGAACTTCAACACCGGCACCACCCAGACCTACTATCCAACCATCGAGGACGCCGGGCATGGCGGCGGTGACAAGGGCCTGGCGCGCCAGTTCATATTGGCTGTTGACCGAGTAAAAAACCATGGATGGACACCGGAGAGAGCGCAGAATGAGTATATCGGCTGCTCGCTGGAAGAAGTAATCCGCTCGCATGCCATGGTGTTTGCTGCAGAAGAGGCAAGGACAGGCAAAAGGGTTGTTGACTGGGAACCATGGTGGTCGCACAAGATTGCAAGTGCGAATAGTGAGTGAAAAGACTGTCGTGCCTGGAGCCTAGCCTCATTTTTGATCGTCATCGGGGAGGTATAGTCTGCCCTGGTCTCATCAGCGGGATAACGCCCCGACGGGGGCTATACCGAGGAGAACAACACAGTGATGAAAACAAGGAACCATGGTTGGTTATCCTATTCGTATTCTAGGATCTGTTCAGAGTGGCAGACGTTAGCACACCGCCGCCACTCGGGGACTTGGTACCGGCGGCAATTCCCCGAGTCGTTAAAGTTCTCAGTCGTTACAGAAGAACCATTGGCAATGCCCTTATACGTAGTATACGCAGAATCAGGAGGCTCACGTGAGTGTGCCTCTCAAGTAACTTGGGTTGTCAATGTCGCCCTCGCAGCCAGACTTGCCACTAAAAGCTGTCTCTGATCACTTGGGTCATTGCATGGATTCCCCACCTTGCCGCGGGATTTCCCCGATGTCTAAACGCGGCGACATCAGTCAAGCAACGTTCAGCTAGTCCCTGCTTGGCAACAAGCACTAAGCAGAGCCGCATCGGTTTTGGTGTGATGTTGTCGGCTTGTCGGTATTAGCTTTAACAGTAGGGCGATAGCTCCCCGGCCTCGATGGCATCGCCACCAACCTTTTGAATCGACTTTTCAGATTCTCCCCGGCGGCTACTTCCCCGTCAATCTCTTGACTCTTACCAAATTGTTACCGCTAGGCAAATTCTCATTCAATTAGGGACTGACACGCCAATCGGATGCCGCTGTGTCAACTTCAGTCCCCTCAGATGGGACGCTAGCCACCTCCAGATCTCTCAAAAGGTATAGCCAAGGCAGTAAAGATATGGGCCACTTGAGGCTCCCCGACGAGGAAGAACCGCCTTTGATTGTCTTCCACCGTTGCGAAAGAGACTTTTCATCTTTACGGGGATGTCTCCGATGCTACGGATGGCCGGGGAGCAAGACAAGATTGTACTGTTGAATAAAGATTCGAGTCATTGGATCTCGGGGTTTGCCACTTTGAGCATCGTTAATATACTATCCAATTGCGAAGTATCATCTGGTTTTCTTCCAGAATACGCGCAATCAGATTCGGCATCTCCCCGTTGTTCGGATCAGCCTGTCCAAGATGGGAGGACATAGAAATGTCAGGAAAGCACGTGTCATCTAATCACTGCTAATGTCTGGAGCCAAGTTGCAGACTGGCATTCATTGCCATATAGGCATGACTCCGGATCTCCCCAGTGCCTCAGGATGGCTGCATACATGTCGGTTGAAAGATCTGCATGCCAATTCCGTGGCGTCTCGGTACCAGGACATGTATCAGCTACGGACCCGCTCCCGTGAAATACATGGTAAACGATCGAAGCTCTCAAGAAGAGTTTCCGACGTGTCAGCATCTTGCACCTCAAAACCGAACGGATAGTTCGGGGACGCGAGTATCCACTGCCAAGCCAGTTCATTATAAAGTCAAAGTTTAATTCAATTTGAACGCCCGACAAGTCCACATTAAAGAACAGGTATGCTACAGATCGTCGAGCTCGGTTTGTTATCTGATTAGCTGTAAGCCAAAGACCGGTGAACTTGGAGCTTCCCCTCACCATTGGTGAGACCATCCCTGCCCCAGACTGCATAAGATCTAAACGCCAAAAAATTGTTGAGATAGCAGCGGCCTTTGTGCCGCGAGTTTGCCAACGGGACGGCTATTCCCTCTCCATGCGCCTAGCTTTTCGCTGCAAGGCTCGGGATCCTACTGCCACTACGTTGTATTTGCTGTCGTGTGGCGCAAGCACGATGACGAGTTGCACATCTGTTGTCTCCCAGCCCCCGACTTGATCCAACGAGTTGAGTTGGAGCAAACACGAAGATCGGGCTTGCCTGCCGTGCCAGTAGCACTGGCAAACCTACGTACACGACAGAAACTCTCCGATATATGCACTGTCGGTGCTAATCTCCCGTGTCAGCTGAGAGACAACAGTGAGGGGGGTGGTTTAAGGTAATGCCAGCTGGCTAAGGCGTGAAAGTTGCATCGGTGGATGACCCCCGAGACCCCGTGCGCCGAAGCCACCGGCCGTAACGTCCCCGCCTTCAAAAAGGACCCCTTTCCCCCTCCCTCTCTTCCTCCAATCGCAACTTAAAGAATGCGAGATGCGCTTTGATTAATTCTGACAATCCGACGATTATCTGACAGCTAGAGGACCCCGTTGAGAAGAATAAGAACCTTGGAAAGGCCGTCCACCCGTGCGCAATAACACCCACTCGCAACTCACGCTTCGTAAACTCGAAACCTTGTCAGGACCTCTCACCGATCCTAGCTCTGCTCCCCCTTAGCTCGAAACTAAAGCAGCAAACCATGTCGTCCTCCGGAGCTCCTGCCCCCGCCCCCTCCGCCGATGAGCTCCCGCTCGGCCCCGTGTCTCGGCACATCACCACCCATGATGCCAACGGCCGCGCTGTCTTCTCCGACGCCTTCCCGGTGGAGGTGACGCCGGACCCGTTCCCCAACATGTTCTTCCACACCTGCTTCACGACCTCGGAAGCCCCGATCAACATGGACGGCGAGAAGGACCTGGGCGCCTACGCCAAGAACCACCCTCGCATGCCCACTCTCCACCTGCCGTCCGGTTCCGTGTTGCGCGTGGTCGATTTCGGCCCGCACACGGAGCCCATGATGCACCGCACCGAGTCGCTGGACTACGGCATCGTTCTCAAGGGCGAGGTCGAGTGCTACCTCGACGACGGGGCGAAGCGCACCCTCAAGGCGGGCGACATCATGATCCAGCGCGGGACGATGCACGGGTGGAAGAACGCGACGGACGAGTGGGCTAGGGTGGTCTTTTGCCTGCAGCCGGCGGACCCCGTCAACGTCAACGGGCAGCTGATGGAGGACGATATCCCCTTCATGAAGGTCTCGGCCGAGAGGCAAGCGGACTATGACCAGTTCGTGGCGGAGCAGGCTGCGGCGAAGAAGGCCAAGCAACAGTGAGCTTGGGGCTGGGAGGGGGGAGGGGGGAAGATGATGATGCCAAACTGTGGAAATTGGTTATGCTGAGAAGAGCTACGATGGCAAAAGGGGGTTTATAGAACCTTGATTGTACCCAAAATACGCCCGCGATGGGTAGTTGAATACAAAATGTTGCTTACGTTGTCATTATTTTTTTTTTTTCAGTGGTTTGTCAGAGCCACTGTTAGTCAAGCTGTATTATCAGACTGACTATCCAAGTGGTCAAGATGTCATACCATTATCGGGACCATCCTTGCTGAATGCGTGATCTCAGTCTGAAGAATGGGGAGGAGGATGTAAAGGACACTGGTGAGGATGCTAGTCAATTTGAATTGAATGTTCGGTGTCGGGGAGGTGCCGCGTGGGAAGTGCGTGCTTATCGGGGAGCTTCCGTCCCGTCCTGGTGAGCCCTCGACGGACTACCCGTTACACGTATGGCACCAGCAGAAAGTTTCCAGGCGTCTGTCAAGAACCCCCGATGGTGGAAAGTCGGTGCCAGCTGCTGATCATCGACGAGCGTACTTGCGCTCGTTCTTAAAAAAAAAAAAAAAAAAAAAGCATAGACTGGGTGCTGACGAGAATGATATGACTCGCGAGTCTGGGACTAGGGGCAAGATATCACAGTCTGGGGGATCGAGCATAAGTTGACTAATATATATATTGATGACGAGGCTGTGATTTAAAGCGCAGCTGGTTCGAATGCGATAATATACAGTCATGTCCATACGCTGTTGCTCATGGTTCTTGCGGGCATTTAAGTGGCAGCATCACGCAGGGGTTTGGGATGGCGGTTGCGGCGGTGGCAGCCTGTCTAACTAGCTAACGTGCTTTGCGGCGATACTCTCGCGTTCACTTTTCATAGAAGCACATATATGTGTGGTATCTTTCTCACCGTCACAAACGAAGTGTTACCGCAGTTGAAGGAAAGCCAGGCTTGTGAAGGGACTTTTATGACAAAGTTGATGGACTGAGGGGCATGCAGAGAGCAAACGACTACGAGTCGCGGCACGCTATGAAATGACAGCCGGGCGAGTCGTGAATGCCAGGCGTTGAAGGAGGCCATGATCATCGGCATCTGCTGGCCGTGACGCAACGAGACACTCCAAGGCGGTCGAGGAAGGGTCTCTTTTTTCCATTCGTGGCTTTGTGGGGTTCGCCTCGCATCTCCGCCTTGGGTGCATTTCAAAATAGATACATGTTGCGTTGTTTCCCCACCGCGAGAGGGAAACTGGTGAGGTCAACGTAAGTGATCCTAAACCTGAAAAAAAAAAAAAAAAAAACAAGGTCTGGAGGCAAAAGAAAGACGAGGATGAAGCGCCGGTGGGGGAAAAGAAAGAAGTATGCTCTGTTCAGACCTCTGCGCAACATCAGCAGGTGGCCGTTTGGCGCCTTTCTCAATCAAGCCGGCGGCGAACTTGAACTCATTACGGAAGAATTGGGCTTTATCGTCGTGGGCCCTTGTGGTCCAGCTCATGTGGCGCAGAGTCCGACGCCGACACCCGTAATAGCAACAATTGAGAACGCCAGGACTATCTATGTATGATTGCCCCATGGCAAGATTGTGGCGGCTGGTTCAGCTAGCCATACGTCTCAGAAAAGCAGTCTTCCTACGGTGGACCAAAAAAAAAAAAAAATAGGTTGTGTCATATTAGCAGGTAGATGTGGCTTGAGATGCTTCACCCGGCACAGACCAGTTATATGCGGGATGATGAGGGCGCCTATAGGCTAGCGGCCCCTGCGGCAGCCCGTTTGGGTATTAAACTCGCCCGTGACAACATAGGGAGCTGATCATGTACTCGAGTTGCTCTGTTGAGCGGGGTTTTCTCACTTTTTAAGGCTCACTTGAGAGGGGATTCAAGAGAAAAAGCAATTAATTCTGAAAAATGACATGGGTATTGGGGAAAAAAGAACCAGCCGAAAAAGAAAGTTGTCACAAAAAAGCTTCATGCATTCTGTGGCGGTTGACTTTTATGAGACAAAATGAAATAAAAATGAATAAAATAAAGAAACAACTGCGGTGGGGGTGCAGATGTCATTGTCCTAGCAGTGACAGGTTTACTGACTCCATGAGCATTCAATCCTGTATAATGTCAATTAATTGGTGATTCTTCTTTGTAAACATTCAGTGAATCATGCCGTTGCTATTAGCAGCTAGTGCGAGACGCGTGGGCCAAAAGGCGCGTCGTAGAAGTGGGTGGCACACGGTCCTCGATGGACCAGGAACCCCCCTGGCATGTTTCGTCAAGAGTTGCACCTCGTTGGCAGAGCCTCTAAGAGACAGGGCATACGTCACTGACGGTCTAGACACCTTGGCCGGCTATAGTAGGCATTTTGACGAATAGCGGGCAATGTTGACATTCAGGTATGGAAAGTGAGTTGAGATAGCTCTCATATGAGTGGACATGAGTTGAGGAAAACCACGGGATAGAGTTATCGTCGGGTCACTCTCACTCTTGATACGGAGTTTAGCCGAGTTCACCCGAACGCATCTGAGACCCATGATGGTCTGATCACCTGATTACGGAATGAACGGGGGAAAAAAAAAAACAAAAGAAAAACAATCGGAGGTCGATGAATGACTATTCTAGACGGGGCATCATTGCAAACTATCAGAAAGAAATAATAAAAATAAAAATAAAAAGTGATAGATCTCAACCACCATTTTTCTTATTTACGCAATATCAGATCAAACATTGTGCCTTGCCTTTGCCCCCAACCAACCAAAGAGGGAACGTACTTTGTACCCGCCTCCCAAGGCCAGGCAGCCCTCGTATCCACTACCCCGAGTGGTGTACCCCTGATCCACCCCGGGAAAGTGGGTCATCCACCGGACCGTAAAGAAAAAAAAAAAAAATTGGACATGCCGCTCACGCTCCTATCTTCATCTCATCTCAACAACTTCTTCTTACTTCTCGCTGTCATCGACGTCGACCATTCTTCATCGCCTCACAACCTCTCTCACTCACACATCGCCGTATAACGCGCTTTCTTCAAACGTCCACACAAAACCCGCCCATCATGCCTCGACGCGCCGCCCTGGAGCCCAAGCCGCGTAAGCCCCAGTACTCTCCCGAGAAGCGCGCCCGCATCGCCGTTCTCTCTGAGCTGGGCATGTCGCTCAAGGAGATCTCCGTCAAGGAGGACGTCCCCGTTTCCTCCATCAAGGGAATCGTCACGCGTTATCGCCTTCAACAGGCCGGTCGCGACCGCCCGCGTCCCGGCCGCCCTCGCATTCTCTCTGACAGGGACGTCAAGACGGTTCTGCGCATCCTCAAGGAAAAGCCAACCGTGTCGTACGCCGAACTGAAGAGAGACGCCGGCCTCACGTGCGCGACAAAGACCCTCGTGCGCTACCTCCAAATGGAGGGTATCAAGCCCAACAAGCCGCCGCCAGGCGACTCTGAAGAGGAGGCTTCTCAGCTACGCGTCCTGGCCGAACCCGAGCCTGCGGATGACGAGTAGACGGGTTTCACCCCCCACGTGACGCCATTTTGCGGCGGAATCAAAGCAAGCCGAGCCCCATGATGAGATGCGTAAACGATGCCTCTTAGGGCTTGAGGTCGCCATTTCCATTTTCACAGACGAGACAGACGATTTGTAAGAGACGCCCGCGTCTGAAGATGGCTCGTGCATGAACTGACAAGTGATGGCAGTACGAATATGAATTATGAAAGGGCACGCAAGGCCCAAGGAACCAAGTAACTTTTGCTGGTCATTAAACAGGTCCTATCACCTGGCCACGTAGACTTAATCGGGAGGGCCTTCTGTCAAGCTGTCGAGCGAGAGAGATGGGCCGCAACGTTACAAAAGCAGGCGGTCAACAGTACGCCAACTTATCTTTGCGGTCCATCGAGCACTCTTGGGGGTTTTCTGCGCATGCGTAAGGAGGTATATGCTGAGCAGGCCCCAAACGCACAGCGGCGCAAGCAGGGCTCTATGCAGGTGAGAGAGAGGAGGAATTGTAGAAAAGCATCGAGCCCCGCCATCCTCGCATCGAATCTGGTGACGGTGACGCTGGGTCATCTGTCTGCGGGTGATCCGGGAGTGAGTGTATGTTCGATTAGTCTTTTTTTTTTTCTTTTTTTTTTTTTTCTAGAAAAGGGACGATTGGGACCTGCGAGTTTAGGCGAAGCGACGCGGCAGAACAAGTTATTAATCAAAAAGCATCACCATTCACCTACCTGTCTCTGTCTGTCCGTCCGCTTGTGTCGCGGTCTCCCCCTCCCCCTCCCCTCCCCCCGTGATCCAACACCTTCTCGACGTGCGCCAGATACGCACCTTCGCCGTGTCCTCGAAACTGCGTCTTCTCGGTCCCGGGCAACAGGAGGCCGGAGCTCTCGGCCCGCGTCCTCCAGTCCCGCCAGTTCACTTCGAGGATTCTCCTATCAATGAACACCAACCGACCGCCCTCCCGAACCGCCCCGCAAAACGCCTTGACCCAGTTCACCCCGCCATCAACCTCCCTGTCATCCGTCTCCCAGTCGCAAGCTTCCCATCCCGGGGACCGCGCGTACCTCGTCCCGCTCCGCAATCCCGCAATGACCAGACACTGTAGCCCAAGGCAACAACACATCCTGGCCGCGCCTTTCCGGATACCTGCCTCTTCCATCGGTCCCCGCCCGTATGATCGCAGATCAAGGAAGACGGTCTCGAGCTGCGGCATGACGGCCCAATCGACCTCTACTATATCCTCGGCCGTCTCGACGAGGAGTCTCATCCCGAACCCGAGCTTAGCCTCCGGGTTCCGTCGCAATCTAAGCCGGAGCCACGGATCTCTAGGTACGCTGTTGAACATCAGATGCCGCGGCGCCTCGCACATCTGCGAGCCCGTTCCCGTTCCACTACTACTACAGAGGACGTCGCCACGCGCCGTCTGGTTGTCCTCCTCGCCAAACACCAGCGCGCCCGTCGACATGTACTTACCTATATCGTCGTCCGGCTCCCGCGGTAGACGCTGCTGGAAGCGACAAAGTCTGGTCCGTCCCAGATCGCGCAACGCCCACGTCGCGGCTGCGGGGAATCTCTTCGCGAGCTGTTCCGTTAGCACATGCGCTGCTGCGTGCGGGTCCATGTCGCTTTCCAGGGTGAAGGACATGTGGTCATCTTCGCAGTGACTTACGCCAGAGGCGAACGTCCCGCGCGCGCCGCCCACGCCTCTCCTGTAGACGTCTGTACGCTGCAAGTCGTAGATGCCGTTCACCTGGTCGCTTCCGTGCGCGCAGACGTCCCAGTCCGGGACGAAGAGGGCGAGGGCGCATGCACTGCTCCCTGAGAAAATTTCGAGGATGATGCTCCGTTGGATTTCGACCGGGAGATGGGCTATTCTGTCGAGAATCGAGGGGCTTTCTGGTAGGGGGTTCGTCATGGTGACTGTGGCTAGGGCTGTGAAGGAGTTAGAATGGTTGGTTCGAAGGGGTATCCGAACTCTGAGGCTGTTGTGATGGAAAATTACTGCAAGCGGTAGGACCCAGCTATTTAAACCTAGAGTCGGAGCCATTACAACGGCCGTGATCGGGCGTGTTTTCTTTGTTTGTCGTGCCGTGACAAAAGCCCAGTTCTTCAACGGGGAGGGAACAATGCCGCTGAAACTGGGGTCAAGGCCGTCGAGGCCTTCGAGGTTCCCTGGGATCAAAGGCAATGTGACTGGGCCATCTACGTTGTTCTCTTAGTGTCGAATTCGAATCCGAGATTAAGGAGTTCTTGTGATGATTGGTAAACGGGAAATGATGATGTTGCATTACGCCCGAGGGACCATCATGGCCACTGTTAACTGCGAGGTCGACGTTGACTACGTTTGTCTTCTTAACTACACACAATGATGACTTTGAACATACATTGATTGCAGCCCTTGACAAGGAAGCAAACTTGAGAGATACTCAGTCAGATGCCACAAAGCGATGAATTCAAAACGTGCCATGAAAGAAAATGTCCATTTCTCATCGAATAACACACACTACATGCGTCTGCAGCATTGCAACATAGTTCCCGTCTTCGCCCATCTTCCCCAACTCTTGACAAACCGAACACATACCCTCGACCGCAATCCGATGCAACAGCTGCAACCCGTTCCAACAGGTTCTCTTCAAAGTGTGAACCCCCAAGTCAACGATACCTCGGACAACTCCGATCTGGCGGATACAGCGATTCCACTCCGCACAACTCCCATATTTGCTTCTTCCTCACTCATGTCTAGCTTTCCTTCTCCAACGCATCGTTTCTTTTTTCCTGTTTAGTGTTTTCTTGACTGAGACAGCTACCATTTTTCTTTTTTCATGACGCGGTCAGAAGCAAGAATGAAGCCGCCACCAACAGAACCGCTGATCTCGGGCCGGAGCCGGTTTTCAAGGTGGAGCACAACCGGTCCCGTGTCCCGACCGGTAAAAGAAATAAAGATAAAGGACGATCCCGAGTTTGGACGCGGCGGCCGGTCACGATTCACATGGTCAGGCCACCTGTATTTTACCACAAAACTTGCGGGCTCAAGCCTCAAGATGATTTCAAATAGCCTCACATTAAACAGAAACGTCAAAAAAGAGAAAAAGAAAACCTACCGGCATCAGCACCCGCTCAGAAATTCATCGCCATACCAGCCTTTCCAGGCCTCCAACCGGCCGACTCACCTTCATGGACCTCCCCCCGCGTCCTGTCACCCCTCTCAAGCCAACCAAAAACGTCATCATCAAACCCAGCACCCTCCCCCTCCGTCTCCCAGAACCGGCCAGCATCCTCAGGCGGCAACACGTTCAAACACTCCCACCAAACCTCGTCCCCGCCATTCACCCTCTCCTCGCACGCCCTCGCCTCGACAATCAGCCCAATGTCAATCAGAAAATCAACAACGTCGTACTCCGCCCCGTCCTCCTCCTGAGCCCACGCCAGGAGCCGGATAACACACATGTACTCCGCCGGCGCCGCGTCCCTGCTCCACTCCAGCAGCCGGCAACATATCTTGGCCCACGTCGCGATCCACTGCCCGTCGAGGGTCCCCGCGGCCTCGCGGAATTCGACCGTGTTGTTCTTGGAGTTGGCCGCGGAGGAGCAGCCGCCGCCGCCGCCGCCGTCGTCGTCATCTTCGCCGCGCACGCCGCCTAGGACCGGAAACATCTTCATTGAGGGGAGAGAGTACCCGTCGAACTTGTAGTTGATGTGTTTCGCCACGCGTTTGTTACGCATCATCTCTCCGATCTGCGCGGAAGTCATGTCCGCGCCGAGGAGGTCTCTTACGCCGGACATGACGTCGCTCCGGCGCGGCGGTACTCGCGGGTCTGGATCTTGGAGGGTACCGTGTCCGTGGCGAGCGAGATGCGGTGCGAGAAACCCCGGTTCGTCACGGCGATCTTGACGCATGGTGCCAGGGATGCGGGCGTAACGGCGCCTGATCGGCGGTGGCCGGGGACGGGGCGGGGCGAAGGCTTCGAGGGTGGAGTTGTTGCGGTAGTCACCCCAGGTCGGCGGCCGGGGGACGGGGGGCGTGTAATCGATTTTCGGCATCCTGGAATCGTCCGGCTCCAACACCATCGCTGATTTAAGCTCCGTGGTGGGGGAAACATGCGTGGCACGGTGCGTCCACGGCTCTCCCCTGAGCACTACCAGGTCGTCGTCTGTATCCACATCAATCTCGCGTTGCATCGCCTCCACATCGAATTCAGGATCGACAGACTCACCAAGCAGTCGGTCCCGGCCGAAATACTTAACCATCTTCATCTCTACTCTCGAAAGAGCCTTCGACTTCGGAAGTGCGTCACGGGGCGTCTTCAACCACGCCCCGCCGATCGGACGTCCCCCGACGCCAAACCTATCAGTAGTCAACTCCTTTAAAAGCGTATCTGCCGGCCCCTCGTTCCTCCCCAGGCCAGTCACCTCGTTGACGCGACCGGACTGGCTGTATCTCGTGATGGATCTCCAGGGCGCATGGAGTCTGCTGATGAGCGGATCGGCCGCCCACAGCAGGGCCGCAAAGTTTCGTAGGGTTCTCGCGTCGATCCTCTCCGTTGGCCCCGCCCCTACGTGCACATGGAAACCGCATGTCGGATTGACGCGACAGCGGAAAGTTGTTGTGATCACGCTCACCGCGAGCCTGATCAGGTCGAAGCAGATGGGCATATCGTACATGGCTGGAGAGTTCATCTCGACTTTCTGGAACCGGTATCCGTCCATCTTGAACTCGGCCAACGAACAGTCCTCGACGAGGTGGAAAGCAGACATGACATTCTTGCTGTGGCGTGCTTGGACGGTTGTCGGTTCAAGGTTCTCTTTTGCGTTGTAGACGGGCAATCCTGCTTTGGTCAGCGCGTTTCGGATCTGGTCAAAGACCCAGGGCTTCGACGACATGTGTGTAATCTCTTCGGATTCGTAACTGTTCATACCAAAGCCGGGAGGTCCAAGAGAATGGTTCTCTTCAAAAGGAACGACAACAAGGGGTTGCAGCTCATCGGCAATGCCCTGATCTGGGTCAGCTTCTCCCTCAAGCACGTACGCAACAAGAAACTCGAGTTCAATGCCGAAAGATACACGAGGTGGTGTGGTGGGTGTTTGAAAGCCCCCCATAGTGCAGAGTTGGCGGTACTGGCACAGATATGTGTCTGATATTCTCCAGCTAAACTGTTGTAGCGTTGCTGTCACTGATGTTAAACGTAGTTGAATTCTGGGGCGTCTGCAATCTAAGTTGAGTAGTTGTTTGAGTGACAGATGAGGACCTTATATCATTCAGCCTTCGAGGTTGCCGTAGCCTATTCCTCTGAACAATGCGAAGGAAGCAATTTTAATCAAAGGGCCTGTCTAAAGCTGAACAATGAACAATGCATACCCTCAGAGGATCTCTTTCAACATCCTGCCAGAGGTAAAATCTTTAAAGGCATTGTTAACAACGTGGGAAGCTAAACTTGCTTTAGTGTCGTACCTTTGCTAGACAAGCGGACCAAACAACGCTTAGTTAGGACGTCAAGAAGCTCTTGTAAGCAAAGATGAGCCCGAATACAGGGCACAAGAGAAAAGAGCAAAGGGTGGCAGGATTAATTCTTCATTTCTTTGTCGTCGTCTTGACTGTCTTTGATCATGCCTAAACGCAAAATGCATAGCAAAAGCAACATTGGGTGAAACCACCCATCCCCTTGTAACGCACTGACTCCTCCTCGAACCTCAAAACGCATACGGGTGGGAATATCCATCGTCTCCATCGCATAATTCCACATAATTCCTCGTCACAATGATTAGGGTGCCGCGCGAAAAGCACACGGGATCGGGTAGTAGGGAAGGTGAATACAGAGAAGTGAAAAGGCTGTCCCAGGTGCATAACCTCGCATGATGGCGCAAGACTGTCATTGGACCTGGGCAGCAGTGTTCTAGACAATTAACATCTTAGAGCATGTAGGCGAAGAGACCAATGGCAGCAACCGCGGCAGCATTTCCGTAGCGGGCAGGAGCAGCGGTGGGAGCAGCGTAAGCCTGCGAGCTCGATGTGGCGGGAGTTTGAGAAGCTTGGGAGCCGCTACCGGTAGTACCAGAGCCAGTTCCAGCAGGGGTGTTGGTAGGGGCGGAAGTGGTGGTGGTGGTGGTAGCAGCGTCATTTTCCTGGGCGTCAATCGTTCCACACTGGGACCTGATGTTCGTGGTGCAGTTGCCTTGGCCACGAGAATCGCCAACGTTGGCCTGGATGCAGTCCTCGAATGCCTGGAGGCAGATGAAGGTGGGGATAGTCTGCTTGTAGTACTCAAGACCGGGAGCGGTGCCGTTGTTGCAAGTGCATGTGTACTTGAGGGTGGTCTATCAATTGGAATTAGCTTCATCAGAACATCGCATATTGCCAGGTCATTGGGCTACGGTCCGGAGATAAGGTCGAGATGCCGTAGGCGTTCCAATCGACAGAACAGAAGGAAACGAGGAGTGCTTACCGGTTCACAATCATTCGCGGTAGTGCGATCACAGAGGATATTGCAAGTGTTGCGCTGACCGGTGCACCAGGAAGCTGGGAAGCGAAATTTGTTAGTCTCATGCTTGAGCGGCAGTCGGACATGTCGGCTCCAACTGTGACGGGTCCGCTGTCATTCTAGGCTTACCTTTCAGGTTCAGGTCAATGGCAGCGACGTTGACGTCTGTGTTGGAGTAGACCTTGCGCTGGGCAGAAACCGCAGCGATGGCCGAGAGGGCCAGAACGGCGAAGGATGTACGCATATTGTCGGTTGTTGTTGGGGGGTGGGTGGAAGTGTTGTGTGTTGTTGTGGCAGAAGTATTTTTTTTCCTCTTTGCCGGAGGGAGATGGAAGCGCGTCTGATGAGTCGACTAGCAAGGTATACTCAGTTCCAAGGAATAGTAGACGGCAGTGAAGATGTTGCTTGTTTGATCTGCTTCGTGTGGATGTTTGACGATTGTGAACGGGAAAAAAGAAGAAGGGTAGTCAGAGCAGATGAGCGAGACGGGCAACGATGTGGTTTTATTATGAAGTAACATAGAGCAACGACAGCGGCAGCGGTGGTGGCGGCAGCCGCTCCAGAGTCCCACGTTCTTGCCGTGCTTGCCTTTCAGATGCGGTAAGCGCAATGGGGAAAAGAAGGGCAGGCACAGGTGAGGTGCAGGTGCCAGTCGGTCACTTTGGCAGGGTGTCCTGGTGGAACAGAAACCGCGCCTTCCCTCTTTGAAGGGCAAAAGAGGGCAGGCCGGACAGGTACCGCAATCAAACCGTGCCTCCCACCAGCCAGTGGCGTTTTTTTTTCTCTCCCCCTCCCTCTTCCCTCGCTTTCCCTTCCCTTCCCACGATGCGTCTTAGTCGCAGGTTGCTGGTCTTAGCTTCCTACCCACAAGTAGGAAGGTGGGTATGGGTGTGTGTGTGGATGTGGCTGGGATCCACTCATCTCTCCAAAGTTGAGTGGGGGAGAGGGGAGGAGAGGAGACCAGGACCAGGAAGGTCCCCTCTTAGCGTGTCCTTAGTGCGGTTTCTCCAGCGCGCGCTCGCCGTATCTTTTCATTGAGAAATTCGCATTCTGCCGGTCTGCTGGGTGATGTTGTTGTTCCCGTTCCTCCTCGTGGTGAAGCGACACCGAGACGCGAGCTCAAGCTTGATCCAACTAGTACCTTGCTGTATATGCACTATCACACAAACAGACGGACTGACGTCGGCGTGAGCGGAGCGCCAGCCGACAGACGAGAGAGGCACGTACCGCACTTTTCAGAGCTTCAGATAACACTAGTACTGCTAGTACCATACGGATACGCTTGTGCCTTAAAAACGGGTGTACCTTTTTTCGAAGCGCCAAGCCTTGCACAAAAGTTGGCCTCCCAGTATCAGAATAATACGGAAAGAATTAAAAAAAAAAAAAAAAAAAAAAAAGGCCAAGACAGCGCCATCCCGAGGGTTTGGTGTGGCTGCGGCGATAATCCAAATACAATTACAACGCAATCTCTGACGCGAATACTCTGCTACTCTGCAATCAAGTCTCGTCAACAATCAATTGGTGAGGACTGCCGCAGTGGATGCCAGAACCAGGCAGGCATATGCTGCCCTGGTCACCGTACCTGGCCCTTGTCGCTTCAGACTTTGGGGACTGAAACTTTCCTCAGTCCCTCGTGATGGCCTCATCCTCATCGTCGCATCTCTCTGGACCTCAACCAAAATTACCGCAGATATACACACACACACAAACACGTCTGCGGTGCACAGTCTGGCCCTGCCAAGCTGAAGGTTTCCTCCCTCGTCTTGCACGGCAGCTCCGAAGGGGCCAGACACAGGTTCGTTGACTCAATTGAACTCTCCCCTGCAGTTCCTCCTATCTTTATGAACTTTGGCACCCTTCTGCAGTGAGAGCGGCTGCTGCCAGACAGACACAAAGGGACGGGATAGATGGGATGGTATGAGATGGTCATGGGAGGGACAGCGGTCGGTCGCACCGCCAAGACCCGGCCCCATTTACTATTATTTCATTCCTCATCGTCTCTGTCTCACTACCCACAGGAAGGGTGGGAAAAATACCAATACAATGAAAAAATTAACCGTCTTCCCCCAGTAGCCCGTCTCCTTCAGATTTCATCGGTCCCGGGCTTCATCTCGGGCTAACACGACCCAACCCAGCTCCACCTTCCGACTTTCTTTGCCTCTGACTCTTGCTCATATCTGGTGTCATTGGTCGGTTGCTTTTCTCCTCGGGCTGCAAAAAACATGTCTAATCTCAATTAGGAAAGGTGCTACCACACTCACCAGCCACAGATATGCACCTTCTCACTCTTGCCGTGGCCCGGGGAGAACCTGCAGCTTGTGGAGACATGGATATCTATTGCCAATCAATTGGACGCAATCCATTTTCCCTCTGGCAATCGTTCCGTCACGTCCGCTGCTGCTTGTTAACTTATTGTCCTCCCCCCCGGTCATCCTATCCTCTGTTCCTCAGAGCTTCCTCCACAAACTTCCGCTGTTGTTCTCAAATCATCGATTTCTCTCACGCGCCCAGCAAAAAAGCATTCCACCTTGTGGGTCTTTGTCTCCGCCGCCTCAAGGCCCGCCGTTCACGCCAATAAATTCAAACCCATCATCACCAGCGTACCGAGTATACTCATAATCGCATACGTGCGTTCGCCATACATCATGCCAATGCACTTGCACAATTTGCCAGTGTACCACAGATACAACGTCTCATCTTTCGAAACAGTCCTCGCTCTCTTCCAACCTCTTGTCACATCACAACCTCCTCCTACTCTTGGCGCCAATCATTGTCGCCCTTTGCTTCATTTGACCCCCTACCGCATCCTTGTGCCGCTCCATGTTTCTGTTGGAGACTCCTTGCCTTCAAACACTTTTGCAATGCTACCGCCCTAGCATTTTCTCATTGCCACGGCAGATGTCATTGGCCTCCACAAGCCAACACTTTGCTGCTTGCTAACTAACCACTTTTCGGTCGAGCCCGGCCCTACTAGCAATGGCCCAGTTTAATGCCTTGCACCCTACGGACGTTGTGCCCTATTACCGCCACCTATCGGCCGATGAACGAACATTTCCGCCCAAAGCTCCAGCGCCGTTGGGACCGTCTCCAACAACTCCGCCGTTAAAAAGAGGCCGCCTTTTATCCAAAACCGGGGCTGCCTTCAAGACATGACGTTCTCGGTTTGGCCTAGCGCCCTTACCTGCAAAACGGCCACTGTTGCAGTAGCACGCCGTGGGTACAACCGCCCATGCCACACGCTACACCATAGGGAGCTGCCTCCCACGGTCTTGGGCGCGGAGCTACCACGAGCTTTCCGTCCAATCAACGCGGCCAGTTGCATGCCCAGCTTTACAGTGATCGTCATCAATGGCAGGCTGGTTAGCTGCCTTGTGTGAGTATGAGGGGTTGGGTCAACTCCAGCATCGTCGCCTGACAGGACATCGGTCTGTCCTCGTCACTTTTAGAGATTCCGTCGCAACGACAACTCCAATAGTACTGTGCCGAATTCCCGAGGGGTTGGCCTTTTTTTTCCCCGTCCAGGCGTTGGTGCACCTACGGCACAATTATCGCTTTAGATTCCAGTAGTGGAAAGTCATGCTGTCAATGTCTCGTTCCTTTCTATCTAACCCATGTTCCTCTTATCGGACCACCCCCGTCAACTCATTGTTCAGGCTTACCTGCAGCCTCTCCGGATCAACCAAGTGCATCCGTCTTGTCCCACCATCATCGAACCAACCTCCCATCCATCCACCTCGAAGCACTTGGGTGCATACTTCTGCAATATTGTTGGATATTATTCGCAGGCTTGATTTAGCCCTCGACACCCTGGTAGAACCCAAGTTGCCGATACGAGCTCTGCCACATTGCATTGCTGAAGTGCCTATTGTCCACGCCGGTACTACCCCCGCCTACGAGCTTACGAACAAGTCGGCTTACTTACGCCTTATTATTATTATCCCTTGTAACTCTTCACCATAGTCGCGGGTAGCTGAGCTTGCATTACCTTCTCAGCAACTTCCCCTTGATGAATACCTCATGGAGCAAGATGCCAGGTTTCTCCTTACAAAAACAGCAGGCTACTGGTGTATATGAGCTACAGACACACAGCTTCAGACTTAAGTTACGTGGATACCCAAGAAGTCCATCACCGTAGATCGAGAGAGTCTTCAAGGTGCCATGCAGCCGCCCCACGTAGCCACCCCCAACATCGTCCACCTGGCGGACCGAGACTGTGGAACCGGAAGAGGATCTTCAGTTCCGGATACACATATGACATCAAATCGACATTTATCATCCAATCAACGCTATGTCGCATTCTGGAAATAAACACTTCACATGCATTGAATCTCCCGTTGCCACTATGCGACGCTTGCAGCCGGGCGGTTTCGATCTGCTTTGCTACTCCTTCTGTGATACAGGCGACATGTGCCAGCCAACGAGACTTCGAGAGGATGTGACCAACTTCTCGATTCGGAAACTTGCTCAGCGTACTGCACGTGGCAGCGGGTATATAGTTTTTTATAATATTGACCTGCAGACTTACTTCTCATACTCCCCTTGTGACAGGTTCTGCTCCGACTGAGATTGAATCCTTTACAAGACCGTTCTCACTCCCCGATCCTTTGCTTTGGCTCCGCACATATCGATTCCAAGCCCCTAGCTGCATGCACAACCCTTCCATGGTCGTACACTTGGCCTGGTAACCTAGCCCACCGGCTTTTACCGGCCTACGCGCATCAGAGTCGTTGATCAGTGCGTTGATGGCTCCGGCTATACTCGCTGGCTGCATCATGTACAATGGCATTGAGGGTTCTGAGAAGAACTTCTGTAGCACCGGTACATACCAGAGCAAGAGACAATACGCCTCAACGCAGTGCGCGAGAAGTAGCAGAAACACCGGTGGAGGGTACTGCACATGCATCGGTGTGATGCTGACTGCCTCGACAAGAGTATAGAAGTCCTTGAATACAGGAGGTGCTCCTCCGTCCGTGACCAAGAAAGGTCGCGCCGCCACCTTGTGGGCGTGGGAGCTGAGAAGTGCTGCCTCGTACTGCAAATGCGCCAGCGAAACGTTGGCCCCGTGTACCCAGTTCTGCATGAAAGGTGCAGTGAAAGTTGGAAAGCTGGCCATACGCACGGTGGCGCCAACAAGGTAGTCGTCCTTGTGGCCATATATGGCATTTCCTGGCCTGACTGCACCTGTCCGGAAGCCGCCTGGCTGTAAGGGGTCTTCCGGTATGGTGTTCGCATCGCAAACAAGGCGCTCTGCTTCCCCCTTTGTCAAGGCATAATTGGCAAAGAATTCTCGGTGAGGTCGCAAAGGTTTCCAGAAATCCAGCTCATCCAGAACCTGCAGAAAGTGTGTAGGCCACCGCTTCCATGGCGCGTTGAAGAAGTTGACAGGCTTCAAATTAATGCTGCAAGATGAGGTGAAGACGAATACGTCAGCGCCAGAGGCTTTAGCAGCAGCAAGCACATGAGCAGTGCCAGTTTTGTTGACCCGTGAGCAACGATCATAGACCAACGGGCTACGTTCAGAGGGACGGATGACGGCGGCAGTATGAAACACAGTCAGCGGGAGGTGGGCAACGGACTGTGGCCATGGCCTAGCAAATGCGGCAGAGGTTTCCGAATTCGAGGATATATCAGCTTTGGCAAAATCCACTTGAGACACCGGGCCCTCGCTCATATCGTCGCGTCCAGGCTTACGGAAATCGACAATGCGGATCGCCTCAGGGGGGTGGCCGCGCGCGATCAGTTGGATCACCAACTGACCCCCAACCAAGCCTATAGGACAATAGATGTCAGATCGATGAACAGAAAAGGGGTGAAAAAGCAGCATCTATTTGAGAAAACACATACCGGCACCGCCAACAATAATGTAGCGTCTGTCTAGCTTGGGCGGCAGGTGGGGCGTCCAGTCAATCGGCTGCTTTTCCAGGCGCTCAAAAGTCTGCTTGACCTGTTCCGGCGTCCATCGATCTGGCGACACTCGCAGAGCCTCAGGCGGGGTAGTTGACATGGAACGATTGATCTTCCAGAGATATAAAACCAATGCGGCCAACACGCCAAGAATGACTCTTGAAGTCCATGATTCCAGAACCATGGCGATCTTAGTTATCTGACGCGCTTCCCGGCCTGTCTGGATTCCCTCAATATCCACCCTCACAGTTTTTGCTCACTTTTTCGCTCACGGCGCTTTGAATTGGATGATCAAAATACGAGTGCGTGAGAATCGAACGGTTTCCATGACGCAATGCTAAGGAGGGGGGACCGGAAGCCTTTAAATCCCGGCCAGTTGAGACTTGCTCCTGGTTTACTCGCGCATTTCGATTCCGAGCCGATCAATGCACTAGTGAATTGGAGTCATCCCCACCTGATCTGTCCTTGCGCAAATATCAAATCATCTCAAATCCCTCAGTAGTGCTCCGAGACCCACTGGTCCGGTCGTGTCAGGAGGGAATCTATCTACCTTCACAGACAGAGGTGATGCGTTCATTGCTGAGCTGCACAGACTTCCGCGCAATTTTCCAATGTTTGTAGCGTCTTATCGGTACACTTCGAGAGCACACAATACTACTAGCAGTGGACTCCAGTGAAGAACCAAGAACAGGGTGTTAAGGTTCAACATGTCCGGTGCGACCCGAAACCGAGTGTGGGGTACGGCGCCGTCCCGCGTGGCACTAATGTGGAGAGAAGCTCTTGTCCGTTATTTGGTCATCATTGGCCCGGATGGAGCGTATTCCCCTGACAGTCCCCCCGCACACATGCAGTGAGCTACACGGGACTTGCAGCGAGCGGTCATCCTTGGTCAGAACCTTATGCCTTGCGGTTATCTTGTCTCTTGTTCTTCAGGAATGCACGGGTGCCAATCAGTCTTGTGCGCGCTCGTAGTTCAGGCTTACTGGCTGAGGGCGAATCGAAGATTTGTGGTTACCGAACTTTTTAAAGTCGCCCTGGTCGAATGATGTGTTTAATTCTGACTTGTTCCGTACTGCCAAGTAACTGAGGCAATGGCCAGCTTGGTTCAGGTGGCATTCATATACAAACGTTCTATTGGTTTCAGCACTTCTTCTGCCTGGCTGTTCGTCGGCCGTTTCCCCAGATCTTCTTGTCCCAACGTGATCTTAAGGCTCTGTCCGTCTCTCTTGCTCAAAATAACAATCAAGGGACGTGAATTCAGAATTATGCTTCGCCTGCATGGGGATGCGAGCATCGGAATACAATCTACCTATGATTCTATGGAATTAGCCGTTATGCAGTCGATTTTGGGTGGGTAGCTAAGCTTTCCAGGTTGTTGCTATAAGAGACCATGGTGTACCGGTAAATCCCGGAAGTTTGCTTGGAGAATAGACGGGTAATTGAATCGGACTAGTGCGTTGCATTCTCCGATATTGTCGCACTTTCGGGCTTACAGGCAGGATCTTTAGGTTCTACGTTACAGATGAAATCGTCACAAGGGATCCTGACTCTGGAGGAATGCTTGGGGAAAGGTTCTGAGCTTCGGGAAGCACAAGCTTTCACGCATTTGGCAACCGCTTTGTCACAGGGCGGAAACAGGCCCGCGGATTGGGACATTGGGGGATTACATCTGATGGTATTATGTTGAGGTTGGAGTAACATTCAAAACGCCTATGCCCAACTGGTGGTTAACCAGTATAAGCGAGGGCCTCCAGTTACAGGAGGGACTAGGAAGCCAGAGATTGATGCAATCCTTTTGGCTCCCCTACCTGACCCTCTTCACTCTGTCCCGCAACCTCTAGCACGCTAATCTAATGACGACTTTAGAACAATTGGAAATGGCAATCAAGATCTATTGAATTGGTACTGCAATTGAGTCGATGCGTGAAGAGCGTTCCGCGAGATTATAAAGACGGTCAACATGAAAGTGCTTATGGCTAAATGGCGATATTTGGAGCAGCTTGGAACGTGCGAGCATACACATTAATTCATGGCCTCGCAATGTCTCGACCACCTCCTAACCAGATGAAAAGCCAGCTTATCGCAATGAACAGTCTCCTCCTCCAGCTCCTCGTCCAAGCCAGACTACCAGACCGCCACGCCAACCACGCACTGGCGCCGGTCCAATCCTGCCGGCCGCCGATGATGCCATCGTGCCGTCCCAAGTACGCCAGCAGAGCCCTTTGCTTGTACGTAAAAGGCTTCGAGTGGCTCCCATCTCCATTCAGCACCTCCGTAAGGTACTCGCCCTTCTGAAGCGCCACCTCCGCCAACGTAGGCAACGACTCCCCGTCAATATCCGCGGCGTCGCCCAACGCGTACACATCCTCCATAGGGCTCCCATCAGGTCGCAGCACACGAAGATACTTATCCGTCAGGATCCGCGGCAGCCCCTTTTCCGGTCTTTTGACGGGAAGCTTCTCGACCAGGTCATTCGCCTTGTTTCCCGTAGCCCAGATGAGCAGCCCGTACGGCAGCTTCCCGTCCTCCTTTGTGTAAATCGCCTCGCCGTCGACCTTTTCAATGTGCGAGCTCGTCTTGATCCCGACGCTCTTTCCCTTCAACGATTTCACGGCGTACTCGCTCAGCCTCTCGTCGAAGGTTGTAAGAATCGTGGGCGCGACGTCGTGAATCGTGATGCTCAGTTTACCGTCGAGCTGGGGGAACAGGAACCGCATCTCCTCGTGCCAAAGGTCCCACAGCTCCGCAGCGGCTTCGATGCCGATGGCGCCGCCGCCGACAATGCGGATGCTGAGGATGTCGCGCTGTTCCTGCTCGCTGGCCGTCGGAAGCGTCGCCTTGTCCAGCATCTGCAGGATCCGCTGCTGGATCATCCGGGCCTCGTCCGTCGTCCGCAGGAAGAAGGCGTGGTCCTTGGCTCCCGGCGTGCCAAAGTCCTGGATCGCGCACCCCGGCGCGATGCACAGCTTGTCGTACTTGACCTCGAAATCGGACGGTCCCTCGCCGCCTATCTCGGCGTCCGTCCTGCACTTGATGACCCGCTTGTCGAAGTCGACGTCCTCGGCGATGGCCTTGTAATAGTCCATTTCCGTCCGGCTCTTGCGCCGTATGGGCTCCTCTGCCAGGCGGAAGTTGAACAGGCCGCAGGCGGCGCTGGCGAGGAGGGGTGTGTACTGTACTGTGCGCGTGGGCGAGATGACCTTGATGTGGTACTTTGCAAGCGACACCTTCTGGGAGAGCTGGAAGCCTCCCCAGCCGGAGCCGATTACAGCGAGGACTGGTTTCGACATTTCTTCACGGTGTGTAGCTGATTCTCGGTCAAGTGTGTCGTTTATTGATGGCATCTTTTTGCCAAGAGTGCTCGTTCAATTTGTTTTTTTTTTGTTTTTTATAATTGACTTGTCCTTGATCTGCCCAGGCTACGTTACAGTGCTTGACGTCACGACGATTTGGTTTTAATGGTAGCAGATAACTGTGATGGTGTTATAAGCATTTCGGAGTTTGAACGTCATCGATTAATGGACAGTTACAATTTAGGTAGTCTAACAGCTGATTCTAGGGCTCTGATTGGTCGGGAGGGGATCACCGGTGGTTCTTCCAGCAAATGCCGGGAGATCTCCGTGCTTGGTTGAAATACCGAGCTCCAGAAAAAAAGAGGACTGGATTCTGGGTACGGAGAACGGATAAACGGCATCAAACACCACTTCAGTCGTGGGGGCTTCAACATGGACTTCTAGTGTGCGTAGATGCTCGGATGTGCTGAGGGAAAACAAATTCAAACATGCTTTCTAAGAACGTAACAACAAAGATATCAAAGAGGTTTTTACCATTTATACATCAAGACTCTGGTTGACCGATCATAGTCCCTCGGGCGCTTGAGCATACTTTCTCAAAACCGGATCCTTCAACAATGCCTCCATAGCTTCATCCAAGACGCCCATATAAACCTCGACTCCTCCCCTCTGTGGATCCGGCAGCACAATCTGCATCGTATGGCACACCCCCACGGAAGGCGGACGAAGAGCTAGCATCTTCCCGCCAAAAGCAGGACCCCATTGAATGTCGTAGAAGGGAAAATCGCGCCACGAGGATTGGTTCATGTAGTTTCCAGGCGTGTCCAGGAACATTGTTGCTGTAAGCCTCCTCACATCCTGAAGTCGCTCCACCAGCGCCGTCACACTGTCGAGGTAGGCACCTTCAGTCTTGGCCACAGCTTGGCGGACAGCAATAGCCAAGTCTGCGAGGGATACCTCGCTGTCTTCTGCAATGACTTCACGAATATCAAGAATTGCGGGCGCGAAGCCGAGAATGTTGCCGAGAGTGTGCTTGTGTACCGGCACGCCTGCACGGCGGCGCGCATCGAGGGCAATACCAACGATAGACGGCGACGGCGTCGAGTCCTCGGTTGCGGAGCGGAACTTGGGGCCTTGCTGGGCTGACATTGTCGCACGCCAGAGGAGCGCCGAAATGGCGTCGTTGGTAGTAATGTAGGGCGGAAGGGCACCCTCCTTGGTCTTGAAGAGTTTGGCGTTCGAGGGAGATGCATCTTTCTTTAGGGCGGCGAGGGACTCTGGGGAGAAGTAAAAGATGTGGCCGTGGTGGTTCGGTTCTGCGAGCTTTGGTGGAACTCCCTCAGGTGTGAAGGGAAGTTCGACGTATTCTGCATGGTCTTCAGGCCGACCGGCTCTGAGCCCCGTAGACTTCAGCAACTTCGCTCTGTCTTCCACGGGGATCTCGGCAGGCTCGGGGATGGGGATACCCTGCGCACGCCGCACTTCTTCAGCGAGCAGCTCCGTGAACTTGTACGCCGTTGTGCCGTCGGCATACGCATGCATATACATCAGGTTCAGCAATAAACCGCCCCGGATGAAGGTGGCCTGCAGCCATGTCACGTTCATCCGATCCCCGGCCTGGGGCCACTCTCCGCCGAGTCCACGCCGACAGAGAATGGCAGGATCAAGTGCCGAGGCGGGAAAGCCGCGGGCTTTTAGCTCGGAAAATGAAGGGAAGTTGGCGTCCCCACGAAGGTCCTTGGCAAGGAAGTCTTCAATCTCATCGCCGTAGTATCGGAGTCGAAAGAGCCCGGCCTGTTTGGAGTCCTGTAAGGGAACCGCCTCGCAACCGGCGATAGGAACACGGGCTTTCATTGCTTTGTAGGACGTCTGCAGGAGGTGGGTGAGGTGGTCTATGTCGTAGTCTTCTGAGAGCTCGAAGTGAAATATGACGCGGACCCATCCTTTGGGGCCAACTTGCTCAACAGGGAGGAGAGGAGGGGCAAGATCTAGTTGGGTAGTGATGGGAACGGAGGCTACATGTGTTTCCACAGCGGCAGGGAGTTCGGTTGTGGTTGTAGTTGCAGTCATTTTTTTCAGAAAGAGACTGGGCTTATGTTGTGATGAGGGCTTCGGAGAGTGTTAGTGTCTTGCTGAGTAGTCGTGATTGAGGAAAGAAAACAAAGCGTGAGTTATCTGTAGACCATGTTCAAGAAATTCAAGGTCCATCAGGAGCAGTCGACGTTTAAATAGGTCTCAATGTATTTGTGTTGTCTATGCGGCTAGCCCAGCCAGCATTTTGCGCCTCTCACAAGGCTGTTGGTTTGCTCTGATTCTCATTCTGGACCTCGAAAGGCGCAGCACGTACGTTTCAAAAGGATGGGAACCCTTGGTTTGCAGCTACATCGTGCGTTGTGGTTAAGATGCGGCAAACGTGTGCGTATAGCAGGCACCCATCAGTAATGGCACATCAACATGCTACAAGGAACATGGTGCTGTTGGGATCGTCAGGAATGCCACACCAAGCCTGCAAGGAAATTTCCCAATCGGGGCTCAAACGTTTGCCTGCGTTCTCTCTACTGTGAGGACCTCCAAGTAATTTTCCAAAAACAGTAACGTGCAGTGGAGTGCCTGTTGGTAGTCAACTTTAGATTCCCGGTTTGCTCAACTGCACAGCCGATGAACGGAAGTCAAAATGCCGACTTGCCGACATTGCCTGCAGAAGGAAGCCGGAAACACCCAATGACAACCCATTACATTTTCCTTTTTAGATCGACGCAATATCCATCTTTCCAGGGGTAGAACGCACATTTCAGATGACGTTGATTCAAGTGTGGATACCTAACAAGCACATCAACAATGTTGGATGTAAGTTGTTGTCAGCGACAGCTGAAGTAACTAGGCCAGGCTTTGAAAGGTCGTGAGCAAAGCGAAGTTCCTCAAGAAAGCAAAGCTGAATATAACATATGGGAAAGACGAGATAAGTCTTTCTTGTGCTAAAGTATCCGAGGGTGTAGGTATGTTCCAAACTGATGCATGTCAAGCTGCATATTAGAGAAATTGATATGCTTCAGATCCTCATTGGCAACAAGAGGGAAGATACTTCACTGCTAAACAGCTTCGTGGGCTAGATAGCGTTTGCACATAGGTCAAAGATTCTTCACTCTCATGTTTTATCACAGCATTTCTCTGCAACCAATCGGACTTCATCTCCGTCGACAGGGTTGCCCTTAATGAAGAACGTGCGTTTCGACCCAGCACAAAATCCCAACTTGTATCGGAGGGCCATGTTATGATAGGGTATTTGATAATGAGATCCCGTGTTATCCATACTTTTGCAATAAATCAAACATGTGATCGCATAGCATTGTGGAAAACCCTCGCCAAGGTCAAAAAAAGCCGAAAAAGGCAATTGCAAGTCCCAGGTTCGCGCAACTGAAGGATAAGCTGACGCACTGTGGACCCTGCATGCTTAATTATGGATATCTTTTCGTGTGCGCCTGGCAATTGTTCAATATACACGATGCGCGTACTACCTCGGCTTCTCCCCCATCCCTATCGTCATTCACTCTCTGGCTGCAAGCGTACTCAGCTTCTCATCCAAGGGCAGTGACCGTCGCAAGGTTTGATCCCAAAATAGTAGCAATATGCGGTGGGTCCTCAGAGAATCCTGGCATGAAAGAAATTCTCGTTATCTTCTAGAGCACTGCTGTCTGCGTTGTTTCTGTCATCGCTGCCGCTTCAGGCGTTCGTTGGATACGCATACCTTAAAAGCCCAAGCCTTTGTCACAATGATTATGTTATCTAGGTTAACGATTTACATGATATAGACGTCTTACTATAGTGAATAATTTGGTACTCTCAGCGAACGGTTCTCACGGTGAGAAAACCTTCGATACCATTGGACCAATCATGTTCCGTTTGAAACAACATGTACTCGACAATCTCAATTGAGGTTTACCTCACAAACGAATCCGAGAACGAAGCTTTGAAATCTTATTTCATGCGAGTTGGCTGGAAGTTATGGACTCTCTAGCATGTCTGGGTAAGCAATCGATCACGGTTTGTAGAAGTATTGAAGATGTGTGGCTGGTGAGTTCCACTCCATCCCTATCTCAACACTTGAGTAAGGTGGAAATGCAGAGTATGACTTGCAAGCATCATTCTCATATGCTATCCCAACACCTCCTTTGAGTCCACCAATATACTAGCCTGCTCCCTTGTTTGCCTGGTCTCGCCTTGAGGCCTGAAGCTATGCCAGCCGTCAGAGTCATCTCGCCTCAGACTTACTGTTAATACCGCTTAACTTACCTTTCACAGCCGAATGTGCTGAGGAAACTAGCCACCTCGGGTTGAACGCAAAATACGGATCGCATTGCTTTGTACACTTAGCCGATCAAGGGAGTAAGCCATTTCTCAACTCCCACTAGGCACATACTCAGCTACTTTTGTGGTCCATATGCTTAAGCCGAGCAAGATGAGCGACTAGAATTGCTGAGTCTCAAGAGTCATGCTCACTTCTGTTCCATTTAGGAAGAGCAATGCTGCGTTTCGCTCGCCTCATCTCTGCGCCACCTTTCCACGCCCAGGGCAGACTATGTCCCCAAAGCCTCATGTTGCTCGATTCCCGCAGCTCTGTGGCAACGGCTACGGAATTTGCGGTCATACATTGCTTCGGGTCGCCTTAGGTTAAGGTAGGCAGCCCAGTGCACAAGGCTACTCAAAGAGCCTTGAGGTCGGACTCAAATCCAGTACTTCAAAAATAGAATTAGCGTAGGGAAAGTGGTTCATGCTTGGCTTTATGTAAGGTAATTCAAAATGCATGACATCCACCTGAAGAATTAAATCTCACCTGCTTCTTTGATAGCTTCCAGATTTGAAGGTACGTGTTGGTGTCTGTTAATTTACCCGAAAGACCTCAAGCCTCCAATCGCCGCTTAGCTGTCCAATAAGGTCTTCAACATCAATCACATTCACTATCCACATCTTCCCGCAACAATTTTTCTCGCCCATTTGTTATTTGTCCTTCAAGCCGTTGGTATCATAGCCTTAGTGGTTTAGCAAGGGCCTGAAGAGTCTCATTCTCTGAAACAGCGTACCTGCCAGATGACCCAGGATAATAGTTAGTGCTGAGCCACCTACACTGTTACCAACGACTTCAACGGTCGTGCTTTCAAACAACTTCAGTTCTTTCTGCAGTCTGTCAGATGATTCTGCTCTTGTTTCGTTTTTGATAAAGATGGCAACTGAAACGCAGATCTCAACATTGGCAACCCTACTGCTGGTGAGTGCACTTCCAGCTTAGAAAAGACTGACGCTCGAGGAGCCTGGCGAAGAGATTTCAATGGTGCCATGTTTGCCTAATGCTTGTATAGGGAAAACGAAACTTAATCTGTCTTGATTTCGGGCCATAAGCACGATTGGAAATATGCGACTGATTGGATATCGATTCCCGATGACATCAAGCGTGGAATTAACTTTGAACTGAGGGGTATTGCAGCATCCTCTCACAGGGTTGGGAAAAGTACGCTCCTACTAAAGGATAAGTTGTCGAAACTGAACTCAACTGAGGTTCAAACATATCCGAAGCCTCGACATATTCTGCAAACATTGTCTTGTTATTACCAGCGATAAAAACGGCGGCTTTCCACGTAACTAACTCTTGCTTAGTGGAAACAATGAACGATGCTGCCCGCAATACTTTGGCTAGCCGGAATTAGGGGAAACGGCCAAGTTAACTCAGGCCAATCAATTTCATGACAATTATGAGAATTCATACCCTTTCCCGAAGAACGGCCTCTGCAACCAGTGCCTAAATGGGCATTCCTATTTCTGCTTAGAGCTGGAAAGGTCAGGTCGCTGAGTGTCTTGAAAATTCCCCACGCAATAAAGGAGTCTATATCGACGACGACGATCAGCACAGTGACCAAACTACCGAGCGAACGACAGAAGAAGAAGAAAAATTAAAGCAAGGAGCTAGGCGAAGAAAAACACAGACTTAGAATAGCACTACTTTGAAATTCTGGTTTTCCACCATAACTTAACAAGGTGTCTGTTTTGTATAAAAGATCACGTTGGATTCCCTTATATGTTCCGAGAAATCTGTGTAAGCGAATGTGAAAAGTCGGACTTCGCCTACAGGGTTGCAGTGGCAGCCGCACACCAGCCACCAGCACCTGTTAAGACAGAGATGCTGCCCATTTGAGATAAATGCAAAAGGATGCGTAACAACAAGTCGCTCACTTGTTGTTTGGTTGCACTTAAGTAGGGATTATGTGTAAGCACAGCTTACGCCACATCAACCTCAGTGTGTTTACTCTTCTTTAATCGACATACAGCATAGGCCCGAAGTAAAGTTTGAAAGTAAACCTTTGCACGCGGTTCGAAGTATCATTATGTACGATAGCTTTGAGTTATCTATTGAAAATCCAGCACATCGTTCATACACGCCCAATAGTACTTTTTTTTTCAAGTTATTCATATCCTTAGTTCGCTTGCCTACATGCGATCCTTTTGAGGCTGCAGGGCTGAAAGTACACGGCGACATAGCTCTTTGGACGTGCATTATCCTGAAAACTTTGAGATTTTGCTCCCAGGTGTAATTTGGTGACCCTTAGGTTGCTCTAGATTTTAAGATATATACAAACTTCCGTTGAGTTAGCGTACTGCGTCTAGTTATGCAACTAGCGCAGTGTTGACGGTTGTTGGAATAGACCAAGCCGGCGAGTGGGGCCGCTTCCGGCTCGGTCCCTTCAAAGATCGCTCGGATCCCGCCGACGGCGCGAGGAATTTCCCTTGGGGCGATGCTACCTTACTCAAGGTAAACTAGGCTTAATCGCTTTGGTGCCAGTGAGGGCAAAACTGTTGTGCTAGCTTACTGTGCGATACTCCTCATCTAATTAACATAAAGGAACAAGTGCCCAAAGAAAGGAAATGTCAATGTAAGCAGCGCCTTGTCTTGACTTCAACTGCTATATTATTGGGACCTTTGATCCCGCGCACAGGCCATTTAATGACCGCTGGAGATGACTGACAACAAGGTGAACATGGATAGTGAGCGGTGAATGTTAACCAGGTGAAGCCTAGTGGCCATTTCCAGATAACATGCTGGGGAAGTGACTTTCTTAGTTGATAACCTAGGATAGCTTTGCACCTGCCAAAGGTAAAGGAGTGGTGATGGCAGGTGGCAGTCGAGGTATCTTCATGCACCCCTGAACACCGCCCAATAGATAGAAGGCAATAACGCTTGGGCCATGTAGCGGTGAGAGGGTCACCGGTACCTGATTGGCCGGCATGAACCCCGCAATCACTCAAGTACTGGAGACCCAACAGGTGAAGCTAGCAGTGGGTTGAAGGCGCTAAACCTAGTGAGGGAGGGGGGAGCACCCTTTTTCTAAAGGCCTATCGTGCCACTGGTCGGTCTAGTTGATTGTGCCCCGCCTTGCCCACAACAAGTGACCCTCCAAACCTCTGAAAACCATCACCACACCTTCCTCCCCCCTAGCTCCTCCGAACCTCATCTCTGCGCTGCGCGCGTGAAAATATTCCCTTTTCCCCTTCCAATTTGCGTCGCAGTATCCCTCCAGATTTGTCGAGCTACGATTCATCATGAAGGGCGAGGTGAGTGAACGCGCCTATTGTTTCTTTCGGTCCCAGAGGTCGTCGTCGCAGCTTTGGATCGTGACTTCGCTGTCCACTTTCGCTGTGGCCACGACCCCTGAAATTTGGCCCAGCTATCCAGCCTACTTTACCTCGGTCTGCGGCTCAAGTACTCATATCAAACCTCTTTAGATTCTTCACCTTCATCTCGGCCAGGCCGGTACCCAGTTGGGTAACTCTGCTTGGGAGCTGTACGTCCACCTTCATCCCATGCCATCCTCATCCAAAAGAGAAATCCAATGGAACTGACCGCCAGCGCGTAGTTACCTTCTTGAGCACGGCCTCGGCCCCGATGGTCGTCCTGACCCCAATGCCAAGGATATCGTCGACGGTGGCTCTTACGAGACGTTCTTCACCGAGACCAACAATGGCAAATACGTCCCTCGATCCCTCTTCGTCGATCTCGACCCCTCGCCCATTGACGAGATCAGAACTGGCAGCTACCGCCAGCTCTTCCACCCCGAGCTGTTGATCAGTGGCAAGGAGGATGCTGCCAACAACTACGCTCGTGGTCACTACACCATCGGCAAGGAGATGGTCGACAATGTCATTGACCGTGTTCGCCGTGTCGCCGGTACGTCTCCACTTTATTGGTCTGCGTAGTTGTCAACCTGCGCCTAAACTGACCGACAACTCTACAGACAACTGCCACTCCCTTCAGGGCTTCCTGATCTTCCACTCCTTCGGTGGTGGTACCGGTTCCGGTTTCGGTGCTCTTCTGCTTGAGCGCCTCTCCACTGAGTACGGCAAGAAGTCGAAGCTCGAGTTCGCTGTCTACCCCGCTCCCCGTGTTTCGACCGCCGTCGTCGAGCCTTACAACGCTGTTCTCTCTACCCACAGCACTATTGAGAACTCGGACTGTACTTTCCTGGTCGATAACGAGGCTGTCTACGACATCTGCCGTCGCAACCTTGACATCCCCCGTCCCTCGTACGACCACCTGAACCGCCTGATCGCTCAGGTCGTCAGCTCCATCACCTCCTCCCTCCGTTTTGACGGTGCCCTTAACGTTGATCTGAACGAGTTCCAGACCAACTTGGTTCCTTACCCGCGTATCCACTACCCTCTCATCAGCTACGCCCCTGTCATCTCGGCTTCCAAGAGCGCCCACGAGAGCTTCAAGGTTCAGGAGCTTACCTTCCAGTGTACGTCCCAAGCACCCCATAGTTGTGTACTTTTCGGAGACTAACAGATCGCAGGCTTTGAGCCCAACAACCAGATGGTCGTTTGCGACCCCCGCAACGGCAAGTACATGGCTGTCGCTCTTCTGTACCGTGGTGACGTCGTTCCCCGCGACTGCAACGCTGCCATTGCCGCGCTTAAGGCTAAGGCTTCGTTCAACCTTGTCGAGTGGTGCCCTACTGGTTTCAAGCTTGGCATCAACTACCAGAAGCCCATGGCCGTCCCCGCCGCTCCCGGCGATGGTGGTCTCGCACCCGTCGACCGCTCCGTTTCCATGCTTTCCAACACCACCGCTATTGCTGAGGCCTGGTCGAGACTTGACCACAAGTTCGATCTCATGTACAGCAAGCGTGCCTTCGTCCACTGGTACGTCGGTGAGGGTATGGAGGAGGGTGAGTTCAGCGAGGCCCGTGAGGATCTTGCTGCGCTTGAGAAGGATTACGAGGAGGTCGCTGCCGATTCCTACGAGGCTGATGAGGGTGACGCCGAGTACTAAACCGACATGGGGAATGTTCTTTCTCCAATTCATGGTGTCTCGGCTGCTTCTGCGACCGATGACGACTTACCTGGTGGCCTTGGGCGAAACGAATGCATGGCAAAAAGTCTGTTTTGGCGGCCGTTGGCGTGTCGGTTCGGTAGATTTCTCTGTTCCCGCTCTTGCCGAACGAACTTGGACGCGAGGCACTGGATTACCCCATAACCCACGAATGGATATTTCGGCGTCAAGCTCGAGTTGATAATAGATGAGACCAAGTCACTTTTTTCTTCACACAAGTACATACCTGTGGTCTTCTGGTTTTCCCATTCTTGACAAAGAAGTTCTTGGACTCTGTCCCGTAGCCGATTGTAACTAAATTTGCTAATTAAAGTGGCCTTGAGATGAAAATTGTCCTGAAACCTGCTTTGGTCTGTTGCTCCGTGGCCAGGCAGCTGCCAAAATGTGTGGATTATTTGCCTCAGTGCATACCAGTGTAGATGCCATAAGCTATGGACTGCGATAACTTTTCATTTTAGACGCCATTTCCCTATGCTTTTTCTTCCACCACCTCGCGATGGCATCCATTAGAATAATACAGGCAAGACATTCCTTCCACATCGAATTTTATCAACAATTCCGTCTTTTTACGTAGACTTTTCCTTCTTTCGCCACTGCTCCGCTCTTCTGGCGCCACGACCCGTGGGCTTAGACTTCTGCACGCGACCCTTCTTGGTCCTCTTTCCAAACTTCAGGTCCTTAGGCTTCCCATCCTTGGCACTGGCCCGGCGGCCTTCGAAGATGAACTCCTCCGGTGCCTTAATATCGTCCTTTGGAACAACGCCCGAGCCGTTAGCCCTGCGATCCCTCTTGTCGCCGCCCTTCCGTTCGCGCAAGGCACCAGAGCGACCCAACAGGCGGCCTGCACGACCAGCCATAGACTGCTGCTCAGGGGTGATCTTGGCCCTGTACTTTGTGCTACCCGGCGCGCTGGGGTTAGGCTGGCCCTTGGTCTTCGAACGCTCCATGGCGAGGGCTGTTTTGTGAGGTGCTTTGGCGCGAGTCACACGCAGGGCACGGGGAAGCATGGGGGGATACTTCTTGCCGTCCAGAAGCAGGGCTGCTTCAACGTGGTTGCCATCCTGAGATTGTTAGTCTTTTGAGGAATCATAGTTGGGTGCATTTGACACTCACGTAGAACTGAACATAAGCGAAGCCCTTTCCAACTCTCGTTTTGGGGTCGCGAATGACGCGGACGTTCTCAACCTTGCCAACGTGCTTGCCAAAAGTCCTCCACAAGCCTTCCTCGACGTCCGAGGGCACCTTGTTCCGTTTCTTCTGCACCGTCTCACCGTCTTCACCAGTGGTAAGCACGGTCTCGTCATCAACAAAACCAAGATTGCCGACAAAAACGCAGCGGCGGTGATCAGTCGGGGCGGGATGGGCAACACTGTCCACACGCAAGTGGCGGTCCAGAACGACAGTGCCGTTGAGCTCCGCGACAACCTTGCGCGCCGCGGCTGGTGTGGAGAAGACGACGTAGGCGTTGGCCGACTTTGTCGTTTCTTGCATGAGAGACTTGGTGATATAGGCGGCGCGCTTGGGCAGAGCACCACCAGAAAAGGCAATGGAGCGGAAGCGGATGGACTCAATCTTCTGAGCGGGGGTAGCGTCCTTCTCAAGGACGCTGGAGAGATGAGCCTCAAGGGTTCTCTTGGCAGCCTTGTTTGCGACGGCCTCAGAGGCAACGTTGGATAGGAAGACAGTACGGTTCGCCTTTTCAATCTCGGCGTTCTTGTCTTTGCTCTTTGCATCAGTAGCGAGAGACTCGTGGACTGGGATTTCGGAATTCTCCTCCTCGTCCTCGTCCTCAGATGCCCCTGATGTTGCCTCGTCGCCCTCTTTCTTGCTGCGCTTTCCGGTAGGCTTTTCATTCTCCTCGGCCTGTGCAAGTTTGCTCAAGTACTTTCCCTCGATATCATCCTCTTCCCGCTTGCGCTTGCGTTCCTTTTTAGGCTTTGCAGCTTTCTCTGCAGTCTCCTCTTCCTCCTCAGGAGACTCCTCCTCCTGATCCGAGGATGAATCATCTCCGGAGTCTACCTCGGCGTCATCTTCGACCTCACTGCCCTCTTCAGACCCTTGCTCTAGCTCTGAAAGCTCCTCATCGTCCTCCTCGTCGGCATCTGGGAGCTCTTCGTCTGAGTCGGGTGTGTCGGGCTTCGCCTTCGGGGGAGGCGCTTCCGAGTATCTCGCCTTTGAAGGGGCTTTTACTGGTCCAGCCTGAATTTTGTTAGAATTATTCGAGCCCAATTGGTCAAGATATCTATATGTTTAGGACTTACACTAGATGCGAACAGAGCATTGAGGGTGGGGTCAATGGCCTTGTTCGAGGCCGTGAGTTTTTTGTCACTATCATCTTTGTTAATAAATAGGAATATTTGGCTCGGAAATATGCATCATATACCCTTTAGCCATTGTTGCGACGAGTTCTTTGCTTGAGTGACGCCCTGGTATTTTTTTTTTCTGGCGACGGGCCTGCTGTAGATGCACCGGCCCCCCCAAGTCTCTTCCGCAACAGAAAAAATAATCAAGCTCCTCTATCGCTGGTCTGCGGCCCCCCCAGCCGATAAGGAAATGTCGGTGGTTCGGAGGCAGATAAGGACCGGAACAACCATCGATTGGTGCAAAACGTCAGAAGGCCGCCATTTGCCGAGAACAAGTGCCCCGTGCCAACTGTTGTGCCAGTGCTCACCGCTTTCGCTCTCAGGGCGAGGACTGGTTCTGCCGACCGATCCTGGTTCCGCACTGGGAAGACGGGAAAGGCACAGAGAGGGAGCAGGTGAGCGCATCTCATGGAGCGGCAGGTCACTAACGCTTCTCTTCCCATCTCCGAAAACCCACCACAACACCACCAAACCGTGCTCGCCTACGTCTGTTTTTTGGACCCTGGCAATTCCAAGCTTTCATGCTACTGCCTGCCAGCTTTTATTTACTCCTCAATTCTGGCAGCTACTTGTTTTTGTTCCCAAAACATCTAGCCCGCCTCTTCAACCTGCTGCTGGTTGTCCCGCCGCGCCCCGTCTTCGTTCCCACGAAAACTCGTCTGTCCGAATTGCACCTGTCCACGACCCCTCCCGGCTCCAAACCACCCGATTTGATATCGCACAACACGGTATCAACTCTCTGTTCCAATGGCAGCTACGGCGTCAGCGCCGCCTGCCCTCTCTCCAGGGCAGGCGACGCTCGATCATGACGACAGCAACATCTCCAGCCCTTTGAGCGACGTCGAGGATAAGGACGGTGGTGAATCCCTGGATGGCATGCAGCTTGACCCCCCTCAGACACATCACGACGATGCGCTCGACTCCGACAGTAACCTGTCCGAGGCAAACGATACAGAGGCGGAGACTGAGCGCCTTTATGACACCCCGCAGGCCCAGCGGCACAAGGACGTGGTCGTCAATCAGTTTAATGACGGCCAGATATTTGAACGCACTCCAAGCAAGCTTCAAAAGACATTTTCAGTCGACGGCGACGACGATAGTCTTTCCGATCGCGACGACGTGTCGATGCTCTCCAGCCGCGGTGACGAGGCATCGCCTAGCAAGCCCAAGAAGTCCACCGAGCCCACATCTGCCGACGGTAATTCTGAGAGCATCGACACCAAAAAGAGGAAGAGATCGCCGATCGCGGAGTCTTCTGAGCCGGGGCAGCCTTCTCGAAAGCGCACTGGCTCTGTCGTGCCCCATGAGCAGGAGCAACACAAGAACAACGTGGAAATGCAGGAGGACGATGCTCCATCCACAAATTCCCACAGTGGTGACCATTCTGCGACCGACGATAATGTCCTAGAGCTCCCACCGAACAAGCGTGGTCCGTCGCGCGACACCCACAGCCCCGTCAAGGATTCCCAAATAACGAAGAAGATCACCCGCAACGGTAGCAAACGTAAAGGCAATGTTACCGAGATCCAGGATCATGAAGGCCATGACGGTGACGCCCGCGACGACAGCAGAGGCGACGAAGATACAAGAGCTCACGATGATGATCAAGCTGAACAAGAGGGCGACGATGACGCAGAAACGACACATGATGAAGAACGTAAGTAACTCCGTTCAATTCACCGCCCCCATACTGACATAGCATTCAGTAGAGAAAAAGCGTGCTGCCGTTGAAGAATGGACAGATCTCGAAGAGAAGTTTGTGCTTTTCCGTGAGCGGTAGGTGTCCGTATTTTCCCAATTACGTTCTTCACACGTTAATTGATTTGTTCCAGATTGTACAAGGATCGCCTCGAGCGCCTCGAGCAAGAGGAGCATTCGCTACAAGCGGAACCTCCTTCCCACCCTGAGTATCTGAACATGAAGCAGTGTTTGGACGAAAGGCTGGAAAAGAAGCTCCGTCATATCAACAAAGAGTACGAGCTATCAGTCGAGGCACTTGAACGGCTAGCAGTGGCACGCCGCGCCCAGATCTGGGACCAGTTTTACCAAGGCGCGCGAGAAAAACGGTCAAGGATGCTGGAAGACTTGAACAAGGAGTGGTACGAAACCCAGAATGCCAGACGGAGCGCACACAGCGTCCCAGACTACGGCCTTCTGTTCCCGACCAATCCTATACAGCGAACAAGGAATGCCGTGGCATACAACTCGGAGGTCTCGTTTCTTGCAGGCCTTGCCAAACATGAGGGCTTTCCTGCCGTTCCAGCCATGCGGGGTGCAAATCTGTTGGAGATCGAAGATGACTTGGAGGCCATAAAAGTAAGCAGATGACCGCCCTATTTATTGTGCTTCCTTTAACAGTCTCTTAGCGCAACTCTAGGCCTCGTCAGCGATCAATAATGCAGCCTCTCGAGGACTATCAGGCAGTCGCATTTGGAGGAACTCTTGGCCCAGCAGGGGAGCAGTTCATCAAGGATACTCCGTGGGCAAATCCGAACCATTTCTCGCACAAGATCAACCCAACACCTGCAGCTCCTGGAGCTCGTGTCAACAGCCCACTGCAAGGAAGTAAAGCATCGGCAGCAGGCCTGTCACAGCCGTCACCGGCTTTGTCGAACGGTCATTCCGCCCCCCAGACGTCCCCGCACGCGAATCTTTTCCCTTCTGCATCTCCAGAGATGGTGCGAATCGCCAATGTTCTTACGCAAAGCGCTCAAATGAAGCGTGTGGGAAGTCGGGCTTCGAAAGCTGCAAAGGACTCTACCCCCAAACAAGAACCAGTAACAGCGATGGCAAGTTAGGGCGGCATCACCTGGTGGCTGGCGGCGTTTTCGAGGCTTACTATACTGTTATGATACCCCACGACGGCTTGGGCGAATCGCCCTTTTCATTATTATTTCCCCCCCTATTTCTCAACTGCGTTTGCGCCGCGCGCAATTGCGCAGGCTTTCTTCTCTTGGGTTCGCATAGAATCGCGGAGATCCTCACATTTATCAAAAAAAATGGGAGGTTTGGATCGGATTGGGGCGCCTCATCTGCATTGGGATGGACTGGTTTTTACTGTACCTTAACGAGACATGTACAGAATCGTTGATTGAAGATTTGATGTTCTACATTGATGTACTAGGCGTAGCAAGCGAGTTATGTCTCGCTGGTATATATATAACACAATGCAAAAGCTCATTCGTCTGCATGGCTGCTTTTTCATGTTGCGTTGACAGCATCTGCCTCCCAATGAACCTTTGCATTAAATTCGTCCAATAATTCGCTCCATCACGCTTAGTTGGATTTCGCAGGTTGTCTTGGGGTGTCGGGAACCTTGACGTCTTCGAACTCGTCCTGGCCGACGGCTCGGAGAGTATACCAGTCTAGATAGGTGAACAGTTAGCCAAACCACCATTACATTCAAGTCAAAGGGGCGCGGGCAAGGGCTATGACATACAAACTGCACCGGCGAAGCACCATAGGCCAGCACCGACAGCAAGATTCTTAACGAGGTATGGCTTTCGGGCTCGAATCAGCGCCGGACCTTGGCGCAGGTTGCGATCATAGTAGGAGGATTTCTTCGGGCTGTTTTTTCTGCTCGTCAGACCACTCATCCGGGGAGGGCGGGAGATCGGAGATAATACCCTGCCATTGTGACCGGGTGCAGCGTTTCTCTAATATGTTGTAGATCGTGGCAAGAAGTCCCAAAGTCAAAGAAGACAGGTGGGTTGGTTCTCTTTTCACGGTGATTCTGGTTGCGCCGTCGATGAAGCTCGATATCGCTTGTCGCATGGACCGAGCAAACTGGAGGAAATTCACAGGCCTCGCATTCCCTCGTCGCTGATTGGCATCGATAGCTCGGCAGAAGACCGGCAGAACTGATAGTGACGTATGCGGGTCCGATAAGCTCAAGCAGGGGTTTTGCGGGCAGATGTTTTTTTATTTTTTATTCGTTGGAGGAGACAGTCGCTGCCCTTAGGTAGAAGTCTTGCCTTACCTGCGAAGATCAGGGAAGCTGTAGCACCAAGCTCAAATCATCAAGCCAACTGTGCAATGAAACACGGGATCGTCCGGGAACTCTATCCCAAAGACGAATAATTCTTTTAGATCTTTCTTATCCATTTCCCAGAATCACCTCGACTTAACGCTGCTTTACAGGGCACTCTTTCGTCACCCAAGCGCCTCACAATAGACAGGAGCGATTAAGGCAGCCAGTACGCTAACCAAAAGTAAATCACAGCGGTCGACACGCCCCGTCATAACCCGCGTCGCTTGTCACGCAGCCTTTCGACGTCGCCAGGTGCTGCTGCTTGTGCCACTGGAGAACCCTTCAAACTCTGGAGCAGGGAAGGACAGGCAATTCTATTGCCCAGCCGAGGTCAATTGTCTGAAGTCATCTAATCAACCAACCACGATTTTACAACTTACCCGGCGGACTGTACGATCTAAGGCGATTGCGATCTTGTATTTTTTTCCAGCGCGTTGGAGGATGGTGAACTGGAAAAGCTCGAGCTCTCCATATTTCGACAAGTCGCGAAAGCTCCTATGCTCGTGATCTCAAGCCTTTCCGCCTGTGTCAAATTCCATCAAAACAACACCCAAATCATTTCTGATTTATTGAATTCTTACGATACTCCCAATTCGTAGTCATCAATTATTACGCAACCATGGCGTCGTCCTCCGAGCAGGCGTCAGTGAGCGACCAAATCCGCCAGCTCAACGACGCTCGCAAGCTCGTTCTCGGCGACGTCAAGTACTACCCGACCGTGGTAAAGAGCATCCTCCCGATCGTCGGTCCCTCCGCACGTGTCGAACTCCGAAGATGGGGCGCCGATTTTCTCGCAGAGGCCTTTGCGACGCCTGCCCTCCCCGGAAGTGAGAAGGAAACAATGCAGCTCTTCGTGCTGGACACGCTGCAAACTATGGTCGAGAACCCAAACGAAGATGCACATGTTCTACGGAGTGCTATACAAACAGCGGCTAGCATCTATCCCTTTGCGCTGAGATGGATGTGCGTGCGCCCGGATCAGAGAATACTTGGATGTGAGCAACTGGAGGCTGACGATTCGGTAGCATTAACAACTCGTACGACACCCTCACGTGGGAGCGGATGGTCGCCATCAAGACGAGGATATTGAGGATATGGGACGATGCCGAACCTACGGTGCGGATATGCTGCATTAAATTTGCCCAGCGAGTGGTTTTGGCGCAATCGGCAGCCAACCCACAGGAACCAAGGGTAGGCACGACCTGTGACATTGATGTGTCGACGACATTGACAAATTTTTATAGCGTGGTGACTCTCTCGACATATCCCTTGATAAAATCCCCCCCAACCACCAGACATTGGACTCTCGAACCCTTGACGCTGAAGGAGCCGGGTTGCTGGATAGAATGCTGGGTGTACTGCAGGAGAACAGCAGGTAAGGATCGTGTAGGGGGAGAAAAGTGTGGACAACCGCTAACCGCAGCGCCCTGATGATAGTGATGTACTCATTGTTGATGCCACTCTCAACTGCCTTTCAATCCTGATCCGCACTCGGCCAGGTACGGCCAACAGGATCTTGAATGCCGTACTCAACTTCAACCCACTGAAACTGGCCAACTCGCCCATGACTCCCAAGACCCGTGTAATGGTGAAGTCCATGGAGAAGACCACGCGTATGCTACTGATTCATCTGTCTAAACGGTATTGCCCACAGTCTCTGACCTGTCCATACTTGCCAACTAACATGGATATACAGCGACCCTCATAACCCCATGGCGCCGCGCATCCAGCAGCATGTGGAGAGGATGATGCGCATGCGGAACGAGATCTTTGACGAGGCTGGCCGTAAGCGAGCCCTTGAGGCTCAACATCATGACGGCATGGATCCCAAACGCCAGCGAATGGTGCCGCAAATCTCATCGACGCCGCAAATACAAATCACACCATTACCGCCAGGTCCTCATAGCTTAGGTGATGTCTTTACTCTCACAGGAAGCGAAGGGCTTAAGGCGTTTGATGTGGCAACTCTGCCTACAGCTATGGCCGCCAAAATCAGCATCACTACCCTGCTCCGTACAGATCATCAGCTACTCACCAAAGCCATCGAAGTAAGCATTGTTTGCCATTTTGAATATGACGTCCTCTGACACATTGCAGGGTATTCGGGGACGACTGAACGCCTTGGCCGCTCAGCCGCCACCGCCTCTCAACCCCGAGACTGCTCCATTGGGTGTTGATGAGGATGATGACGACTACGAGCCTGACTTCTTCGCGGCCGAGGATAATGAGCAGATCTTGAATAAGCTTGATAGTGACTCCGTGGCCAAGCCAGACGATGGAGACCTTGGCCTCAAATCATTCAAGCTACCTCCCCCACCGGCGCTCACGCCGGAACTGGCGCTCAGCGCGGGTCAAGGCTCGGTGATGTCGTTGTTCCAATTCGTAAAGACGCTGGAAGACCCTGCCAAGAAGTCCAAGTCGGGTATCAACAGGTTGGCTGCCAGTAGCAACGATCGGGAATCCTGGATTGCCATTATTACCCGCTTGGCCAGCCGGTCGTCTGCTGGCTTAGAGGGTGTCGATGTCAAAGATGAGAATAGTAGTTCCGTCGCACGATTGTCCCTTGGGAACAGTATCAGAGACTCCTTGTACAGCTACGTTCTTGAAGACTTCCGAAGACGAATTGACGTAGCCATTACTTGGTTGACAGAAGAATGGTACAACGATCAACTGCAGAAGAAACAGGAAGGAGACCACCCTCTGCACTACGAGAAGTGGGCGCTAAAGTTGATTGATGGTTTCTCGCAATACCTTAATGCCCAAGACAAGGTTCTCACGCGGTTCTTGGGCGAAATCCCCGAGCTTAGCGCGGCAATCCTGTCGCGGGTGAAGCTCATGTGCCGAGACCCGTTGGTGGTGCCACTGGCTCTTACGAGCCTGTTGTACCTAGTCATGATGCGACCACCAGTCAAGGAGCTTGCTCTGGATACCGTCCAGGATATCTGGACAGAGTGTAAGTAAAAAAGACAGCCATGTTTTGTGTTGGACAGTTGCTGATATCACATTGCAGTTGAGGACGCGCGACCATTGGCCGCGAAGTATTTGGTCAAGTTCAGGCCGGCCTTCCTCGAGGCGGCCAAGGGCGACGCGGAAAACACCACTGCTGCCGCGGCAACCAACAACACGACGACAATCGCGACATGACCACGGCCACTGGTATGCGGCCCTTGATGCACGCGATCACGGATGATTACACCATATGAGCACAACGTCAACGGACATGTCAACCTGGGGAGAAACGGAGAACTACCCAGGATAGATGGAAGCTGGGACTAGTTTATCACTGTACAAGGTTGTTATTAGCAACAGAATGGATGTTGCCGAGCCCCTCAGTATACCCTTAGGAAATTTGGAGTAGGGCAAGAGCCTCGACCCTCGCAGAGAGGAAGAAGGATGACGGGGCGGAAGATTATCACGGCATATGCCTGGCGTTTGATTGGCTTTTGGACCATGAAGTGTACGGATAACTATGTGCATATAACCCAAAAGGGTTGGCCTTGGGTGAAAGAGGCTCAAAAAGCAAGTTAGTGAAAATGAAAACTCTATGAAGGGTGATTTTAACGCGGCTTTGAGCAACACGACTCTTCCACCCCTCCCAGTGTGGTTTTTTTTTTTCCCCTCCCCTCCCCTCCCCTTCCAATCAATGCCACACTTTTAGAACTTATCCAAAAAGTCTTACTGTGAAGCAGTCAGAAGCACGCTACGAACGGGTCCATGTGGCCGAGCACAGCCGGAATGCGGGAACGGTTGGGTCTGGTTGACGGGATCCCAGGCTTTGGTGTCGGCCCTCCCCCCCTCTCCTCTTGTGTCCCTACCTAATTTCTGGCCCCCCCATTCAAATAAACTACGCAATGGACCAACAGACCGACGCTAGTAACCAGCCCTGAGCCTTGTGAGGAGGGGTCCGTCGGGGCGATCAGCCGTTCGGTAGCCTCTGCGGCTTTCATTTACGACTGCGCTTGGCATATCAAGTTTAAGGACCTAACAAGAATTAAAAGAAAGAAAAAAAAAGAATAAGAAGTGTGTGTTTTGGGAGGTGCGCTTTGTTTGTGTGTGTGTGCGTGTTTGCGTTTTCCTAGTAAGGTTAGAAGGCTTTGGTCATAGGCTGTCTGAGTGGATGCCATGTGCTGTTCAGCTACCGGGAGGTTTTTTTTTGTTGTCTCGTGTCAAAACTGGCAACGTGCCGACTCTGGATGGAGTGCCGGAGGAATGAGGTGTGAGATGAGATGTGACGTTTTGATTGGAGAGAAGAAGACGGGAGAAATACAAATTGCAAAACAGGGGGGGGTTAGGTCACGGCGTTTGCGGATGTACTCTATGAGATTTTGTTCAGTTATATAGCTTGCTTACTTGGTGTGAGAGACTACCACAATGATTTACTTGCAAAGATATTGGTAAGCGTCCTTCTTTTTGCGGCTGCCGACGAAGAAGCCAATCAAGTTTGCAAATCCGATGTTGCGTCTCGTGTTTAAGGTCAAGTAGTTTCGGCGGCAGGTCTTCGGGTGAAGGTTATCTCTGCTGATGATATCCTTTGCCTGATTGTTTTTTTGGGTGTTGGGGAAGGTTTCACGGGGAGGGATGGAGTTCAGTTTAGGGTTTTCTCGTTCGTCTTGTCATTATTCAGCTCAGGCATGTATATTGTAAGGCCTGCGTTTCTTGGCCCCAACCAAGGGGATCAAGTTGTGTACAACATGGTTGATTAGAAGAGGCTGCCGATGAGGGAAATGTCCGAAAAGTGGTCATTCCAAGGGGCTGAAGGGGACGTAGTGAGTCTTGTTGCTGCTGGAATCGAGTTAAACTTAATGGCTGGCTGGATGGATAGTTGCTGAGGGGTCGAGTAAGGAAGGCATGTGAACTCATTGATGACCACCGTCACCGGAGACGGTCCGAAGATGGGAGGAACCTTGAATTGACTCGGAGGTTGTTAAGCTGGGCGGGGACACGGTTGGTTTGGATGAGATTGGTGGAGGGGGGGACGGGAGGGGAAAGAATGGCTGATGGTGGCTGTATTTGCTTTTCTTGAAAAGCGCATATATTTCACCAGCGAGCCTCAAACGGCGAATAAAAATGGTGAGGGGCATAGTTTATGCAAGAGGGGGCCTATCGTGAGTGATTCAAGGACTATTGAAGACCTAGCCACAGAAGTCATAATACTGATTTGTAGGCCTGTAAGAACGTCCACTCATGGTTTGCCCTTTCTTGCTATAGGTTTCGATTCAGGAGATGCAAAGGGGGGGGGGGGGACCTGTTACTCAGTTAAACAGAAAGGAAATTCGATGTAATGCGTTCAGTGTCTTTGTCAAACTTGATCTTTGTCCAACATTTCCCTTAACCTCAGTCAGCTAAGACACACCCGACCAAGGAGGGCAGGGCGGGGATCACAAAAACAGATGTGTGAGGGACCGTGCATACAGCTTCCCTCTTCCCACAGCCAACCAGACCAGAACAGCAAAGTGACGGCACCAGCGATGATCGTTGCTGGGGAACAGGGTGGTGTCCTGCTTTTTAGTGGGGGCCAAGTAGCCTGTACCGCCTATGGCTCTGCTGCGGCAGCCCGAAAGTAGGAGCCCTGCCAGGCCCGTGGCCCTCTTTGATTTGCCTGCCCAGTGCCTTGGGTGCTTGGGAGTACCTCCCCCCTCCCACCATTTGCAGTGGTGGTGTTGTGCTACTTTACGGATACTGGGTGGTGTTGTCACCTCCCCCTGACTGACGCGGTATGGTGGTTCCCTCGCGACTCGCTTTGTGCCTGTGCCTTGCCCTGTACCTGGATCGAATTTCAAGGGTGGTGGACAAGAAAAGCAATCGAATCCCGGGAGAGAATCCACACCTGGAAATCTGGGGGGCCGCAAAAAAGGGAAAAAGAAAAAAAAAAACATTGACATGGCCTGGCCTCGCTAACAAGGCGCCGCTGCTGCAAGGAGAGCGAGCAGTTCTTTCGGCCATTCTCTGATCTTCTGCTTAGTCTCCGTCTCAGCCGCTTCTAATTTATCTGGGCTTTCCCCTTCTCGCTCGACCCTCCTTTCCCACCTCCTGTCAGAGGATAATGACCTGACCTGACTTGACTTGACTGACGTAGCACATTGACGGCACCCACGTCCTCCAGCAGAAGAAAAAAAAAAAAAGACGGTCACTTACAGCCATCTTACTGCACTTCTACTGCTTCGTAAGCCGTGTTATTCACCAGTGTTGTTGTCTTTTATTCTGTGGCAGTGCGGCTCTAAAAGAACCGAAATTCAGCTCTTCCCTGCATCGCCGTTACGCTGGGAATTGCAATCCCGGACATCCGCCCAAAACGAATCGTTCATTCCAATCCTACAGTCCTCGCAATATCCCACGTCAGCCACACTCCTGTCGCGAGATCAGACGCACATTGCGCCCGTTTCTTGTGACCAAAGGGAAATCCCCCAATCCAAACACGACCACACGCTTCCACCCCCCCAACGTTTCCATCTTTGCCGCAACGCCATTCACTACACCACCTCCACTTCCACCACTACAGACTAATTCGGCCAACTTATCCGGACTAGACAGACAACCTTAAAGAGAACGGACGATGGTCGAAGGACTTGCCTAGTCGCCTCCAGAAACTACAGAAGCAACAGAAGCGACGCCTCCCATCGAATTCCTCTTCAAGTCCCTGAATTTGATACTTCACAAGACTTGACTCACGGTAAGGATCCCCGTCCTTCCCGCTCTTTGCTTGAAACCTCGCCCCGTCCACCTCCCGCCCACTCCGTTAGCCATTTGATCGACGACCTTTCTGCGGCTGTCTAGCGCCACTGCTGCGAAGCGCCACTGCTGTCGACGGCTCGGGAAGAACATGTTTGAGAGCCTCTTCTTGGCTAACTTCTACCTTCCATAGACGTGCACACTTCAACTTCCGCCAACACATCTTCCCCCGACGACGACGACTCCCTCCCTAGATGGTCCCCAGGCCAAAATTTTCCTCACACCACCCATAGGAAGCCCTACCCACAACGCTAGCATGAGTACTCGCCTCGACCGGAATACCAGAATCCAGTCGAAGAGCCCCTCCCCGTCTCCTCGAGGCACCCAAAATATGGTTCAGACCATCCGCACAGTACCCAGCTTCGAAGCCGTGAGTGACACGAGCTCCGACACCCATTCACGAAACTCTGCCTTCTCCAGCTCCGTCAACAGCAACGCGAGCGGTGTCAGCATGTCATCAAACCACCAAGACAGATCCCCTCCGAGCGTCAAGCTAAAATCCGATTGGAGCAGCAACAGCCTCGGTGACCCCACGGCCAAAGTGAGGGAAGAATCGCCTTCCATGATGGATGACGAGAACCCCGTTGCCGCCGACGCGCAAGGCGGCGCGGGATGGGACTCGACGATCGGCAAAGCGGGACTGGGAAAGACGGGGCGCGTCATCAACAAGCTGGTCAGCGACAACGAGGCTCTCAAGCGCGACATTCAGATCGAGCGGTTACGGGCCGAGGAGGCAAAACAGGCCGCCAAGTTGGTCGAGGACAAGATGGAGCGTTTAATCAGCGACTACGAGAGCCGTCTCCTTGAAGCGAGCGTCACAAAGACCCTCCTGAGTCGCAAGGAGCGCCAGGTCGAGACACTCAACGCAAATGTCGATCTCGAAAAGAAGCGCACCGCAGCTGCGCAGGAAAAGGAGCGCTCTTGGCGCGACGAGATGGAGAAGATGCGCTCCAGCACAACAAAGCAGGTTGAGGACGCCAACACCCACGCCGCACTGATGGAGGGGCGTTATAACGCCATCAGCTCGCACTGGAAGGACCAAGGCGACGAGGTGAAGCGTGCGCACCTGAAGCTCCGCGCCGAGATTGCCGGTCTCGTGGAGGAGAGGAAACGAGACGACGACAAGATCACGGCGCTGAGGGACCTATGCGATCAGCAGGATGGCAACATCAAGGAACTGCGGCGGCAGAAGGAGGAGATGGAGAAGAAGTTTGCGGACTATAAAGAGCAGCAAGAGGTGGCCCTGAAGGACATCAAGGCCGGAGCGGCAGAGCGGGAAGCAGAGCAAGAGAAGCTGCTCGAGGAAACGAGGTCGACGTTGGCCAGGTTGAAATGGGCACTCAACGTCAAGGAGAACGTCAAGGATCTGCTGCAATAATGGCGGTGATCCTTCTACAATTTCTCATCTCACATACCCGAACCCGCCTGTTGACTGCAACCCGCAACCTTCTCCACAGTTCCATCCACGCTTCTAACAAGCCGATACCAACTCCACCCTACCAATATCTACAACCAAAGTCTTGAAAAGACAGATCGTTCAAAGCACGCGGAGGCAGCTGTGCATAACAAACCACAATGGCCTAGAGATAAAAGGCCATCGGATCAGAGTTTCTTCTTTTTTTTTTTTTTTTTTTTTTTTTCTATTCAATTCTCGGTCGACGGCACGTTCCAGGAAGAGACGCATCACAGAACAGGTAAAACCGGCGGACAGCGGATGGGGCATTTTCTGGATAAAGGGATTGGCTATCCTCTTTCCTTGTTTCCATCCATTCATCAGAGGATCAGCATTGGAGACATTATGGGGGGCTACTACGTCGCCGCATCAGGCACGTTTGGGATTACACCGCTGAGGAAGGGGGCATATTGCAATGTTAACCCCCTCCGTACTTGGTTGATGAACGTCATCAACGAGATACTAGGGTTCGGAGTTATGGCGTCTTTAGGGCGGTTGATACGGGGACACAGAGCGTGTTTCCCCCGTTGATGTCTGTGTTTGCTTGCGTATGGTACTATGAATGTTGTATCTATACGAAGGCGATGTGGACTTTGATTCGGTTTTAGAGTACCTATCCCGGGTTTCCTACGAGTCGTGAAAGAAGGCGTCATTGTTGAGGCATAGTTGATCAAAACGTAGCCATCAAGATTAAAGCAATTAAAAACAGTATATGCAACTTTTTTTCAAATATGTCGTGCTTTTTCCGACCGATAGTGAAGGTATTTGGAAACCTATGACCACCTCCCTGAATAAGTTATGTTTGAGTTCTGCCTCCGATGTCGGTTAAAAGTGCAAGTAATTACACCAAGACCGACTGCGATAATTCTTGATGGGATGTAATTAGGATTTCTTTCCTTTGAATGGCCATAAAGTTTGTTGGAGCCTCTGGTGATGGGACCCATGGGAACTCACAGGCACGCAAAACAATGCCTTTGTCCCTGTCAAATGCCGAAGTGCTTGGTAAGACCCTACCTGACCCCGGATTCTACTTTCTGAATCAAACGTAGAACGGAAGAAACATGTTTCGGTCTACTTTGGTTTGAAGGTGCTGCCTGCACACGAGGCCGTGGCTCGGACGAGGGAGGCGATCGATCGTATGTTCCCTTAGAAAGGGAGACGGAGCCGCCCTTATGGAATTCTATTGAGTATCCGGGGGCTGTAGATGCTTATTCCTCAGGAGCTTCTCTCATTAGTATGAAACACCTGGTAGTTTTACTCGAGTGCTGTTTCTAATGTCTCAATAGACATGCCGATGATTGGTTTACCTGTGGGGAGTGAAGGTGGTTGGCGGGACTGGGCAGCCGCGAACTTCATCGAAACAGCACTTGAGAAATAGGCAGACAACCGGCCGTCCGCTTCCGTCTGGTCTGTTCAATCTTGTAGTTCGTTGCCATTTCTAACCACATATACCGTGCGAATAGAATTGTCTATGGGGCAGATTGAGCGAGAGACCGAGGTAAGCATGTGTAGAGGAGTTGAACCCCGTTTGACTCCCTGAGCATCATTATTGAATCACTCTGTGGCTTTAGCAAGTCATCCAAGTTCTACCTATGCAAGTTTCAATTCCACTATACGATGGCCTTGGTTTTCTACAACATCAAAACTCACCTTGCATCGTCACTCCTCATCCATTGAAAGCAAATTGCAATCGTACTTAATCTGATATGGGAGTTTCACTCATCGAACCACATGAAGCTGTAAATGTGATTAAGTGTGACATTCAGCTATCTCGAGACTCTTCAACACCGATTGTGGCTTCTACTCTTTCATGATCTAGTCTGCGCGATGGCTTCTCCTGACAGTGTGAAAAACACAACTAAGTCATTCCTTGAATAGCCAAAGGCACAATTATTGAACTCTTGAGGTCAACCAATAGTAGATAACAGTTTCGCTAGTCTGTCAACACCAAATATTCCCACAAGTCAAACCTCAGGCCTTCTCGCCAGCCTCTCCCTGAATTCCTCGTTGAATGTTGCAACCGCCACGACGCAGCAGCAGATAGCTCAACCACAATCTTCATCCTCTCCGAAATGAGCTTTGTAAGCTCCATAATCTCCTCCTCAGAGGCGGCAGACATCCCACTCATAAGTCTCCTCTCGTATGTGATCTTTCACAGCCTCTTATCAACCACACCAATCAACCCATCCGCAATTGCACATTGTACTAAGCTCCGTCATCATCTTCCCCAAAAGGTAACCCCGCCACCTGTCATCAGCTCCCTCGACCTTGGGCTCCACTCTAAGGGCTTTACGCTCGAACCTTCGAAGCTCAATGCAACACCAGAAAGAAGACCACCATCGCTGCAGAGCGCAATGATTGCGTCGAGTCTCTCGACCTAGTGTTAGATTTCCATCCCGACGGTGCCCTGCCAGAGTATGACATTTGAGTGGTCAAAAAGGGGGGGAAGCGGTTGGCTTTCATAAGTCTCACCTGCACTAAACCCAACAACTCCTTTGCTTTTGTCACAGTACTACAGTCATCCAGGTTCCATCTTTAGTCTCTCGAGGGCGTGAAAGGCCCCTCTTGCCTTGGAGGCGCCGATGCGCTGCATCTTCTTGCACTCGAATCATAGTCTTATAACGAGCTTCGCAGGCTTGCAGTCACCTTCAATGCGGATTTACTTGGCGTTAGAACCATTTGGTTTAGAATTTTGTTCGTCATAACAGGCGTGTGATGGATGTGAGACTTGATCGGCTTATGAGGCTGGCTTCTTCCACAACAGACTCCATAGTCAGGGAAGGGCAGGTTGCCATGCTCTCCATGGCCTTTTGCGTAGCTTGGGAGCAGTATTCCTACCGCTATAGACTATTTGGAGCAGCTTTTTGTGTTTTGGCTGGAAATAATTGCATCGCAGGTCAGTGTGGAGGCCAGGCTTTCTGCGTCTATAACACCATAAACAAAGGCGGCATTCGTTCATTTACATTTGCCATAAAAGAAGTTTGGGCCTCGCAGTTTCCCCCATTCGTGATTTTCTTTCTAGCCCATCTTCAGCTCGGCTGAGATACCCGAGATTGACGTCGCATCCTTTTACTTGATTTCAGCGTAGCTAGCAACGATGTTGAAAAACAAATGACAAGTCAAGCTTCAGCCCCAAAGAAGTAATACTAACCATCAACATAACCTGAAATCGGATTTGACGACTAGAAATTCAGACTAGCTGACATAGACAATCTTTCTGGCCCCTTAGATTTAGCCGAAATCCGGTCTTGAGTTCTCATGAGTATGTTATCATGGCCAGAGACTACCAACGAACTAGGAAACAGTTTTTTTTTATCATAACGTTAGGTCATTGAGTCCAAATGAGCAAGAGCAATTGTTGTGTTAGCATTATTCGTATAGATGTGAACCTAGTCATTAGTATTCACATTCCTGTGTGTTAAGTTTACCCTTATGTTCGCGTGGATTACATAAGCCCACATATGGGAGTTCTCGTGATCCTGGCCCCAATGTAAATAAAATAGGTATTTCAAAGTTAGTCTCAGTGGCTGGTCCTTGCCAAGCGACACATTGGGGCAAAAGTTCTATTACAAGCCAACCACCTACGAGACATAAGATAAGCTTATCCCATCGAAGGTTGGTTGGCAAGGGGTACATGGTATCCTAAAAAACTGATTTTTGTCAAATTATGAGTATTATGTGGCTAGTACCTTATGTAGAAACAAGGACTTTCAACTGGGCCAAGATGTATCTGTTGTCAACGACCCTCCATAAGATAAACCTTAATTTCAATAAGAGCTTCTATTAGTATCACATAACTTAGGCAGTAGCCTGTACTGCAGTACATAGCGATGGTAGTACCTCTTTGAAGGGAACATAGTTAAGAGGGGTAAGCAGTAGTTTGGTATTTTGTGTTACATGCTGACTATCCTTGCACGCACCCCCTTTTACATGGAACTTATTTATCGCAAAGCAAAGTGATTCCCTTGGAGAAGATGGATCCCACACCCGGGACAAAACCCGCAAGACCACTCGCAATCATACCAACTATTCCGCAGCCACCCGACTGTTCAACCACGGCAGAGGAGAACTCAATCGTCAGACTATCGGCCAGAAGAACCCCATCGCGGTACAAGTTGGCCTTGATAATGGAGGGGACCTTGTGTCCCTTAGAATAATACTGGCACTGAGCAGAGGCGATCGGGCATTGGCATTGCTTGCTAACGGTCGCTGCAACCGCACCGCAGGCTGGCGTTTTCCAGTAAGGAATGCCCTCCTGCCAGGTCAGGCCGTAGCAGTTAGTATAGACATCCCATGCAGTTTTGTCGCTTCCGAGTTGGAGAGATTTCCAGATGGATTGGACAAGAGCTTCGCGAGAGTCGTGAGGACCAAGCCCTGGAACTTTGCCCCATTGTCCATTGACGATGACCTGAGCATTGAGGGTATGGTCGGTGTAATGAGATGTGCATTTGTCGTCGTTGGTGGGATAGGTGTTATCAGTGACAATGCTGTACTGGTTGCCGGTCGCTGCATATATCTTCTGCCAAGTAGTTGCAAAAAGGTCGAGGTTGCCAACATTGACCATCTTGTCGCTGAAGCGAACTTCGACCTTGATGGTTGCGGAAACAACCTGGCCCAGGGCCGCAAGGGCAAAGACAGCTTGCTCGGAAATCTTCATCTATTCGAATATTAGAAACAAAGATGACATCTCAAATCTTGGTAAACATACTGTTGGAGGAAAGCGAGGTCGGTTATGGTGTGATCAGAAAGGCGCTCTTGAAAGTGTGCAATGGAATGTAGAACAAGACCCCAACCACAGCAGATATCTGCGACCTCTTTATAATCATGGGATTCTCTATGATTCAAGCTGTACCAGCGTGAGGGCTTGTCGCAACTTTCGAGTGACGCCGAGTTACCGAGCCTTGCACTCAGTGTATTAGGCCCGGGCAGACCGGTGACCGTAAGCCCCGTCTCGCAAGTCATTCTCCAGGCCGTGTAAGTGATCGTGGGACCTTGTTAATTGCGTCGTTCTTTAGCCCCGGAGGTGTAAGTGGTCGTGATCCCCGTCTCGTACTTCGTGATCCTGCTCGGGACTTCTGCGCGCCCCCCCCAAGTCGTAATCCACATTACCCCTTTCGTCCAAACTTTCTGTTCTCCTGAAAGCCCCCGGGTTCTTGTCAGCAGTTTTGGTCTAGCGTTGCCATTTAATCCAATATGCGCCAGAGGGCTAAAGCACATTGCTCTGGGCCAGACGGGGCTCAAGATACTGACATCGGAGGCCACCTAAGTCAGTAGTTCAAACCTTATGTGAATAATTCAACTAGTACTTCGTAACGACCCCCAAGTTATTGTAGACAAGCTGTTGTTCTTATGGCTATATCCCTGAATATCCGTAATAATTATCGAAGAGCCCTCCTCGGAAAGCCCCTGAGTTGCTGTCTAGACGCCTTCCGCGGCACATTTCCAAGTTATCGCCAAGTCGTATCTTATTAATTGGATGTAAGACTTCTGTCAAGTCAGACCAGGATTGAAGGACTCGTATTTGTTCTGCATCTAAGAAATCGACTTCACAGGTGCGCAAGACGCTGAGGACATTACTCAAGAACACTGAGAAGGCCCAATGATATCCAGTAAACAAAACACGCTTAACCTCTACTGTTAAAAGTGTCGGCTCTCATTAATATATCTAGTAAAGCCCTTAGACACTAATTGGGTGGCATACAATCACCATCAACCAGCTGTACTAGTGTTCTCAGCTGGGATTGAGTCAGTGTAGAAATTGGCATCCATCCCCTAGAAGTGCGCTAAGACGATTCGGAGAAGGGTTTCCGAAGTTCCTATGTCCCGCGGACGGTCTCTGCACGTACCATCGACAAAATCGGCCGAGCCCGCGGAGTTGCATAGGCCTGGATACGAGCCGTGGACACATCGATCAAGATCTCGGCAAAGTGGACATACTCAAGACAGATAATTAATCTGTGCTGGGCGTACGTCACGGAAGCATCGGAACGAGCCTTTTACCGCATTGGTATCAACATACGGCTAGGCTGTCAATAACGAGGTACTCGGGTCAGATCCGAGATGCCGGTCTACGCTTCTAGAACCCACCTAGTAGCACTTAAAGTAGGGTTCGTTGTAGAACGTAAGATTTGCCTGCACTGACCAGAAGATTTCTTCAAGTTCTTTACTTTGATAGAAATAGTAGGCTTCCAGGAAGCCAATAAGCCAAGTCCGCAGTGCCGTAGTATGCCCGAAGAAAAAGGCGATGCAGTCAGTAATCATTTTTATGTGTGTGCTAGCGTCGTTACAGGAGGCTATTGCAGCTAACTACTGTCCGTGTAAGGACAAATGATTCATTTAGTTGATGTTCTCCATCTTGAAGCAGGGAATCCCTATCTCCCGATGAGGCAGTCTAGAATCGTGGCAACTTCCGTCATCAGCTTATAATCGCACAACACAGTAGTAAGAAAGATGCATTGAGTTCTTCCTCTACGTCTTTGTCGTAATGACTTCAGCGAATCACTTACTCCCAAGCCGTAGTGGTTTACAAATTTGGTTGGAGTCAGCTGGGTCAAAAATCGGTCAACATAGCTTTACATCTATAGCCTTAAGCTAGGACCTTCCGTTCGGGAAGGTTATTTTACCTAATTTTCAGTGCATGGGCAGATTGAAAAGCTAAGCGCAACCCTCGTCGGTCTTTTTCGTTGTACTCTCGGGCCGAACGTTGAAATGTTCCACACCTGTTTGCCGTCTTCCGTATTATGGAGACCACCTAGACATGAGTAGTCGGAAACAGATATTGCATTACTCAAACACACATCACCTGGTCTAGAGCGAAGGCGGTGCAAAGTCAAGCAGCGGAGGTTGACCGAGACATGAGATTCGGCCGAGGTGGCTCAAAGGGAAGGCAGTAGATATCAGAGAAGACAACACTTGGTGAAATCATTTAAGGGTCTTGGGGTGGCCCTTATCATCTGTCAAAAGAATTGTGAAAAGCTATCACTACTTGATGTCAAAACACATCATCCGGTTGAGCGCATTGGCGACGTGCAAATATAGGTTTCTAAATCCAACAAAGCGGAACTTGTTTCGTGACTGAGGAAGAAGCATGACTTTAAGGGTCTCATCGAGATGAGCCATAGCCGAAACACCGGCGTAAAGGAAAGTGATTGAAAACTAGCGACGTTGGAGTAAATGTGTAATCTCCTCTGCTCTTGTAGGAAGCAGGCAAATAATAATGTTACGAAGATGTTCTGGCCCGGAAAAGAAGATCTCCAGTTATTCTTGTCATTTTTTGAGGTAAAGCATCTTGAATCATAAAGGCTGGTCATTGAAGAGCTTTGGCATGAAGGTTTGCGGGGCCTTGCCAGCCATCCAGGTTGTCTACATATGTGTCACGAAGAGTTACGATTGGGAACAGCGGTTCTGTAGGTCACGTGGCATACAGCATAGTCTGAAGTTGAGACTGTTATTCATACGCTCAATAGCGGGCGTCAGTTTGGTTAATAGAAAAAAGCAAACTTTCCCTCTTGAGACGAGACTCCCCATGGTTGCGGATTTTCCTGTTCGTGACAACATATGGCAGCTAACCACTCAAGGTTGGCACCCCTGCTCACCAGCCAAAGCAAATTGAACTGCTGCCTGGAATCCTTCAGGTCCTGTTCCGCAATTAACGTAGTGATAGTGACGCACTGCTGAATTGATGGTTTTTCTAACTGAAAACCTCCCTTTACAACCTTCGAAATACGCGAGAAGTTTTCTGTCGTATTTCAATGGGAGACATGGTCGATCAGTAAGTCTAGGTTCTGTCGGGGTAGCTCTCGTGGCTCTGTAGAGACGACTGAATTGAAAAGTGACTTAGGCCAAAGTTGCCTTCAATCATTGATCAGAACGACTTGGAACTGAGGAAAGCCAAAATTTTGTTATATATGCTAGCGTCGGTTGTTCCCGATCAGACTGCATTCAGAAAGCTTAAATAGGATCGCGTTCTGGACTGGTATTCTTGATCCAGTACACAACAAACATTACATTGTTGAAATGATAAAAGCAGTTGCTGCTGTTCGGCTTTAACCCCTCAAAACAATCGCTCATATCAGAAATCACCCAATGGACTGGGTCCTGCCATTCCCGGGGGCTGGTTTTTCGCTTGCTCCAGGCAACCAACATACTCATGCAGGGCTGATTAATGACAAGGGTTCCATTAAGCTCATTGATTAGGTAGACGTTACGATTGCCGCTTTACGGTCATGGCTTGCGCAGTTGCAGAAGTCTGCCTATTTCTAATTAACTTTAAATCGTGAGCCTTTAAAATCAGTTTGCAACATGATTTCTAATATCAGCAAGAAGTGTGCTTGAAGAGGAAGCCTGATCTGATCTGTATGAAACAAATGCCGATTGTCGGTTTTCGCAACTCGTAACTGCACACAACTGGGTTATGTGGACGAAGGATTCCACGCTGCGAGCTCAGCCCAGCGCGTTCCTCAAAACAGCATTTCAGCTCAATCCTTCAGCCCCAGCCAATTTCCCAAGAGAGTAGTATGCTTTACGCTTTCCAATGAAATAATCAAGTCAAGAAAGCCTGACGCAGTTATCGTCATATTTCCCTTCAAGGCCATTGTTGCGATAGTTGGAATACGGAGTCGTGTGGCACTTCCAGCCACACGCCCGCCAGGCTGAGAGGCCTAAGCCTCCCAGACCCACGTGACAGGCCAAGGGGGAATATCCCTACCTTCTAGTTAACAATACTACTTTCAACTATCATAAACTATCGATTAGAACTAATTTACTATTATTTGTTATTAACGAACGGAATTCCGTTTCACCCCTTGTAAAACCTATACTAATTAGTAGTAAACCTTATAGTTGCTATTAATTTAGTTAACTTTATAATTACTATTCTGCTACGGATAAACCGTAGATTAGCAAGGTTAATACTAGAAGAGACGACTTCTTAAACTAGATACCTAAGCCTAGGTAAAAGTAAGGATTTCGTACTAACGAGAGAAGAAGCGAGAGTAACTAGGATCTACGGAAACTAGTAGAAGAAAGCTTCTTTTCCTCGAATCTACTAGCAATCCGATTATTCGAGTAACCTAGGGACTGCTATGCTTACCTTAGGCGGGATAAGGTTAATCGTAGCTAATTATCGCTAGCAAGAGCGTTCTATTACGCGTTTTTAATTACTAGAAGAAGAGACCTACCGAATCGATAGTCTTCTAACCTTTTTACGTTATAAAGGCAAAGATTTATAAATCTTATAAAGGATAATAACTTCCTTAACTATAACTATCCTCTACGCGCGGTACTAATCACGAGGCGCCTGCTAGTTTCTTAATAAATCCCTAGACAAGGTGCTAACCGCAAGGCGCCTGCTATAAAAGACCTCCCTACTAAAAGAAGAAGAATATGCTAAAAGGCAAGCAGAGACTACTAGTAGTAATCCGCCTATATAGCTATACGTATACGCCTCCGAGGCTACGGCTTAAGAGAAATATACGTAGTTATAAGCGTTATAAGGCTAACTATCTACTAGATTCTAAACTTCCTAATAGTAAGGAGCAAAGCCTAAAGCGAGAAAGAGAGATTTACGAGAGAATCTACGGTAGAACTCTCTCCCTACTAATTCGAGACCTATATATACCCTTATACCCCTCGAGAATATTAGTAAGAACGGCGCCG